GAGCAGATGTACGTAACGATTGTAAATCGCGCAACTGTTCATCCCAATAAGGTTTGCTGTCAAATCTCACCTTCTTAACTGGGATTGTGTCAGCGAGAGCCACCGTGACTTGATGGGTGAAGAGAGCTGTTATCGTGTCCTGGAGAGATTGGCGAAGAATAAACGGCAATTTTAGCATTTCAGCAGGAGATACCAATTTTGAGTTGATAGTATCATTGACATCTAAAAGTTTAGCCAATTTATTTTGATACTGTTCGCAGATGGCGGTGTCTTGAGTCAAATTAATCTCGGACTTCATGTGGTGACTCGCCGATTCGTTGTCCGCACATTTTAAGAGGTGAAGGAGGGTGTTAAGTTAAGAAGGGGGGAAACAAAGGCGTCCCCCAAGAAAAAGTCCAGAACCTCCAAAGCTTATGTAACTTGTTGCTCGAAGTGATGCGAGCGCTGCATACTTCATGTTCAAAGCCCGTCTAACCAAAGCATGGGGTCATGCATGAAATTGGTACCCGTTAATTGTTCCCTTGAGCAAACATTGTCTGGCCGGCTGGATATCACGAACATGAAAGAGCATGAGCAAAATCGAAGGAGTGTTGACACAAAATTGGGGATTCGTAGATTGTCACAAAATCTTGATTTGCGGTCGTCCGATAGATTTGCTGGAACCTTTCCGGACCTCGGTTACCGGTACCAGGGTACCGTACTTGCAGCGCTGACTGGTGTTGACGATGAAACTCTCGTGGTCGGAAGGTGAAACCCTAAAAATCTTGCCGCCCAGGTCCAAGCAAGCTGCAAGCCTGTTGCGGCCGCGCTGCCTGAGCAGGCTGAGGTTGAAAACGATCTTCGATCTAGCTGCATCATGTCCGATCAATGCGTCCCTATGTCAGATGGATTAGGCGAACAGGAATGCAGCGCTACGGTGTAATCTTAATAGGTACTCTATTTCCAGGTTGGACCTGTGCCAGTGGGGGCCGATCGGTTGCGGATACCTTCACGTCATGACAAGCAAGGGATTGGTACCTTGACTTGAAGGAGGACGTACTATGGAGATGGGGAGATAAGAAAGCCGGTATATGAGATATTAATTGTAGATTCCAATTGAAGGCGGATTTACATGCTAGGGCCAGGATCAGCAGTCGACGGCAGGAAACGGAAGAGAAAGCACCGGACTTGTCTCTTGCCATAGGAGGAGGATAGGAGGGCATACCAAGGCAGGGGCATGGACGTTCTCAGGGACAAACCCTCGATTGTAGCGGCCTTGACCATCTTGCATTGTGGGAGGGAAGTTGAAACCAGGTCGACCGCGTGAAAATCTGCAGCCAGAGAGGACTTTACAGCACGAGAGACGATGGGTTGGAAAGAAGCGTTCAGTGGCCTCTTCTCATGCGGCCGGTGTGGGATGCGGCCTAAAGGTTCTTCCAAACGAGCGATGACACTGGCAATTGTGGGACTGGACAATGCTGGGAAAAGCACGTTGTTGGCGAATGTCAGGTAAGAAAGGGGCCTCGTAGAGGGTTTGGCACATGGGAATTGTCCATTATGAAGGGCTTCTGGCTTGGAAAAGTATTACCGTGATTTCTGCAGCAAAAGAGGTGGGCAGACTGAGGGCGAGGGGCCCTTTTGAGATGGATTGTCCTCCTGGGTCAGGCTGTCAACTCTGTGGATCCTTTTAGTGTTTTCACAGGGTTTCTGGGGTCCAGAATGCATGGTGAGCGGAAGAGGCAGATCTCACTTGGCAAGATATGGAGAGAGGTGCTCCCTTGTAGGTTTCACTATTATAGTCTTGGAGAAACATTCCCATGATACTCTGAATGTTGATGAAGTTTCTATACAAAAAAGCGCCCCAGCATCAAGCAGTAGCCATTCATTGAGGGCATCTCTACGCCTGCAAGCTCATGATCGGTCTCAATGGATGAAGGAGATGGACTGCAGCACACCAAGCTTGGGCGCCAATGCATTTACATTTCAGCCTCTGCAAAAAGGGGCATTTCTTGATGTTTCTGAGTCTGAACACATTCAGCTGAAACCAAGTCCTGAACATCATTCTGCGCACACACGTGCTGGCCACTGGAAAGATGACTTCTCATCAACCAGGCCCCACAAGGCTGTTAGCTGAATTTTCTCAGACATCCTGAGCCAAGGGCCAGCCTGATGACGGCTTGCCCTCTTCCGCAACATTGTAAAGAGGAAGGACAAACAAGCAAAGGAATGCCCAAGTCCTAAAAACTCATGTGTCGTGTTTCTTTGTTAGGGGGGAGAGCCCAGAGGCGACAGTGCCCACATGGGGGTTCATCAACAAAGAGTGGAAGATGGGCAGCTGGAACATTGTGTTCTATGACCTTGGGGGCGCACGCAAAATACGGAAGATCTGGGAAAGATACTATGCAGAGGTAAGGATGACAAGATAAACATGGCCGTTCACTCTGAAGCTGGCCCTGGATGGCACCACCTCGCGTCCAGTAAGTTGCGAAAGAGGGAGGGCAATCCTTTTCTTGCAGCCTTTGTCCAGCAATCAGCTCAGGCAACCAGCTCTCTGCAGGAGGTTATTTAGGACTGTTCTTCCAAAGCTGCATTGATGCTTCTGACCGAAAATGCAATTGGTGTATCTCCTTGCCCAAAACGATCGATTTAAACTTGCAGCAGACTACTGCAAGGACTTCTTCCAAAACGCACAAGTGAAATTTCGAGCCTACCAAAGGCAAACTTTGTCACCAGCAGCTCAATTTTTGCCTCGACATGAAACGGGTTGCCCCCTTCCTGCCTTCAGATCCACGGGCTTGTGTTTGTGGTGGACGCTTCGGATGAGGCGCGGCTGGAGGAGGTACGAGAGGAGCTGGAGCGAGCCGTGCGACACCCCTACATGGCGCAGAAGGCCGTGCTCATCTTTGCCAACAAGCAGGTCAGAAGCGAGCTTTAGCAACTTCTCCAGGGGCGCTGTCCTGCTATGGATGATAAACGAGCCTCCGTTACAGACATGCCGAGGAGTCGAAGGGTCAGGTCGGGATTTCGAGCCTGATTGAAATGGAGTACGTTTTGTCGCATATTTGACCTCCGACTTTTGCGCGGGAACAGCCGATAATAAACGCTTTCAAACGGCTGTCTGTCAACACACGAACCGTGCGTGTTTTGCTCATTTTCGTTCAGCTTAATCGTTTACTGGCGTCCAACAGATTTTCGGTATGTCTTCGAGATTTTCACCTGCACGTTATAAGTCAAAGGGTTTCAAGCTCGACTATGTGAAAATGCGCCAGTGTTTGCTGACCAAATCAAAGTATTTGACGGAAGGTTGTGTTACCAGACCAGCTGTTGGAAGCCCCATCCTCACTTGTGTCTGCCTTTGTTCAGGATAAGAAGATGGCGCTCGGACCCGCCGAGGTTGCGGCCGGCTTGGGGCTGTCCTCAACAGGAAGCGAGACGTACAAAGTCGTGGGCTGTTCGGGCATCTATGCGGTGAGCGGGAGAGAGATGTCTGCTAACGTCCCAAGCGCGGCGACTTTTGCTAGTGCTCGGGATACGCCGAAGATAGCAGGACGGGAGTGTCTAGGATCTATTGAAGAGCTGTATCAAACACTTTCACGATCTTCGAAGACTATTGGCAACGATGGGACACACAACTTAGTATATCTGAACGAACGCTCTGTAGATTTCCTCATGGTGTGGCGGCATGTCAAGCTTCTGCACCGTGCTTCCAGCACCATCTCGTCCATTGCTGCTTCTCCTTTGTGAGTCAAACGCATCTTAGACCATTTAGACATGGGTTCGGCATGCCTTTTCTGTTTCCTTTTGAGGTACCCCCGTACTCAACCCTTCAGTAGCGGCGCACTAACATTTCGCTTCTCGTGCAGGAGGGGGAGACTCCCGACAGCTCCATTCTGGACGGCATGCTGTGGCTCATCGGAAGCATTGACAAGCACTTCGTAGAGCTGGACGCTAGGGTACGGGATGAGGCAGAGGAGCAGGTGAGCCGGCCGCCCGACTTTCACCGCAGTCCTCCAGTCCTGCAAACAAGTAGATCGAAGACGCTGTTCTCTGGAAGTGGGTGCACAGGCAGAGTCTTAGAAGTGGAACTGGATACAGCTTCGGGAGCTCCTGGGACACCTTGAGGAAGGCTCCCAAGATCTGGACTTTCCTGTTTAAAACTATACGGTCTTTTCTGAAGAAGCATCAGGAGTTGATGCCAGCGGATCCTGCTGAAGCCAGAGTGCGAGTTTCAAGAAAGGAGGTTCTGTTGAGGTCCTTTCTTTGTTGCCTCATGGTTGCGAAAACCTGTCGGACTTCGTCTAGGCCAAGATCCGATGGAGCAATCAAAGAAGCCGTCCTTTCATGCAGATGGCGCTCGAGAAGCGGTTGAAGGCAGAGAGGAAAGTGAGGGCCGACTCAAACCGGGTAAGCCCTCTGCGCGCCGGGCGTTCCATTCATCTTTGTCCGTCTTCTGCTTACCAGAGCACGGTGCTGATGATAAGACATAAGGCCTCCAACAATAGTGAGCAATCCTGGTATGTCTTCCCTTCTTTCAGAAGGTCGTAGGCGTTTGTTTCAGTGGAAGTGACCCCCCGTTGTAAGCAACGTCTCGCACTCGTGAACCCTGAACGCTGACGAGGATTAAATGATCTTGAGTCGCAGGCTGAGCGGCAACGGAACGAGGCCCACGTGCATCCCGACCCCGAGAGTGACATCAGCACCGCGCCGGCAGCGGACACTTCAACGTCGAGCGCCGCTGGTCTGGAGCGAGAGGCGCAGGATGACAAAAGCGGGGCGGCCAGCGGTGTTGCCCCGTCATCGATTCCGGTTTTGTTGGACTCTGTAGAAGCGCTTCCGGTCAGCTCGTTGTCGGCAGCGGCAGCGGAAGCAAGTTCGGCGGACCACGGAGCGGGGTTTGATTTGCACCCGTTTGCATTGGAGAGTGCGCCGCCGCAGTTGGACCGGCCGGGATCGCGGGGGAGCGACGGAAAAGGCCGGAAAAAGTACGTTCTGACGGAAGACGTCGAGTTGAAACAGGGAAGCAATCCGGAAGAGGCGGGGGCCGTGAGCGGACATGCCAGTGGAGTGGGTACAATACAGTGAAAGATGGTCGTTTTAGAAAGTAATGACACACACGAGCGTCTTTGTAGGGAGTCGAGCAAGGGACCGATGGTCTGCGATTGCAAACGGAACGCCGTCGGAATGACGGTCAAATCCATTAGAGAATATTGGCAGGTATTTGATTCAAGCGATCAATGTCGAGGCATACATCGGAAAGTCAAAGTACGACACGGGCATTAGAGTTGTAAGGACATCGGATAGGACTGATACGTATAGATGCCGTATAAATTAGGGCACGCACACAGCGACAGCAGAGTCCGGCAGAGCTAGGTGTCGCCCGGCCGCATAACGTGCTGAAGACAACTGGCTGCTGACAGCAGCTGCATTTAAGCTTTGAGTCCAGCTCGCACGCCAGCGAGCGCTGCGCTGTGACGGATGACCTGGTTCGTGTTTTTACTGTGATTGATTCATGGGTATTGCTGCCAGAGTTTAGCATTAGATCTTTATAGCTGAGGGCACGAATCGCAGGAAGTAATCTTCACATGCTGCACGGCGCAAGCAGGTCAGTCAAACTGATGATTCTTGAGGAGTCCATGCCCATGGAGTCCGATGCGCATGTCATAAGTGGTGCCTGAATACCCTGTTGCGGCCCCAGTAGCGAGAGCTAGTAGACGTGTTGGGGCCTGAGAGCTGCCAATGATCTCTGGCCTCGAGGTTCCATGCGACTCCCAGGTATAGTTGCTCCACAGTGCCTGGATTGAAAACACATGCTACCCTGCTTCATGATAGATACTAAGAACGGTGGAGTGTCTTGCATTCCGTGGAGTGAACACGCGCCATGCAACCGTACATATGTTCCTTTACTCGCACTGATGGCGCCCTAGCAGTCGATCGAACTGAGCTCGGCCTGTCCATACACTAAAATTCCAACCTCGCAAACGATCCCCGCCATAGGAAATTTGTACAAGCACTCAACCGTCAGTGCAAGCCCGCAGCCAGCGCGTTGATCATGTGCAGATTGGCAAGATGCAACGTGCCAGCTGCAGCTGCAGCCCAAATGAGTGCACCGGCGGCTCGCGTATGAATGTATATTCCCCAACGTGGATGGGAATATTCTACATTGGCGCAGTCGCACGAGCAATACAACGCAATGATCTGGCACAAAACCTGCGCCGAATCTGTTCCAAGTCCAAGAACCTAGCTCCTTTGTACATTCCGATTTCGACGTTTAGGCTATGCACGGACACGATCACAGCTCGGGCAAACCCAAATTTCATGATCTGCTTGCCATGAGCTGTTGGAAACATGCCGCCTCAAAGCTTCGCAAGCGCGCGCTGCGACCGTAGCATATATCTGTACACAGGAACCTGGTACGTTCCCCCTTCAGTGGACCCCCAACTGGCTCGCAGACGCTCGGTAAACGTCTGCAACTGGTCCGAGCTTGGCGGACAGCTGAGGGGGGAAGGACCCCACCATCTCCTGAATGTCCAACGTCAGCGTCCGCAACCTGGGCGCAAACGAAGCAGACGTTAGGCCGCCAGAAGTGTGACCCATGATCTCACTTGAAGGACTTCTTACTTTCCGATCTTCCGTGCGAAAAGAAGAGCGTTAAGTTTCAAAAGTCGTTCATTCTCAAGTAGGCCCAAACTCCGACTGGATCAATTCGAATGTCGGTCAACTTCAGGCCAGTAAATCACGAGTGAAACAGGTTCAGGTGCTTGGTTGTCTTACCATTGTTTGTACGCCTCGCTCAATTTTGGGGCGCCCGTGTTCTCCGTCAGCGACTTGACCTCCTCGAACTTCTCCTCTATCCGCTTCTTGAACGGGCGGGCCTCCCCCCGCACCTGGTTCAAGCATTGCTGCGAGACGGAAACCGACACTTCAGAATCGGGCAAGCGCCTCGGCTCCAATTAGAAGCAGCTTTCGTTGCTTACGGGCAAGGGTCAACGTCGATTTATCTGGCTGCTAATACAACTCAGACGACAGAGGAAGCGCCAAACAAGTTGAGGCCTGCTGTGCATGAAGTCTGACTTTCGGCCTCTTTGTACGAATCTTCCTCCACGAAACAAGGAAAAGAAGGTTGTCAAACACGCAGCCTCGCCACGCCTGGCCTCGACCGTCCTACATACAACATGCTGGGCTCTGGTGGAGGGCGCCTCACATAGAGCAGCGCAATTTGGTGCGCGATGTACTTGTGGTTCTGCTGCTTGTCCGAGTCCTCGTGGAGCTGGGTGGCCATGGAGCTCAGCTGGTTCAGAATGGACACGTGCGCAAAGTAGTCCGTGCCTGCACGCCAGAGCCCCAGTCAAGGCAGGGAAGCTTTCCCACGCATTGCAAACAAGACACGTTAGATTCGAGGCTCAATCGGGGCTGGTGAATCAAGCACAAGGAAGCGGCTAATCATGGGTCATTCTTCGTCATCAAAACGACACACTGTCAGTAGAGATCGGGGTTTCAGTTTGACAGACTCGCACCTCCATGAGTCCAAACGGACACACTTTGCGACTGCGCACTGCTGGATAATTGTTCCTCGACCATCTTGACCAGACGCGCTTTTCCTTGTAATCCCAACCTGGCTCCGCTTACCTGTCGGCCCTGGGCTTGTGACTGTTGTTGGAGACATGGCCGGGTCGCCCCGCAGGGCTCTGCCCAGGCTGGGGAACGTGGCTGAGATCCTCAACTCGTCAAGGACCCTCTGTGCAGGCACATGGGCGTATTCAGCAAATATGCACGGCACGTTATCATTAGCAACGCGATAAGCAGTCCAAGAAGGGTCGGGAGTTCCTGCAACAACTATCCGCCCTGGTTTGACAAACCACTCTGCACAAAAGAGTTTGTAATCGAGGAGCTAGCGTGGTTGATAATAGTACGGTATGTGGGCGCAAAGTCTAGTGTTTTTTAAACTTGAAGTGGTCTTCTCCGGCAGTCCCATAGCAGCAAGGGAGCAAGCGATAGCAAGATGGTGGCTCCTCACCATAAGCGGCCTGTTTGGTGCCACCAGGTGGCACATCCTTTCTAGCTGCTCCCGAATGCCACCACCCAGAGGGTCGCGCCCACTGTGGTAGATCTGGACCAGCAATGCGCGGTGTGAGGGTGGAGACTGAAAACTTTGCGGAAGACTTGAGTCAGGTAGCGTCTCTGAAGTTGGCAAGGTTTCCGGATTTAACGATGTTCAGGAAGAAAAATTTGTCCGAAAAAGTTCTTTGACGTCAAGGTACACCATTCTCAGGGGTAGACCAACCAATAAATCCGTGTGACCACCTTCCACAAGCTTTCAAGGAAGGAAATGCAAGGTGGCACTGCAAGTGCGGGCCTGACATTCTAAAATGTCCAGGGACGAAGTGCTCACAAAAGTACATCTTTTAGAATGTCAGGCCCACACTTGCAGTGCCGGTTTGCATTTCCTGACAGGGGCGAGGAGTTCTTTAAAAAGATCCCGTACCTCTTCAACCTGCGTCAGAATGTCTGCATAGGCGCACCAAGCTAGGAGCTTTTGTATGTCCGCCTGCTCCCAGATGGGATCATCCAACCGATTAACGGCTGCAAAAAAAATCACAAGAAACTCTTAGTGTCCGTTTCACCAGTCTCGACAGCTCACACAAGCCCACAACAGTCCTGAGCTGGGAGCTCACGGTGTCAAAGGGAAGGCAATCTGAGAAAACAGTTTTGAGCTGAGAAGGTCCAGCTCAATCGATCCTTGCAAAAGTATACAGAAGAAAGCAGTGCCATGATGCTCACCCGTGGGCTGTCGGTCTTTGAAGAGAAGTTTTGGAACAAAAAGAGGAGGACTCTGAGCAAGAGGGACACCCATGGTTTGCAGCTGCAACTTTGCCAGAGGTCTTAAGGTTCTTCTCAGGCTAGGGGTGCAAGGATGCCCTGCCTTTTGGTAGATTTATATAAGCAAGGGCATCAGCCGTTCATGCCGGCGCTCAGAGCACCAATGAACGCCAACACTCAACGTGACCCCAATGGCAACTTTTGATAAGGAGTCTCCTCCTTACTGAAGTCCGCCTGGTCAATGGGGTTTCCAAAGCTGGATAATATGCCCAGCAGGTAGGCTCAGCGCAACATTTGATGCCAATGAGAACAGCCCGTCCGGCGGCCTATTACGGTTGAGGCGGACGGTCGATCTTGACTGCAACCTACATCCAACGGCTCACATTCCTTATACCAGAACCGCGAGCGCGCTGCAAAACCGCCGACGATGGACCCACAAACGGGCCGGGTGGTCGCATCACCATGCACTGGCAGTGTTCGTTCTTCCACCAGCGTTCGCGTCCGCCTTCGGGCGCTCATTAGCCTGACCTTAGTGAAAGGGCTGATGAGTGGTGGTGCAAGCTCTTGAGGTTGTCGGAGATCATTCCTTGCGCTGATTGAAATCAGGTTGAAATCAGGTTGATAGGGATCAGATTGAGGTACTTTGATTTCATCACGGGGTGCTCTTCATGGTGGACATCCTTGGTTCTTTTGGAGCAGACGCTAGATGGTGATTGGACTGGGGCTAGGGAGTGGCGAGAAGGCCTTGATGTTGCTGCGGTACAATTTTTAAAAGCCAGCCACAAATTCTAGCATCAATGGGTTTAATGAACCGCTCTCAGTGAGCCAAAGTAGCCATGACAGGATAGTCGCAATGCTGTGGAGAGGAGGTCTTGAGAGGCTGATCCTCAGAAGTGCCGAGGCCAAGGGTGAGTCTCGGAGGCCTTAGCGGTGTCCTGTAGGAAATCTGTACTTACTTAAGATTGCTTCTCGAGTAATGCTTCCAAGGCAGAGAAGTGGTGGTAGTAAATGCTGGGCTGTGGTGCTTTTTGCAGAATCACAACCACCTCAGGCATCGCCGTAGGTTGCAGCTGCTTGAAAACATTCTGGTCGTGTGCATGGTGAGCTTAGCTTGATCGGCTCCCTCAGCAGGCCGTGATAGTCGCTGCTCTGAACTGGCACAGGGCATGCAAACCTTTACTCTTTTATGGACGCAGGGTCTGACATTATCCGAACTGCACACCGCTTCTTCTCAAATGGGCTGGTGCCAAAGGAAGGCTTCCTGGAAAAGGTGACAGATCTCAGGTACGAAACAACGGTCCGATTCCCCTTTGCAGCTTTCATCAGGTTGTTGCTATCAGGTCTGCGCACCTTGAGCAAAGGACAAGCTTTGAAATCTGAGCAACACACTGTGCCTGGTATGTATTCATCTCACTGTGGCGAGCATTCCTATGAACACCGGTAAGTTCAGCTATTCTTTTCTGAGCAGGCTCCCGCATGAGTGGTTCCCTGTCGCAAGGAGCATCAAGCGCCGTGTCACCTTGCACGTGGGACCGACCAACAGTGGCAAAACATATGCTGCCCTGCAGCGGCTGAGGGAGGCGGCCACAGGTGATGATCGGGCACTGGGACGTCTCGCGCCAGCGGTTCAAACACCTGCAATCTGCTCTTTTGGCCCCTTGGACTTTCTTTGCAACCAAACAAAGATTGGATGCTTATCATTTTCATCCGAAACGCTTCGGTCAGGTCACGATATGAAACTATCTTGCTCCCTTCTCATGCTAGGGTCTACTTCTTCAACCAACCGTTCTGCTCCAGGGAGTCTACAGCGCACTTACTTTGTCTTCTGCACCTGTTGTCTACTGGTCATTACGTGCGCTTAGTACTTAGGATTCTCGATTGATGAAAGCGCTTGATGCCCCATATTTGCTCATTTGAAGACTTGGGGCAATAGATGCAATTTAAAAGAATTCCTTGGTGCAGGTGTATACTGTGGACCTCTGCGGTTGCTTGCATGGGAGACAGCGGACCGCCTCAATGCTTCCGGGGTGCCTTGCAACACGATCACTGGGCAGGAGAAACGCCATGTGGAGAAGGCGCACCACACGGCGATGACTATTGAGATGGCAGACACCGCACAGAAATACGATGCTGCAGTTGTCGATGAGATCCAGGTACGTCGGTCAAGCTCTCGAGGTGACTTGCAGAGTCACAGATTAAGAAAGCCCAGTTGAAGGGGAGGGTTTTGTTGGAGTCGGCAGTCCCTGTTTCTTGGCCGCTTGTATCAGGACATCACTTGCTGCTTACTGCTTTGGCGGTCTATAGAAGTCCCACAGCTTTCCGAGATTCGAGTTTCCAATTCTCTTCGGAGCTCACTCGTTCGAAAACCAACGTTTGCTCATTGCGCCATACCCACTATGGCTGCCGGCAGATGATGGCGTCTCCCGACCGCGGCTTTGCTTTCACCCGGGCTCTCCTGGGCCTGGCCACCCCCGAGTTGCACGTCTGTGGGGACCCGGCGGCTGTGCCCCTGGTGGAGCAATTCTGCCGAGAGACGGGGGACGAGCTTCAGGTGCGGATTGTACCCTCATTCGAGATCTTCGTATTTCGAAAGTGGATGATGTGCAGTGGTCTGCCTGCCTCTAATCTGCCAGACGCGACCAGAGAAAGATTAGGCATCCGCAATGACCTCCTATTTACCGAGAAAAGGGCTTGGTTGTAAACTCCAGGTTTTAACACTCAACACTTCAGATTTTAAACTGGCCCGCCATCAAGAGCAGTTAGTGGATCTGCCAGAGCTGCTTGTTCCTGACGATATGCTCTGCAAACCCCGTCATGCGCTGCACCATTAATCAACGGCCCTCCCTCGGTATGTTTTGATGCAGGTGAAGCACTACGAGCGCTTGTCCCCCCTCAAGTCCAGCCGACAGGCCTTGGGATCCCTGATGGAGGTCCGGGCAGGAGACTGCATCATTGCTTTCTCTCGGACGCAGATCTACAACATAAAGGCGAGTGTCCCGCGCATTTTCTTCAGACCTCGCTTGACCAGCGTCTAATCGATTCTCTGACGGTGATTGATTTTCCAACAACTGGGTTTTATCCACGATAGACCGTGTTTCCTGGCTTCAAAAGGTCAAGCTTGTATTCTGCTTCTTCTGCTCCCAAGCCTGCTTGTCATCGAGTCCTGCCCTTCCTCTGCAGAAGGAGATTGAGACCAAGACCCGCCACCGCTGCTGCGTTGTCTACGGGTCCCTGCCGCAGGAGACGCGCTCCAGGCAGGTACCTCGCCCCCTCTCCGAAAACTATCCTCTCCTTTCTGAACGAGCGCTCTCCCCTCCAGGCTTCGTATCCTTACTTCGGATTTTGATTGCAGGCTGTTTACTGGCCCTCACTGCGGGAAGATGTCCAATTGTAGGGATACTGTTTCGTGCCGCTCTCCCAACTCGCATCTGTAATGATGCGTTTGGCTAGGCGGGCCTCCACGAGACCCTTCTTCTGGACATGTAGAGACTGCGTCCCGCAAGGCAGGGGTACTGTAGAGGTTGACAAGGGCACTCCTATCCTGCTCCGCCGCTCGTTGGACATACTGCCTTTTGTTACGTGCTTTTCCCTGTGTTATGTTTCTGCAACCAAAGAAACGCAGTCAGGAGGTCGAAAGGGCCTTCCCAACTCTCATTCTTTTTGCCTGGTTTGTGGTGTTGCAGGCGGCTCTTTTCAACGACGAGGACTCTGGCTACGACGTGCTAGTGGCGAGCGACGCCGTCGGGATGGGCCTCAATCTCAACATCCGCCGAATCATTTTCTCGAGCATCTACAAGTTCGACGGCTTTGAGAGGCGCATGCTGACGTCATCCGAGGCGAAGCAGATTGCGGGTGAGGACTCGTCGCTCGCCCGCCTGGGGTCGTCTGTGAGAAACCGTGTCTGACGGTACGGTTCATTCACGGCGGCAGCTGTATAGATTGACAGTCTTGGCCTGGACAAGTTGAAACGCCGCACTTACGGCAATGATGAAGAGTTTGCTCAGGCCAACGGTCCCTTCTCTTTCGAGTTGATTTTGGCCAGCACCTGTGTATGCTGGTTCTCTGCTGGTGGCACGCGGAGAATCAGCCCACTTAAAACCACTATCTAATCTTTGCGCTCTTCCTCAAGTTACCGTTCTGAGAACCTTCCTGGGCTGCTGGCAGGGCGCGCTGGCAGGTTCGCGTCGCAGTACCCGGAAGGAGAGGTCACCTGCCTAGAGCCCCGCGACCTGGGGGCCCTCAAGTACCTGCTGAAGCAGCCCCCCGAAACGATCACGGAGGCGGGCCTCTTCCCCACCTTCGACCAGCTGCAACTCTTCGCCACTCGCCGGCCCAACTGGAGCCTCAACCGCATCCTGGTGCGTCGGCTTTGCTAACCTAGTGGCCCAGGCATAGGGCGTCGAAGTTGGCACACAAAGTCGCACTGGTTTGAATCCAGTGTCGCCGTCCGTTTGTCGTACGTAGGATGTGATCAGTTTTCTCGTCTTTTGACAAGCGAGTCTGACAAAGCTTGCACTCTGCAAACAAAATCGGTGTCAGAAGCTCGGCACAACAGCTCGCTACATGCGGGTTTTTGACCAAGAAAGTCATGTAACTCTCATCGTCGCACATCGCAGGTTTGAAGTTTTGAACTAGCATCATTGTTTCGTCCGCCAGCTGTCTGTCACTCGCATGCACGGGTCGTGCTCTCGACTTCTGCTCTCCGTATGCGCGTCCCTGCACATCTCGCCGGGCTCACAGCACCTTCTCGTCGCTGCTGCCAGGAGAACTTCGCGGTGTCCGCCCGGCTGTCCCCCGCCTTCTTTCTGCAAGACTGCAGCGACATGGTGGAGACGTCGCGCCACCTCGGCGACCTGCCGCTGCCGCTCGCGGACATGTACATCTTCGCAATCAGGTGACGCCCGCCACGACCGCCAAGCGCTACGCGGCCCAGCAAGATGCAGGACGGTTGTTGTTGGCAATACTCCAACAAGCCTAGCGTCAATGCTGATTGAGCTTCGTCCGACCTTCCTGACCTGAAAGGAGGTTCCTTAGACAGTGCTTGAAAACCCTCTGTTGCCATACTCAGTAAGATTGCTTGATTCCGTCCTGTAGTTAGCCACTGAAACAGCTGCGGGTGGGCTGAATACTTCGTTCCGAAGTTGCGAGCCACGTTTCCTTGAGTTTCGAAAAGCATGTCGCCAGTTGGCGGACGACCAGCACTGATCCTTTGTCTGGCCACGTCTGCGCAGTCCCGTCAAGTCCGACGACCCCGCATCTATGGGCGCACTATATAAGGTGGGCTTCGACTCGAGCCTTTTGAGGAGGGCAACTCGCTCTGGTGCCGACAAGTTTTTCGCTTCCAAATCAGAGCGTTCCGTTGCGAGTCAGCGCCGTGGTTGCCTTTGCTGGCCGCAAAAGTGAACTCCGTTTTGTCGATTCGAAAGAGCCTTGTTGAAGTCAGTGGCTGACAGTCTCGTATGACTGTCTGCATTCGCAGCCCGTCAGCACAAGCTGCTCTCTGTTGGCTGCAAGTGTTCGTGCGTGCGTGACCGTGTCCGTTGTGTGCTGCAGTTTGCGCAGGAGCACCTGGCGGCCGGCAAGGTCCGGATGAAGCGCGTGCTCAACGCGGGCACCATGAAGGTGCCCAAGACGCAAAACGCGCTCTCAGAGCTGGAGAGCCTGCACAATGTGAGCCGCAACTGCCCAAAGGGTTGCCGAAAGAGTACGACGTTTGTCACCTACTGGTGCTTCTCTGATGCCGCAAGATACATACTTCGGAAACTTTGTACATGGAGTCTGTAGGGGAAGTCGCAAGAGGAGTTTCCTTCCACTCGTAATGTCGCCCTGTTATTGGCGCTGGAGGCCGTTCACGCTGAAAGCTGTCGGCTTACATATCTTGCCAACAAGGAGCAAGGTTGCTTTCAGTGGGGCGAACGAGTGGCGATTACAGCGTCGACTCCTCGAAAAGCATTTTGATGATCTAAACTTCCGTGCTCTTTCAGATTCTCTCCCTCTACATCTGGTTGAGTTACCGCCTCCCCGAGAGTTTTGACGAGCGAGAGACCGCCGAGGAGCAGAAAGGCTTGTGCGAGATGTAAGCCGCTCTATACCACGGTGTCAATCGCTTCGTGCAGCAGAGCCTCGAACATCAGATGTTTACACAACCGTGGCTAGGGTGCTAGTCGAGCCGCTTGAGATAACCTGCTTTTCTCATCATTGAAACTCGAGTGAACTCCCTGGATTGGGGAGATTTGTCTGGCGACAGAGTTTTGGCGTTGAGGTGATTAGATGATTACTCGTGTGCTTCTTTACTTGCAGGCTGATCGAGCAGGGTCTGAAGGTTGTCGGAACTCCTGTTATGCGAAAAGCCAAAACGAGGCGGATGATACCGGTAGCTTCAGAGCAGCAATTGCCTTGATACCGGTAGCTTCAAAGCGGCACTTCAAATTAGCGAGAGGCTAAGCAAGTGCGAAAAGCGGGGGCGGAGGAGCTCTTGACGCGACCAGACGTTGACAAGTTCAGAGGACAAAGTCGGAAGGAAGGCAAGTGATCATTCTCGATAAGTCAGCTTGGTGCCCAAGCCATGCATAACGGTGCATAACGAGCGGTGACACGCGTGTTGGCTCCAACCAGAGTCACTCCGCTCTAAGCTTTTACAGAATTTATCAACCAAGTCATTCATGGATCAACAGATGTCTTGGAAGCTTCTATCCTACTGAAAACCGACGGTGCATGATTGCCTTGAATACGGTTACGTCACCATGGTCATAAAAAGCTCGTCAGAATGTTGTCACGACCATCATAAACACCTATGTGCTGCCACTACGAATGGGAGAGGCCAACTGCGTTGAAGTTGCCGGGTAAACGCCTCAAGACTCAAGTATTTGATATTGTTGCAGATTGAATATCGTAGGAACGTCGGTTAAGTGGCTATAGCGCATGATGAAGCCCCGGTTACTTTCCCTTTTCACATTCTAAACAACAAATTCACATCGATCGTTGAATTGATTCAGCTTTGTATGCTGATAACGATCAAAACCCTTCATAGAATTTCGACCCGATGCGTAACACTTTTGTGGACACTTGACTGAAAAACGCCGAGTCGAGAGTAAGAGCTAGTTGAGCTGACTAATTGGTTGCGGAGGCTATCGAAATCAGGTCCGGCTCATAATCCAATGATCTTCGATCGAAGCTGCCGTAGCCGAGTGTCCGATCATGTCTCCCACCACATGTTGGGCCATATGCGCATGCAACCAGTATTCAAAGAGGAAGTTTGGTTGCACGACATGTTTAGTGAGTTTCAATGCTCAAAAGGTCCGTTGCTATATGCAGTGGCGTTCACAAATTCCATTTTGACTTCGAAACTTTTCTGGTATAATGTCCTTCACTTCTCAGCAGGGGTCGGCACAAGCCGACTAACAGTGAACCCGGGGACACAAGATTTTGGGAAAAGCCGACAAAATTGAAAAGTACCCGGCTCGAAAGCCGACACCAGAGGCAGGGTCCTCAGCCGAAAACCGACAAGTACCCAGAAATCCAAGCGAGAAGCCGATGAATTTGCGAGGAAGTCGGCTTTGAGCCGACATTTCCAAAAACCTGTGCCGACCCCTGCTTCTCAGTCAGCCCGTTTAGCTCTTTAAATTCGATCCACTAGCTTGATTTACGGGCCCTTTTGAGTACCTATGCGCGAGACATCTGTCTGCACGCAGATTGCTTCATTCTTAGCACCCACGCATCAGACATTCAAAGCCTGACACTCGAAATGAAAGTCTGAAGGCCAAAAATCGGCTGGCCGAGCTGCCGAGCCCTACCAATATATCAGACGTCCAATGGCGAAAGGGTCTCTCTCACTCTCTCAGTCGACTTTCATCAGTGCAAATCAACTATATTTTGGGAGATATTTTGGAATCTTCCAAAATCGAAGGATCGCCGTATGGGCGGCTGTGATTGGTTCAGGATTTGCTCGCAAATGGACAACCAATCAGGTCTGCCGGCGTTCGCGCCACCAAGCTCAACCGTCAGCCTGGGTCTGAATGATAGTAGGTTAAAGATCAACTAAAAATTCAGACCACTGCTCCTCAGCCTCGAGCCATTGGCATCGGTTCTTCTGCTGCATTCCTCCCGTCCTTTCCTTCCCAGCTGCATTTGTAGCGCCCTTCGATCCTTTTGAATCCCTCTTCTACCTTTCTCAGCAGTAATGGCGCTCGTCGACTCGGATGCAAATCTGGATTCAGTTGCTGCATCGCTGCACGACTATGGCGGTGTTTGCGATTATTGCGGCAAGCAATGCGATCCGGAACTGCAGGACCTGAACTTAGTGTGCTGCTCTTTTGCCAAATGTCCTACGCCAATGGTTTTTCATCAATGTTGTGTGGACGAATACCTGAAGAAGCGCAAGCTGGGTAAAGATGCTAAAGTAAGTCAAGCTTCATTTCCCAGCTTGATTCTCTTAGTTTCTTGACTGGTGGGTAGAGACTACGGTCATGAGATCCGCTCTTCCAACCATGTGGACCTTAGCTGACACATCAGATTGATTACGTGGTATTTGCCTATTTACTTGGAAATGCTCCAGAAAGTTTGGGTTGTTGATTCTATGTAATAGAGGTTGAAGCAATTGATTTCTGTTATAAGTTCCTTCAATGCAACTCAACCGCCTGGTTGCGTCCCATTATCAGCTATGTCAACTTGGCGTCCTTCTCGGAGTCGTTTTCAATTTTGGACAAGCTGCAAAGGATTCTGCCACGAACTGAAACCGACACCTTTTCTTGCAGATTGGCTTCCCCTGTTTGCGGGGTTACAGTAACAAGAGCGCTGACTACGAAAAGCCTTGCAAAGGGTTAGTCCTAATCACTTTCTCCCCCGTCCCTTGGGCTTTTCCTTGGAGTCGGGAAAAGCTGAATGAGTTGGAGCTGCAAATGTTAATTGACTTGCCAGATTGACCATTGCAAGGATTGTCCCAATTGAGCAGTGGTGACCACTTTAGCTTTTGGGGTACTTTTTAGGGGTAGCTGCCAAGTTGGTCAAGCTTGCTCTTTGACTGGGTGCAGGCGCGTCTTCCGTCTGCACCACGTCCATGCCCGAATGGAGAACAGCAAAAAGAGGCAGAAGGCCAAGATGCCAGACAACTTTGTCCCGGGTCCTGCCAAACGAGAAAAGAAAGAGAAAGCAGACGAAGGGCAGCCCGACAAGGCCCCTGCAAAGCCGGCAAAGGCAGTCGCTCCACCGGCAGCTAAGCCTTTGCAACCGTTAGTGAACATTTTTGCGCCAGCCAATAAGCAGCCTGCAAAAAAGCCAGCCCCGCCTGCTGTACCAAAGCCTCCCGCTGACATGGATCAGAGCAAGATGGATGCAATACGCAAGCAAGTGGAGGCCATGCGGCAAAAGAAGGGCAACCCCTCCGCCAAGCTTGCAGCGGACAGCTTTGCGAAAGCAAAAAAGCCACCAAGCAGGCAGGATCAGCTCATGGTGCAGCATGCCCTAGAATCGGCACAGGCAGGCCATGTTGCAGGAATACCCTCTGGCTGGGCCAATGGCGCACCTTCTGAAGCGCCCCCAGCAGAGGAAGCCGAAGACTCCGATGAAGAAGGCGAGTGGATGACGGTACTGGGGCGCAAGAAGGGCAAGGCTGCTGCTAAGCCGCCATCCGGCGTGTCCCGCAAGCAGGCAAAGAAGCAGGCCTGGCATGACAAGCAGGCGGCTCTTAAGGCAGCGCAAGCGCCCGATCCGACGCCTGCCGAGAGTGCCACCAAAGCTGTGCCCAAGCCGCCTGCGCAGGCCCCTCCTGCTTCCCCTGCGCCGCTCTTCAACGCCTGGGGCAAACCGAGAGAGGAACAGCCGCAAGTGAGTGTGGTACGGTTTGGCTGCTAATGCTTGAACTGCCCAACTTACAACTGTGTGTGTGCTTCTTGCAAATACAGGTCTTCAAAATACTTCCCGTTACATGTTCCTCTGAAGAAGTTCTACAGTGCCACGCACTCCGCCACTTACAAAAGCTCAGATCTTTGCACACTTGCTTATATTGGTACTTGCTCCGTGAAAATTCTCAGTGTTCTCTCTTAACCAGTGTCACCTACTGTCCGTTCCAGGCACCCCCCCTGCCGCGATCCCCCTCCCCCCCGGTGGCCCGGCCTGCTTCCCCCCCTGTCTGGCGGCCATCTCCGAGTCCCCCCCCAGCGGTGCAAGGGCTGCGCTCGTGGTCGGAGAAGCTGCTGACGGTGCTCAAGGAGCACAAGATCCGCGTGGCCACCAAGCAGCTGCTGGAGCTGGGCTTCCCGGACTGGCTGTCGGTCACCGCGGTTCGCGCTTGTGGCACCGACGTGGACCGCTGCTGCGAGTGGCTCAACTCGGGGCAGTCGCCAGCGGACCCGATCATCGACCTCACGGCCGAGCTGGCGCGCATCAGCAAGTACGTGGACGAACAGCTCCTGATGACTCCCGTTTTTCCTTGCTTCCATGAGCAGGGGTTTGTAGATGGTCTTGGTCGACTACCAACGAAGACTGGGCAGTAGCTTTCAAGCTCCACGTTTTACCACCTGAAGTCGCTGCAAGTAGGCTTGGGAATTGTGCGTGCAAGAGAAATTGGACGTTGACTGTCATTGTGTTGTGCCAATGGTTTGCAGGTTGCTTGGCAGGGGCCGTTGTCTGATTCTTTCCGGCCTCGTCTCCTGTCCTGCGCAGGTGGGTGTCCGTTGGGTGCCTGAGCCAGGACGTGGTGGAGATTTCGCTCGTTTCGTGCTCGGGGGACATCGACGCCGCAGAGACTGTACTGCGCGCCAATTTCGACCACTTTGCGGAGCACAGCAGTGCCGCATTCGCCCCCGATCCGAGCCCTGGGCCAGCCCCCACCGGTCCTGTTCAGAACAGCTGGAGCGACGATCTTTTTCCTCTGAACTGGGGGACTGCTGGACGGGACTCGGTGGCACCGCGCCCAGCCCCCCCCCCTCGGAAGAAGGAGCAGCCCACGCCCCCGCTGAAGGATCCTCCGAGGCCCGACAGCGCCCCAAAGCCACAGACCCCAGTGGATCCTCCAAGGCCCGAGAGCCCACCAAAGCCACAGACCCCGGCGTTCGAGATCCCAAAGACGATGCTCGCGGGGAATGGCAGCTACATCACGGATCTCTCGCGGTACAACGAGTTACTGGGGATCAGCGACGAGGACTCCGAGGATGAGGAGTTTGAAGAGGGGGAAGCCGGGGCAGACCCAGAGGTCCGGGATCCTGCTTCTCTGTTGAAGGAGTACCTCGGAGGGTCTGATTCTTCGAGCAACAAGGCGGAAGTGCCGGCACCTGCAACCCCCCCAGCAAGCGAAGCAAGGTGAGGCGCGCCAGGCAGGACTCGTAAAGTTCAGTGTAGTGCATGCATGTAGCGCCACTACACAGCCTGCAATTTGATTGTGTTGGCAGCTTGGCGTCAAGGGCTTTCACCCAGGTTTCTCTGCGACAATCCTCACATAATGGTCATCGATTCACCTGAGGAAGGACTTCGCCGAATCTCTGGGCAAGAGTTCGTCGCCGCACTTGCGGCCGTCCTCCCATCTGTGCTAGTTCGAATCGTCAGGAAGTAGCACGCACCAGAACAGGCAGCATTCCCAACTAAGACGACCGCTTCTGGGCGGGGTGCCAGTCCTCAAAAGTACTGTAGCCATCCGTTATGTTCTTGAATACGAAACATTATCTTTGTATGTGCAGAAGCGCCCAAAATGGGATGTCCAATGGCTTGGATACAGACGACCTTTTGGCTGTGTACGGGATCTTTCCAAAGGCTGCAGTCTCCACACCACGGCCCTATCTCCCCGGGCTGAAGTATGAGCGACAAGGTCCAGAAGAAGATCAAGACACGCTTGTATCGCAGCTGATGACTCAGCTTCTGGTTTGACGCCGTTGGACAGATTGGATGAATACAGCTGAAGAACAAGGGGCGTGAGCTACGGTCTATCCAATTTCAGCAAATGCTCGTCGGCAGGTCGTTGGTGGTCGGCAGTTTGGCTTAGAGTTTCCTGTGGCCGGTTCTCGAGGTAGTCTCTGATTGCACACGAGCAACAGGCGACTTACGGGCGGTATGCTTTCAATGACGCAGCTTCCGGGTGCAGTGTTTGGTTGAGCTTTCCTTGTTGGACAAGACATTGTAAAACTTGCAAAATTCGTCTTTCACAATAGCTAATGTCTTAGTAACATGAGCTTACAATCTTTAAGAACGTATAGATGGCTGGCACGATAATCATGCAAGAACGCTTCGCTCCATATACAGCGCCCGACAGAATCGTCTGAATTACATGTGTGCCCAAGTACTAATGCCAGGTATGTTCGATTCGATGCTTTACAGCTGCATGGCCATGGTCTGGGCATAATCTAGGCGTTTAAGCGACTCACACTTCCAAGATTGAGTCGGGCTATATCGATATGATTGTCACTATCATGCTGCTTTTGCAGCCATGCATCCAGAATTCTCCCTTACATGCATTGGCAGTACCGTCCTAGGCAATTTTACTTGCATGAGTCATGAGTGCAGACATGGGATTGGACGTGTATTGCATGATTGATTCTTATCACATGCTACATATACAGGCTGGAAGATTGGGCCCGACAATGATCGAGTGTGTTGTAGAATTGTAAACCACATTCAAGGGGCCGGAATTAAAAATAAACAGACTTAGAAATACTAGAATACAAAAGAGAACTTGACATCAGGTAAAGAGTCTATATCCAAACGTCCAGCTACTTGCTGTACCATATAATTGCACCGCGTGCATATTTGACCGGCGCATGCCTATGGAACAAAGACAAACACAATAGCTTATCTGCTGCGCTAGAGCAATTGCAAACCCAGTCCAGCTGCAAGCATGCAGAAACTCTAACGTCCCTCACCCCCAAGCCACCATACCGTAAGCCTCTCATTCTTCCATCTGCACTATCCTCACAATGTACCTTGCACTCGGCGCTCTGCTCACGCCCCAGTCGCCTTGTTGATCAGCTTCTTCAGGCCTTGCTTGATCCTGTGCTTGTGAGCGCCCTCCGTGTACGCGCTCTCCTCCGCGCTCAGCTCCCCGAGCGCCGGCTCATGACCCACCACGCGGTCCGTCGAGTACTCCGGCAGCCCGTCCTCCCCGGTGCCTGTCACCAGCGACTTGGACGTCCCAAACTCGTGCTCTTGTCGCAGGCCCACATCGGCGTCGGGATATGCGGCGTTCACACTTGCCACCGTAGTGCCGGGCAAAGTGGCGTCCATGGCTTCTGCGGCGCGCGCGTTTTGCTGGTCGAGCAGCTGGCTGGCGGCGGGGCCGTAGATGCTCATGGCGCCCGGTTGGCCAATGCCGACGTCTAGATCCAGCGACTGCGGGATGGGCTCCTGCGACGTGGCCGCCACCGCCTGCATCTCGCTCGACATCACCGGGCCCACGCCGAGCGCCTGTAACCACCGGAAAGAAGGTTTAGAAGCAATAGACAGTGTAGGCTTTGAAAGGCAAAGCCATGGAACAGCCGAGAGCCATTGTGCTGGATTGATCGTGCGCATTGGTTGAGGATCAGGCAAGTGCTTCACTCTGCATACAAACACTGTGGCGACAATGATGCACCAAAGGAACGCCAACCTAAGCTTCCATAACCTGTTGTCCAGGCACGTGCCCGGCCCACATTAAAAGATATTGAATTTGACAAGAGAGCGGGACGACGTCCTACCTCCTTATTGAGGCCTGCCGGCCGGTTGTCATCGTACGGCATGTCGTTGAGAGTGATTGCGATGCGGATCTCCCCTTGCGCCTGCCCCTTTTTGCCCGGGGCGTCCTCCAGGGGCAGCCACATCTCGGTGCGGGCGCCGTGGCGGTGCTTGGCCAGGTCGACCTGCACCTGCCCCAGCTTGTCGTCCTGCAACCCGACACGCAGACACCTCAGCCCTTTGCAACATTTGCAACCAAAGCCGCAGCAATCATTTAAAAAGGAGCCCTAGACTTTGTTTGCTTTGCAACAGAGATTGACTGCCTCCACGTTTCGGAAGGTCCGGTAGGCGGGATCCTTGGCGGGCCGCTGCTTACGCTTTCTGACCAGCAAGTACAGGGTGTTCGACTACTTTTCCAGCCAAACGCCATGCGAACTTCCACTTGTGAGCCGCTCTCAAGGTAAAACCTTTGGCTGCATCAGACTTTCGTGTGACACCTCGGGCGTGGCGCCTCACCCTGGAGAAGTCGTCGTGATCGAGGACCTTGATGAGCGCCACCTGCGGGGAGGCCCACGTGGGCACGTACAGCTGGAACTCCTCGTTCCAGAGCGGGTTCAGCGTCTTCTTCTTCACGTTGGTCTGCCGCTGGTACTTGAAGTAATGCAGCTTCACATACGGGTCCGACTTGCCTGCGCGAAATGGATGCACTGAGATGAGCCTCCCAGTGCCGCACAGCTTATACAACTTTCTTCGCGAGCACCACGTGCACATCCGCAGCGTTTCTCATAGGTATGTCTTCGACAACCAGGACGTTGAACAAGGACTGTCGCAGATTCTTTTTGCGACTGCGCCCGAACACGTTCACAACTCTCACACAGCTGCAAATACGTAGCATATTATGGAAACTCGCAGGCGAGCAGAAACGACTCGGCCAATTCAAATTGCGCTCGCCCTTACCTGACCTATCAGCGGCCCGGAGATTGCGCCCCTCCAAGATCTCAAACAGGACGATGGCTTCTGGCCTTCCATGCTCCAGTTCGATCCAATCTGGACAGAGGAACATATTAGCTTCATCATCTTCCCTGCGCAATATCCTCACGCCTCTTGGATGGCAATGATTCGTGGCTGCTTTTGAGTTGAAGATTTATTGAAAAAAATCATCAGATGGCCCCTATGTCAATCGATTTAGAATCCTTTTGTCGAAGGCTGAGGGCCAAATCGAAATTTGCCCGGGAGAGACACAAAGAAGCGTCGAGCCATAGCCACGTTGCCACCTCCCAGCAACGGATCCGTTCGGCCAACATCCATCATAGAGCCGTGAACGAGGCAGCTGGGCTTACTTGGCAGCTGCGCCGGCACTCCAACAACGCCATCCCAGCAGAGGAGCTTTGGAACGTCGATTGTCAAGATATTGGGCTGCAAACGTCAAGAGCACACTGCTTCACATGGTCATATTGCTTCACATGACCGATGAACACAAGCTCGGTGTAGACGGACCCATGGACACAGGTGTACGTATTGATCTCGTGGAAATCGTCATCTAGGCGCTGCAGTTCAGTTATGAAATGATCCAGAGGTGCAGTATTCACCAAGGCACCATTGCTTAGACATGCCACCGTTTGTTGTGTTCGACATGCCATCCCTTCAAAAATAACACCCTGGACCATTCGACCCATGCACCTTCACGACCAAGTACAAGCAGCTTCTGCACAAAGCGACTCCTGTGAATATCGGAAAACAGTGGCCCGTGCTTACCGTAACCACAGTGCTCTCAACCGCGGAGGTGAGCGTGTGCTCAATCAGGTTGGCTATGATGGGCATGTGTGCAATGTCGAAACTGTGGGTGGTCAATGGCTTGACCGACACGCCAACTTTGGGGGGGGTCACAAAGGAGACGCGCACTCTCTTGATCAGGGGCAGATTGTGAGCCAGCTGGATGCCGACACGCACCTGCAGAAGTAAGTCTAAGTGCATTCGGCCATGGAAATGGTGGTGCTGCCACGAGGGCAAACGCACTTAGGTTACATTTGATGCGGCGCCAAGCATTGAGCGGGTCCTTCTTGTCGAAAGCAAGGCATCGCGCCACAGCCTTCACATACAAGCAGGACAAAGCTCGGATATAGTAGTCTGGCCTGGCTACTCTGGGGGGCAAAGAGCCTGGCATAATATGAGAGTTGCAAAGACAGATGACTTGGAAGCCGTTCTCCCTGTTCTCTCTGTACAGATTATATCGAGAAAGAAAAAAACAACAGGAGTTCTCTATCTGTGTAACTCATACCAGGAAACAATTAAGAACAGGACTTTCAAACAGATGAAGAGAGAAGTAGGGACAAAGTGCGGCTCACCTTGCCCTCCATCCTGAGGCTGGTGATGAACGCCTGGGCCGTGACCTTGATGGTGCGCACTTTCGCCTCTGCGGTGGCGCTGAAGTCAGCGTCGGTGAAGAAGGACATGCTGCACTCCAGCACAATGTGGTCGTCGCTGGACGGCTGGCTGTACACGCGCATGTTGGACAGCACCGGGGGCGTGCTCCCCAGGCGAATCTTTAGTAAGGACAACTTCTCCTGCACATACCAAAAAGATAATTGTAGACAGTGTTACAGTTTCCTGGGCTCCGTTCAGGGTATTTGTTCAACTTCCGTCCTGGTGACAAGTGCCCTTACTAACAGGCCTTAATTTTATTGTTTCAGCATTGGTGCATTCCTATCAAGCACCTTGACTAGCGAGCACTTTTGAATCCAAATGAGATTGGTAAGGAACAGGTTACAACGCACTGCAGCACTTTGCTGAAGGCTGAAACGTGCACTCCCAAGCTTATTATGAGGGTGAGATGATGAAACAAGTTGCTGCTCATGCAATCAAGAAGCAAATTTGGACCCCACTGTGACTTACCAGCGCCCCTGGTTTGAAGGTATCCAGGAACCAAGGCACCACCTTAAGGATGTTCTCACAGATGAGCGGCTCCAGGTTGTAGTTCCAAAGAGCCTCCGTCATGGTGTTCACCCACCCACATGTCTCCGTCACGTCAAATGCCTGCGTATAGAAGCAGCCGGAAGGTCCAGAGACATCAGAGGCAGTGAATGAATTACCAACTGAGAATTGTGTGTATTCATTCATGATCTTGATGTAAACTCGCATAAAGAAGATGGGATTGCACAATTTCTGAATCCAAGGGTGTAAACCTCAGGGCTCACCTTCTGGCGTTCCACCTCCCTGTAGGCTTCATGGCGCAACCGGCTTGTACTTGCATCCCGCTGCGACCTGTCAATCTGCAGGATTCATTCAAACAGAGTAGATGGTCTTATCAGCTGGTCAAAACTTGCAATTGACTTGGACCAATGGAAGTCACTTGCATGCAAAAACTGCTGCTTATTCACTACCCGCCAATCCACAAGCAATGGCATGATCCTGGATGACTTGTCCATGATCCCACCAATGTCAACATACCTGGCTCCATGAGAATCAAGCAGTCTTTCCCCACATGTCATCTCAGTTCAATGTATGATCCCAGATTTGCGACCCAACGGCTGTACACTTGACAACATCTAACATGCAGCATCATCTGAAGGGATCCCCTGTCTTCCTGGAATGAAGCAGCGTCCCACGCCTTCAAGGAAGCTTGTGACTCACAAATCCCAGGTAGAGCAGCGACCACGTAAGTGCCAAGAAGATGCTGACGCCAAAGTAGCCCGAGAGCCAGACCAAAAAGACGACCACCGCCACATGCCCCAACATCTGGAAGTCCACAAGGAAGCAAAGGCCTGGCAGCATCCATGCATTCCACGCACTGGGAAACGTCCCCTGCAGCTTGCGGGCCACAGGCCACAACAAAGCCGGCAGCTGCTTCCGCCACGGTTCTCGCATAGCACGGGGGCTCGGTGGCGGTGTGGGAAGATAAGTACCAGCCATGACGGCCTTTCGATCAAAGAACTCAAGGTTCCTGTGCTAGATGATCACTAGAGCAGCTAAACTCGCCCTCTCTGCAGATCTCCACGAAACCTCTCAAAAGCTGAAGCGTTCAGTTGATACAACCGTCTGCTGGCACCCTGAAATCTGCTTCTTGTTGCTAGGTTCCCCTGCACCTTGACCAGACCTCTTGAAGACTGAAGTTGAATCTTCAAGTTCTTGCCAAGCAAAGGTGCGATCTCAATTTGAGTAGTCACTGTCAACATTGAAGGGCCCTGCACCCGGGCGGCCCCGGCCCCTGGGCCCCGGGGGCCGGCCGAGTTCATGTCAATGAGGCCGAGTTTCCCGGCCTTGCTGCTTTGCCAGCTGGCGTTCCACGTGACGAGGGGGCTGGTCAAATGGAACCAAGTGGCTTCTCCAGATTTTGCAAAACTATGCTGATATGGCACATGCTCATTGGCTACCAGATTCCCTCTGACACCAGAATCTGCGGTAGGTACGAGGTCCATCATGCACCTGCGGAACCCACGAAGCTCCGCGAAACAGAAGAGAAGCGAGCTGCAGGGTCTAGTTCGAGGCTGCTTGCAGCTGCAATGAAGCCAGCGGCCCGAGCATGCCGCCATTGCAGAGCTCCTGTGGGGAGAGCTTGCGCAGGAGCTCCTTCGAGCTTGTCTCCCACGAAGAACGTGTTGCCTGTGATCTGTGGTGGGATTGACCTGCATGGTCAGATTGCTGCCTCCTCATCGTGTGCGTACTCTAGAAACAGAGTTTCGACTTCTGTTGCAACCTGGTTTTCGTCTCGCCCTTGTTCCATCCCCTCAAGACGCTTCCTTTTCATACCAACTGCCCCTCTACTGTTTAGACAAGACAAGAAACTGAGGCTTGGCTTGAAGGATCGGTTGTTGAAAGGTAGAGCTGTTGCCCCAGCCCAGCGGCAGCGTTTTACAATGAGCGAAGAGCTGGCCCCAGGGACAGGTGCGCTGCTCAGGGTGAAAAGCCTGGGCTGGCTCCGCATGAGGTCTGGGCGGCGCAGGGGTGAACTGAATGGCCTGGACCGCACTCTGAGCCCTGCGGAGATTGCCAGCCTGTTGGGAGCGGGCCAGTTTGAAGCGGAGGTGGTGGTTACATCCGGGTTTCTGTTCAAGCTGGGGGACGGAGGCTCGTCCAAGCGCGTGAAGGCCGTCCTCGTTCCGGAGGGCCTCGTTTGGCGGCAGAGCGTGTCACGCAGAGTGTTGCTTATAAAGGACACCATTTCGGTTGAGGTCAAGAATGCTGCCAGCCAGTTTGAGCTGCATGGATTTGCAACTAACCCCGTGTCCAATGCTGGCAAGAGGTTGGTGCATGTCAGGTTCTGCGCGCCTTCAGCTCAGGAAGCGGAGAAGTGGGTGCAGGGGCTTGGAAGTTTGGGCACAGCGATTACGGTGCAAGAGGCAGGGGCAGCTCTTGTGAATGGCAATGAGGCTGAGGCGAATGTGGAACCAAGCGAACCACGCGGCCAGGATGGCAATGGGGGTGCTGGTGAGTAAACCTCAGAAACTGTTGGCTGATGGGCCAAGCAATTTTCCACGTCCAATAGCTCGAAGTTGGCGCTTCTGTAACTTTGCTGTCAGTATTCTCTCCACCATGGTGGTGGAAAGGCTGGGTTCGTTAATTGTTGCTGGCTGTTAGCATCTGTGCAAGTATAGTGGGATTGGAGTTGTATGGGCATTGTGAAGTCTACGTTATACATTTTGCGAGTAATCATCTAACACCATTTCTCATGCTCTGAGATTTCAGCAGAGTTCAGCAGCCATAGCATAGTTTGCAAATACACAGAAGCAGATACGAATGAGAGCTAGATTGCAGGGAGTCAGATGTCCAGCTTAATTATGGTGGAGTAGTGCTCCAGATTTTTGTTTCCTTCTCTGTTTCGCACACGTCATGTAGATTCACTAGTAAGGTTTCTAGCATCTGAAAGCAGATTTGTCAGATTCTACAGGTATTCTCTTCTGCAACTTCTTGCAACACGTATTGAGTTGGTGTCTTTTGAACTGAACCAAGCACTTGGGCTTGCAATCTGTACAGACTGGCTCTACGTAAGCAGAATGAAAGCTTTTTGAGGTAAAAAGATAAAGCATTTATCTAGGCAGTGTACATAAAGCAAGCGATACCCTTCATCTGCTCACCGCCAGCACAAATTCCCAGTGGTAGCATAGAGCTCCTTGATTGTGGAGGTCCCCACTTTCATGTGACACTTGAGTTCACAGGACACGGCCTTTTGAGAATCGACATCAGAGGGGTACTGCATCTATGCGCCAGTAAGCAACACCCACACTTCCAGTCTCTTACTGCAGTAGAGATGGACGCCACCCCTGAGCCAGGCGCCACAGTCTTGGAGCGGGGCGGCGCTCCTATCCTGATCATCGTGAACCCCTGCTCGGGGCATGGCCGGGGCGCGCGCGTGCTGGAGCACCTTGTGCTGCCAATCTTCCGCCTGGCTGGACTCAAATTTACGGTCGTCCAGACGGAGCGCGCCGGGCATGCTGTCAGGCTGGCCTCCCAGATTGACCTGGGCACCTGTGAGGGGGGCATCGTCTGTGTGGGCGGGGACGGCCTCGTCAATGAGGTGAGAAGTCGCTCGTGGGGAATGCTGCTAAAGCAAAGTCGAGAAGTGTTGCTCCAGTGCAGAAGTGGGGTTGGGCAGAGCTGTTTGTAGTTGGGTGATTGCGGGAACATTCTCAGAACGAACTGTCATGATGGGCAGGAGGCCGAGTGGCTGATGCGCACCGTCATATTGTCTCTTGCCCGCATAATGACTGCAGAAAGTTTCGTCTAATGATAGCTGGTGATTGACTGTTCTAGGTCTGACACTTTTGGATCCCAGGGCCAGTAAGTTTTTCAACAGGAGTGCACGCCTTTGTTGAGAGATGCAACCTGTTACCCGCCATGCTGGACAATCGTTGCTGCCTGGGTCTTGTAACACTCCCGCGGATTAGGCCGGCTTAACAGTGAGTCCGACAGCTTCTTCGCACGTTAAATCGCACCCAGCTGCTCCTCCTCTGACCGTGGCATACTGACGCCCAGCACGCACCCTTGGCACAGGTACTGAACGGGCTGTTCCTTCACCCCGACCGCAAGCGCGCCATGTCGTGCCCCATCGGGGTCGTCCCTGCTGGATCGGACAACGCGCTTGTATGGAGCGTACTCGGGGTCAAGACCGCCACTGATGCCGCGCTCTTGGTCGTCAAGGTGAGGGGAAGTTGTCGACCCAGTTTTCCACTGATGCCCCAAGCGCAAGCTGCTATATGAATGGACTTGATTGCGCGATTGTGCGATGACTACGGCCTCAGTGGAGGTGCGCCCGCGCCCGTCGGTTGGCAGTCGAGCCTGATGACACTCATTTTCCTCGCTGTCTCGTGTATGTTGTGAGTGCACAGGTCTCCCTTGTGTCCAGCTTGCACCATCTGCTTACTGCGTTTCTGCAGTGGCCGGCTTCTGCTAGCGGCTATCCAGGGCATCCCAAGTACGGCTCCGCCGTCCTAGACCCTGTGGAAGCAATCTCGCCGGTTCTTGTCCTGACCCGCCCTCTGTTTGACTCTACAGGGTGGCACGACGCCGCTGGACGCGTTTGTGGTGCGCTGGGATCCGACCGCTGACAACGCGGCGCCCGTGCCGCAGATCGGCGTGTGCATGACGTACTACGGCTTCATGAGCGACGCGCTGCGTCGCAGCGAGATGCCGGGCCTCAAGCGGCTGGGCCCGCTCAAGTACACGGCCGCGGGCGCGTGGCAGATGCTCTCGCTGCCGCACTACATCGTCGACGTTGAGTTTCTGGAGGTGGACCCCGAGGAGCGCCGCGCGTGGTGGGCCGCGTCCTCGGGCGAGGGCAGCATGCGCGAGGCGCTCGAGGCGCGCGAGCGCGAGCGCGAGCAGGGGGGGCGGCGCAAGCGCAGCAACTGGGAGGAGCGGCAGCAGGAGGCGCTGCTGAACGAGAGCGCCGACGAGGAGCGGCGGCAGCAAGGGATCACGTGGAACGTGCGCGCGCGCGAGCTGGGCGCGCGGTGGGGCCCGAACGAACCCCCCGGGAAGCTACTCGAGCCGGACCACGAGCGTGCCGCGGAGGGGCGCCGCAAGCGGCACGGAAGCTCGGGCTTCCGGCGGCGCGCCGGGCGGAATTTCAGGTGCGTGGGAGGCCTGGATTTCGCGGAGTTTGAGGAGGATGGGGCGGCCGGGCCGAGCGGAGCGCCTGGAAAAGGGCGGAGTGGCCGCCCAGGTCACCGGCATACGTTCTCGGCGCCTGCGAGAGTGGGCGCGTTCGACGAACCGGATGAAGACCTGGGCGAAGTTGCGGAGTCCGACGGGGATGCCCAGAAGGCAGATAGTGAAGCAGAAGCTGTGCACGCAGAGCGATACGAACGTACTGCTGGCGATTGGGGGCCGCGAAGTGAGGGAGGAGAATCGAAGCGAGTGGAGGCAAGCGGCTCTGCGCCATCTGAGGGAGCCTCTCAGCCGGACAAGGTGGATATCCCCGTACGAATACGCGATGGGCGGGGATCTGCCAGCGGACGGGGCACCGAAGCAGCTGCGGAGGGCGCTTCCGGCGGCGGCGAAAGCGGCGCCAGCGGATCGTCCGGGGGGTGGGTGCGGCGCAGCGGGCCGTTCCTGTCGGTGATGGTGTGCAACCACAAGTGCCGCAGCGTGCAGTTTCTGAAGACGCAGTGCCTGGCGCCCAGCGCGGAGGCGGACGACGGCCACCTGGACCTCATGCTGGTGAAGCCGGTGGGGCGCGTCGACCTGGTGCGCTTCCTCACGCTGCTGCAGTTCAGCAAGCACGCCGACCTGCCCTTCGTCGAGTACCGCAAGGTGAGTGCGCGCGCTCTAACCGCGCTTCTTTCGGTTTTCCTGAGCGACAAAGCGAGCGGCCCAGGGTAAACGGGCTGTTGCGTGGATCAAGCTTTCGAATGCTGGGGTTCGAGGCAAGAGGACACTGAACTGCGGTCCTGCTTTACAGCTGGAAGCTCCTTTGATTAATTTGTAATGTGTGCCACGTGTGGGTGAACGTCAGACACCGTCGGAGTTGCCGGGCAGCACGGTCAAGAGAAGATGCGCCTTGCTTGCTCGCTGCCCTTTTCTGTAAGTACCTGCGACCCTTTTGCCGTTGTATCAATCTGGCTCTGCGATGTTTCCGCCATACAACCGACCATTTATTTGAGGGTAAATGAACTATTTGAGAGAACAGGTGTTGATTATCCGGAGGAGCATGCTCTTAGAGTCATGAAAGGCCGTTTTACCCTCTTGCCTGCTTCTGTTGCTTCAGGTGAAAGCCGTGCGTATTATTCCGGGCGAGAACGACAACCGGTCCTGCGGCATCGATGGAGAGCTTTTGCCTCTCGTGGGCCCGGCCACCATTTCTGTCATCCCCGGGCTTTTCAAAATGATGGGCCGCTCCGTGTGGCCGGCTTAGTTGATTCCAGGTTCCGTGTGACCCATATACAAGCAAAGGTTGAAGTAGTTCTGCTTAAACAAACATGCAGCCTGTCCAACCTGCCCAGAGAACTGGCAGCACATGCACTTTGGATGCAATATATAAAAGCTTGAGACCGTCACAACCAAAACGAATCTTATCAGTATATTCAACGCTGTTTTGGTCATGGCTGCGCATAACGCGCACATGCACATGGCCGGCCAGCTAGAGATTTGTTTGCATGTATTTATAATTTCCAGCTAGGTCAATCCGGCCACATGATAGTGTGCATCCACCTATAGCGCTAAGCTTCGAGGACAAAGAAGCGAAGTTGTCCCGGATCCATGTATGCGATGCACTATAGCTGGAGTGATGCGATGCGCACTCATACAAGAAGCGAATAGTTTAACGAGAGCCGCATGTGGGTCGGACATATCATCACATACAATGATCGCAGTATTATTGAAGCATTGCTGACAGCACGAACTCATTCCCACAGACGAAGGGAGCCAATGGTGCGTTCAAATCCACTATCTCGGCTTAAGATCAAACATCAAACGAAGTGCAAGCATGTAGCCAGCCAGGCTATAATTAAGGATGGAATCAATCAGCAAGTCATGTCGTACCTGCACCTGGCCCCTGAGCGCTTTGGCAAAACTAGCCGATGGGCCTTGACAAACTGAGCATCTGATGAACAGAAAGTTCGCTCTGCCCAAAAATACTCGATCTCCCCTTGCCTGCTCCTGTGCTTGTGTGGCCGCCGTTTCTATACAAATACTACAAGGCTGTCCTAAAACCTTTCCGAAGTGTCTCACAAATGCTGATTCTATCGCCGCTTCAGAGCCGAGAAGAAGCCACCAGGCTTCTTTTCCTTCCTCTTCTCCAGGTCGGAATCCTCCTCAACCTGCAACAAACCAACGTCGTCGCATCCAATGCTTGAAACGCTTCCATCCAGATTGTTAAAAACCACTTTGAACACGAGTGTTCATCATGAGACCGCTCGCAGTCAAGGGGCCCATTCCGGTAACGTCTGCTGCTCAAGTAGACCAAAGAGTACAGCGCCCTCACCGACTTAAGCGCGTCCTGCAGCAGCTTTGTCACTTCCGAGAACTCGGGCCGCTCCGACGGGTTGGTCGACCAGCACCGGTGCATGACCTCAGCCAGCTTGGGGTGGCACGTCTTGGGGATCGTCGGCCGAAGCCCCTGCCAAGCGAGTCGTGGAGAAGCATGAGAACCGTGCTCTTCGCAGCCAGCAGTCGCTCCCTTGCCGGCACAAGGAGTTTTGGTCACTAACACAAGATGGTCAATGATGTTGTAAGAAGAATTGCCTCAAGAGAATGCCTGCGAGAACATGAGCGCCGAAACATTTCAGCACAAGGTTGGTGATCGAGGACAATCGTCCGTGCAGAAGAACGACGGGGGTGAACATGGCAGGTCGCTGACTTACCTTCTGAACCACGCCAACTGCCGCTTGGAGCGGCGTCAGATCGCTGTAAGGCAACTGCAAGGACGCAGAGAGCAACCGCGGCTTAAGGAGAGAGTAAATCACACTAGAAATTGTACTGGGCAGTAGAAATACAGGCTTTAGCTGCCACGCAGAATGAATTCTGGCTACATGCAAAGGGCCGACGATCATGACGCCGGCCAGTCCTCACCTTTCCAGTCAGCAGCTCCCACAGAACAATCCCAAAACTGAACACATCTGCCTTATTGTCGTAAGGCCGATGCTCAATGACCTGCACCAAGGCAAAAAACGGAATCAACAACACAAGAAGAGCGAAGACAGCCGCCCGGCTGCGCTCTTTCTCTGGCAAAACATTCCAAACCAGCGTGCTCAAGAACACGGAAAGCAGAAAGGAAGCAAGGGCGCATCAAAGTACAGCAAACCAAGAGGCCGGAGGGGATGCAAGTCCAGCTGTTCTTCCGCTCTGCACAAACTAATTTGCAATCAGTCATGGCATGCAACATGCATCACTTGACAAAGTCTAAAGCGCAACAGCAAACTATCAAGCCTTCGGCTCGAGTTGAGCACTTTTGTGAAACATATACGAGAGCTGGCTCACTTCGGGCGCCATCCAGCGGTATGTTCCTGTCTCGGCCGTCATGATCCCGCTCTGCGCCTGGACCCGGGCCACCCCAAAGTCGGCCACCTTGACCACCTGCACAGCAAGCGTCCTCAAGGCGTTACGAGGGCCAGCTCAGGAGGAAGCATGGGTGGAGCAGCATCACTGGACCACCTGGCGCTGCGATAGGAAACGTCCCATGTCGACACGTTTATCCACGTGTGACCCAGTTAAAAAGAAAATGCTATTAAACAGATCGGTTGCCCTGCAAAGCGCGTTACGGCCCACATCTTCGTACAGGCGAACCCAAGCGACGGACCCAATCAACCAGAGCACTTCGTCAGCTTACAATAATAGCTTGCAAACCAGACATTCTTATGATCAGGAACTCGAACCTGATGAAGCAACCTTGCCATCGTCACTTTACAAGACTTTCCAAGGAAACGGACATATCGGCCCCGATAACTCGGAATAGCCTAGGACCCAACCGTTGACTTCAACCCCGAAATATGTCCATCATGAGTTCCCAACGGCTAATAAGCTCCCACAAAACACCGCAGCAAATAGAAGTCGGACGATCTATATATATTGAGTCTGCTTGTGCGCCACGCTGACGGCACAGCACATTCGAAGTAAAGAGATGTAGGATCAACCGACAGACCCTGACCAGAATAACATCCCAAGAGAACCAAGATCTTCCCCTTGGGCGCTCTCGACATCAGAGTACACGGAGGAGCGGACTGGCACAGATTGCCTTGAGGGGCAATTTGAACTCAGAGATCCTAGGCGGCGCAGCTTAAGCAGGGTGTCGCGCATTAACTTACATCGTTTTCGTCCATGAGCAGGTTTGCCGCCTTCAAGTCCCTGTGAATGATGTTGTTCTGATGCAGGTAGTCCATGCCCTTCGACACGTCGATCCCAATCTTCAAGAGCAGAGGCAATCGGATAGCTGCCTTCTGCTTGTGCAGGTAGTCGTAAACACTGCCTCCCGACATGAACTCTGCAGAGGCGGCCACGGCGACAATAAACAGGCCGCCGAGTAAACAGGCTTCCCCGGGTAGATGGGCCCAGCGTTCCTTAAGTAAGCAACCTGATCCAAGCGACTAAGGGATTGACTGGAATCTGCAGCCTAAATAGCTCCATTAAAGCTCTAACTCGTTCCTGAGAGAGTGGCTCCGAAGAGACCAAACTAAACTGGCTCCCGATCGCAAAATCGAATATGACGATGCACAATGGAGGGCTCAGATTCATACCTGTAACAATAGACAGATTTGGAGGCTTCGTGCATGCCCCAATGAATTGCACAACGTTCTTGTGCCGCACTTTCCTGCAAAACATTAGAGATGTCGGATATCAGGTCTCCACGTTTGAGGCGAATGTACGCACAAACTTCATGTCAGGGGCAACTCTGACCAGGAACAAACATAGAGACCCACCCCATGTGTCCTTCTGAAACATTGAGATGGACAAAGTTATTCAACCACTCATGTATTCTAAACTTTATGTATCTGACTGCTGTACTTATAACAAACCTAGGCAAACACCTGCACATACAGATCGACACTGCAGCTGCACCAGGAAACTCTAAGACTTTTGTTCGACAGTCCTGTAGCGGCACCTTTGCAGGAGTGCCTCAGCCATGGCAAATCCGCGCTGGCACTGGAAGACAATGAGGCTGTGAACCAGTAGGTCCGACTTCCGCCCGGCCAGTCTTTTGAGCGCCAAAATCAAACATTTTGAAAGTTTCAAAGAAAGGGAGAAGCTGTCCAAGGTGAGGGTGGCGACCCCTCACCGCATGATGTAAACTTCCTGAGCGAATTCCTGCTGCAGGTTTTCGTTAAGTCTCTCCGGCTTCAGAATCTTGATCGCCACATCCTGGCCGCAGTACGATCCTCTGAACAGGTCCCCGAAGGACCCTGAAGCCACCTTGTGAAGGAGCTTCAGCTGGCTGCTGTCAATCTCCCAATCGTCGGTTCCGTCACTTGGGATCCGCACATGTCCACTTGGCACAGTAGGAGGAATAACAGCTGCAGGCAGGCCCACCGCGGGCGCCTTTGCGTACTTGCCGTTCTGCACAGGATTCTATGTCAGGACGCTCATAATGACTGGACTTCCGAGAGACGAAAACCTTGTTTGTAGAGACTGGACTTGCAAAAGACGAAAACCCTGCTTGTACAGCAGAGATTCAAAAACAGCACAAGTCTTGCATGAAGGGGACCGATCAATGCAATTTCAAGAGTTTGTCGAGACTCACCTCCATCTCCGTCAGTCGGGCTTTCAGATGAGACTGCAACTCTTGGACATCCTACAAAAGAGGCGAAATATGTTGTGTCATGCTTTTTAACTTCAACTACCAGCTCAAGATAAACTCACCAGCACGAGCTAGGGCAAAAGATTCATTTGCTTGCAAGAGCACGATTGATGAATCAGATCAAAGAGATTTACAAGAGCAGCGAGGAGCGCCACAACCTTGGACTCTGGAGTGATACTTCTAACCTACCTCAGTTGACCAGCCGTCCACAACGAACACGTCAAGTGAGTAGCCATCCACAGTGGAGAAAACATGTGCTTCCCGGATGTTCAGCCCAACATCTGCCAAGAGAGCCGACAACTGCAAAGTGCATAGGGGAGGTCTGAGAACATGGACAAAAGCTTGGCAATCAAAATTGTATTCTCAGGCACATGAAAGACAATGTTGGCTGGCTCGAAGGGCGTTCAAGAGGCTAAGAAATGGGCCACTCTGCGCAGGATACGCGATTTGCCAGGGGTTGCACTCGCTGATAGCACAATGGAATAGAGGGCGTCGGTCTTTTCCTACCTGACTCAGCAGCTTTGGCTTGTCCACAGTAGAGATGGTCACCTCGTGCATTGGCGCATGGGGCGCCCTGGAACTGCAGACAAACATAAGTATTTGATACCGACTTTTTATTTCTGCCTTCGAACTCTCACACGCGTCGAGCAGAAAGGAATCCGACATTCAGAATGTGACAATTTCCGATGCACCACAAGCAGAGTCAACTCTCATAAAAGTCAGAGATTGGCGAAACTGGACGGAAGTAAAGAGTTGCAAGACATACCTTGTGGGAGATGGTTGCCCAACGGACCCTTTTTCGTCAGCATCTGGGGCAGACTTGTTCAGATCCAGTGCCAGGGCCTCCAGGTTGGGCGAGGAACCAAACGCAGGAGGTGGATGCACACTGCAAAAGTAGATTGACAAGGTGGCTAAATATTTGCTCAAAGTCGTTGAATGCAAGTAATCAGGCATGACTGGCTGTTGCAACTCGCACCCCAGGCAAAGTGAAGACGCCTCAATGTGGAGGACTCTTGTGGCTGAACCTCTGAAGCCCACTTCCTCGGGACAAGCAAAGTTCTCGGCTCACCTCAACCTCCGCACAGCCGGGTGTACCGCCACATCATCGCTCTCTCCTGGAGGAGACCCTCTGAGTGACGAATCAGAGGAACCATCATTGAAGTCATTCACTGGGACTAGCTGCAATCAAAAAGAGATTTCAGAACCGACTAAAAGTCAACACGTGCTTCCAAAGCTCGTTGCTGACAGCTCCAAAGAAACAGTGAGCTCAAAACTGCGAAGGTTGCCAGCCTAAGTTTCAATTTTGCAACTTCAGAAATACTAATCCAAGAGGCTGTCTAGGTATCCAATTGGATGCAGCGAAGTGCACTTACATGTACCGCTCTGACAAAGAAGGCTGGACGAGTTGCAGGATCCTTTGCCAATTCAAGAAGCTTCTTGTGAGTGAGGACGTCTTCTGCTCGCTCTGTGTTTACGTCAAGAGCATACCTGCAAATTGCAAGATCATTGTCATCGGCTTCATTGATAACGGTTTGGTAATTTGACCCAAACCATCATGTGTCATGCTTGCAAGAACGTTGAGGAGCACAACTGAACTTCAGCCCACTCGCCAACCGATTGAAACCCTCACCTTGTTGGCAGCCTGTTGAAATGTGCCTGCAGTTCCTCGATAAATCCAGGTGTGTTGACAGACGCATCCCCGTACTCGGCCAACCTTTTGTATACCTCCTCACAAACATCCTGCTTCACGCGCTGCCTATTCATGGTCGGGGACATGCTTCCGCTCTCACCCCCGCTACCACCCCTGCTCTTGGTTTTTATACTGCTGGGGCCCTCCATTATGTATCGGAGATGCCACAACTCTCAGAGCACTAGAGTTACTCACAAGCGTCTTTGAGGAGTAATCAAGAGCAGCTGAATTCAAGAAATTATTATTCAAAAGGTTTCTTGGACCATTCAAGATTGTCAGTGAAAGAAGAAACAGTGCCAGATGGTGGATGATGGTGCTTGCTGCCTAGGGCAGGCATCCAGTTCTTCAGGTCGAAACACTGGTCTGGCAATCAGGAGGTTGGGTGATGTCCATTGAGCTCAAATCAGGCTTCTGTAGGGCGCAGATTGTAAATGTCTGCCCGCATCTTGCTCGGTTGCTGTCATCTTTGATTTGCAGACTGCTCTGCCACCAGACGTCCTTTCCTAGGTGGCCCAACGCCTCATCCACAGCATAAAAGATGCCGCCCTGATCCTCTGGCTCCTCCTGTCGATCCTCACCAACGGAAGCCCTCGAGTTCCTTCTTCAAGTTCTTGTGATCGCGGCTGGATGGGCCGTTGCCAATGCCAGTTGGCTGGTTCAAATCACTATTATAGTATCGTCATGCAGAATGGTCACAGAATGCGGCCCGGGCCCTGGAGAACCGAGGCTCCTTTGCCTGAACACGCTGTTTCGGAAATTTAGCCCATGCCCAGGGTCTTTCCACTGATTACCGATGTAACGGAAATGGTTAGAACACGAACCTCCAAGTAGAGGATCCGAACCAGGCTGTAACAACATACAAATGCTACATGCACAACCTTAAACCTCGATTGCAACCGTCGGGTTGACCGAGCTACGGTATAACAATACCGCTTTGTTCGGAGGGACGCCTGGTTGCGCAAATCTGACCGTTCAAGAATCAGGATTCGCCATCCAACGGGCATGGTATGGTGAAGCTCTATATGAAGGTAGGAATTATCATGCAGCATCTTTGCAAATTGAAACATGCTGTTCAAAGTTCGAACTCACATGCAATGTGATTGCAGGTGACTCCGAGTCCGTTTGAGGAGCTAAGCTCAGCCTGAGGCTTAAAGTTGGAAGTTGATCAGGATGGGCTGTCTCAGCCTCACACCCTTTTCTCAACAGCGTGTTGGCTAGGTACTTGTTCAGACGAATGGAACTTCTCAGCCTCAGGCTTTGAGTGAAGCATTCTGAAGGGCAGAACCTTGCGATGTTTCATCTTTTAAAGATCACTGCTGCGAGTGTTCACTTCACGACAAATGGAGCGGATCCTGAGGACTGCAAGGCTTTCAGGGACTCTCAATCTGAGCGGCAGAGATCTAAGGTATGGTGAAAAGTTTCGAGTGCTTTTATGTACGTCAAAACACAACCGTAGAGTACTCCAGTGATGTCGTGTCGTCCGATGCTCAAGTACATGCTTTAACCATGTTTTGGTCTGCCGAACTTTCATGCTCATCGAGCGAATTGGATTTTGTCATCTTTCTGGGTGCCTCATGCTTTCTGAAAAACCCAGCTTTTTTGTGCAGCTCTGTTCCTGATGGTGTCTACCAGATACAGGCTACAATTGACCCTGATGAGAAGTGGTGGGAGGTAAGCATCTCAGAACTTGGCCTGACCATCTGAGGCTACAGACCCACAGCAGGTATCGTATAATCAGCTTGCTTTCCTTTGGCAAGTGTGTGTCGGGCGGGCGCTGCCAAATCAAGACGAACACGAGAAAGCAGAAACTTATTACCACCACCAGAGTACTGGAAGGAATGCTACCGGAGGTAAAAAGCAGATACTCAAACTACCCCCATTAGAGTATCTAGAAGTCGGGGCAACATTAGTAAATGAATGAGTCAAAATCGATTGAAGTAACAATTGTAGCTACAACAAGGGGCCTGACTGTTGAAGAAAGCCCGGCACATTTGGCAATCTGCAAGGATGCTCAAATCCCATCTTTGTCCCCAATCAGGTCATGCTTCTTTTACTGAGTGGCCAAGTCTTGTGCGGTGGCGGCTACTCTTTGCGCCCCGTATGCAGCTTTTTCATGTTTCTTCTGCTTTCTTCAGGTTGTGGACCTCCAGAAGTTGACACTGTCGCACAATGTTATCAGTGTTCTGGATGATTCACTTGGTGGGCTTGTTACCCTGACCCTACTGGACCTAAGTCACAATAAGCTGACAAGCCTTCCAGCTACAATTGGCAGGTAAGTTCAAGGGATGCCCGTTTGAAGTAGCCCCACACATTCGTGTTTGCTTGTCAATTGTGGAGACAATCTGGTCCTCTTCTGCTTACCTTCTCAGGATACGGTGAGGGACATACAATTATCTGGAAGCCAACACCTCTGTGCCTTGATTTATAGTATCTGCACTGAGCATAGTAGAGAATCAGCCAAGACTTACTGAAGCTCGGAGTCCGCTCACTAACCAACCACATACTTCTCTTCCACAACTGCAGTATTCAAGCGTTGAAGTCATTGGACGTCAGCAACAATTCTTTGACCTGCCTGCCTGAAAGTTTGAGCGAGCTTGCAAGCCTTGTGAGGTAATAGTTCCACTTTCTGGATATGACCCTGTCTTGTGGGAGATGGTACTTTCTTTTTCCCCCTAATGGTTGAAGCGTCCTGTAATTGAAAGTGCCCAACCACTTGCTCAGCATCAGCTTATCAGCTAGTAGTACGGAAGTAGCAACCTTTCCCTTGCTGGATCTCTCGAAGATGTTGCAACATGCTATCAAATATAGGTGTCGTCAGTGGGTTTGAATGAAACGCCTGCAGGTTGTCTTGTGGGTCAAACCAGTTAACCGCACTCCCCAACAACCTTGGGCGTTGTTCGGAGTTGGTAGAATTCAAGGTAAGCAAACTGCATGCACAAGGTGGCCACCTCTTTCTTTCTAAGCAACATTCGTTCATTCTCAGCAACTCCTGCATTGGGTGATGCCTTCACGTCGTCTGTTAGTCATATGGAGCCATTTGCAGGATTGACAGCCATTGGAAGATTGAAACATAGAATGTTTCGTTTGGCAGGTCCCAAACAACCGCTTGGCCGCGCTCCCTGCCAACCTGCACCATCTTTCAAAGCTGATGACTCTCGATCTTGAGGGCAATCTGCTTCCTTCCTTACCTGACGGGATCTTCGCTGGCCTACTGTCGATGACTGATCTCAACATCTGTGAGTAAGAACCTCGCCGCGGTCGCCAGCTGTTGATCTACTTGGTGTTTGATCATACGAATTATGCTTTGGACCAGTCTTTGCTTGAGCCAGTCAACTGTAGGTCTAGGGCGAGTTGAAGGCTGAGAAACCATTTCAGGCCTGTCGTCTGTACGTCCTCCTTCTCTATCACCACTTGTCTTCATCCATTTGGCCCTGTTCTGTTTCTTGACATTAAGTTTGTAATCCCCACAGCCAAGAATGTTCTGGCTTCGGTGCCCGCTAGCATGGGAGCCCTGTCTTCCTTGACGCGATTGGATCTCCGACAGAACAGTGAGTGTCTTTATGCTGATTGCTGCTAAGTGTCCCTCACTTCAAATTCCTGTCACCGCACTGGACTGGCATGGTTGCGGAGACGTCCTGTGATGACAAGGGGCAAATTCTGTTGCAACATCGAGTAATCTGCCAGCAAACCTTAAACCCTTTCAACTTTCTCAGGCTGTCTGAATTGTTGTGTCTCTTTGTGTACAGAATTGACGACTCTTCCACTGGGCCTAGGAAGATGTGCGAAGCTGGCCGAGCTATATTTAGGGTACGCCCACCTCTCTGCTTCTCGTTTCAATCGCACGAAAGAGCTGGCTTTGAACAGAATTGGGGAACTTCTTTGTGAATTCTTGGGATAAAGATTGTCTAAGATTCTCAGAGTAATCAAATCAGATACGATCTTGGTACTAGCTTGACTTGCGTCAATCGTTTCTATTGTTCATTGGAAATGTCTGACAGCACACAGCTTGCCTAAAACTGTGCGTGGTGTGCCAGGCTTAACAATCTGCAGCAGCTGCCCGAAGATTTTGCCAGCCTATCAAAGCTGAGCACGCTGGACGTACGGGACAACCAGGTACAGCTGGTCCCCTTCGAACAACTGCCATGCTTTTAATGTGATGCGCTTAACGCCCCACGCGGACAGTCGTCTATGCTGAAGCAGGCTTTGTTTGAAATGATGACCGAAGCTGTTCGGACTTTCTGGTTCACCCCAACGTGATGGACCAACCTTTTCAAGTTTACCTGACACAGTACCCATCCTGCTCATGCAGTTAGGGGAGTACCCAGCCGCCTTGTGCTCTCTCGGTTTGTCGTTGCTGGACTTGAGCAACAACGATCTGTCGGGGCTGCCCGCTGAACTTGGTGAGCTGGTGGGAGCAGCCTCATCTGACCTGCAAACGTAAGCACTTTCCTTTCCAGATTTTCCAGAGGATAGCACTTAATTTTAACCCGAGAACCTGTCAGTCACCGACTTTTACATCGTGCATCGTTCGTGCTTTTTGGTGGTTTTGAGAACCCAGTTGACCTTCTTCTTCCGCAGGCTTCATGACGAGCCTTCGGCGGCTGGTTCTGGACGGGAACGCCCTGCGCTCTCTCCGAAGGTGAGCGTGGTCTGACGGTGCGACCGTATCTTCGTGGTTGCATCGTCGACCTGGCTGTTAAAAGCGGGCTTCCGTTGATTTTTCTTCTCAAGTTTGGTATACCGCCGGCGACTCCTAGCTTGCCCTGACCGGCAAAAGAATACTCTTGACGGCCAGTCCAAATGGTTCTTTTCACTTCAGTCTGTTCCAACGTCTGCAGTTCACTGGTCAGCGGGCCAACGTCCAACCTGCTGGCCTATCTTCGTAGCCGAGTCGCTTCGGAAGAAGGTAAGGGATTGTTCTACGCGCGCTCGTGTTTGATGTGCAGTGCTGAACACCTTAATGCTCACAGCTCCTGACATCTTTGACGCTAGATGGGAGGTATCTCCTGTTGCCAGAAGCAAGGCTTGCACCGTCCCCGGAGCAGTTTGAGATGATGCGGTCAAAAGTCGTGGTTTTCGCAATCTGAAACCCGTTCCGCTGGAAGGACGTTTCTCTTGAAAAAGCTTGAGCCACACCTCTGGCTGGATGCAGATCGCAAAGAGGCCCCCAAGGCAAGCTCCGGCAACATTTTTGCAGCAGACGTCTCGCAACAATCAGCAACTGCCGCCAGAACTGCTGCCAGCAGTGGGGTAACAAGACGGGTCGGCTTGACTTTCCGTCTACACGTTGCGTCCAATTTGACCCCAGCCCCGCACGTCCGGCCTTCCAGACATCGTCCAAGATTCCTGGCTTTTCACTTCGTCCGGTTTGCAGTCCGAAGGTCCTCCTAAGGCGTTGCCTCTCCTCCTTTCTGCTCTGATATTTTTCCTCACTCTCTCGTAAGCTGTCGGTAAATGAGTTGCTATCAACCACGTTCCACACTGTGAGCAGATCTGGACATATCCGTGTATCAGCTGTTTTCGGTGCTCAAAAATGCCCGTGGCTGCTTCCAGGTCCTGTCGTTGGTCGATAAGGGCTTGACGGAAGTACCCTCGGAAGCCTGGGAGGTTGGCGGGTCCATCACGACGCTCGACTTGAGCCGGAATAAGATCAGCAGCCTCCCAGGGGAACTGCGAGCCTGCACGGCCCTGACTGTAAGCAGTCGTACAACTTCCGCGTTGGCACTGACCTGCCGAAAAGCTGGTGGACTTTGTCAGGGTTGGAGGGTCCGGTCCAACTCGACGTAGCTCCGTGCTATAGACCACAACTTTCTTTTACTTGCGCAAAGAACCATCACTTTTCGAGGACGGAATCTTACAATTCCTATCTGTTTCCCGCCCCCAGTTAAAACCCTCCGGCTGCTACCCTGATACACATGCTCCTAACAATTGCTTCGAACCTTCTCCTGCAGGGGCTGCTCTTGTCCGACAACGCGTTCATCGAGTGGCCGGCGCCAGGTCTTTCTGGCGTCCCGACCTTACGGACCCTCTCGCTCGCTCGCAACCCGCTCCGAGTGCTGCCTGATGACGCGTTCCGCTTGGCTTCCCTGCAAGCGCTCCGATCGCTGGACCTGACGGGTACACGAGCGGCACTGCCACCTGGGCCGGCCTTGTCATGCTTGTCCCATCTCGAAGAACTTCGTCTGGGGTGAGGACTGGGTCCCGGAAGAGAGGCACCTGTCGTCCTTTGGCTTGAAAGAAGATTGAGACCGGGGGTGGTGGAGCAGAAGGGACTTCATTGTTCGTGCGTAGTCTCTATTGTTTTGCTAACGTCTTGGATCTGTGGTATCGCTGCTTCCAAGCGTTCAGTGAGGTCGACTGCCCCATGAATCCGTCGAATCGTGAAAAGGTGCACTTTTGGCTAGGAAAGTCACCGTCATTCGTGCTTTCATAACGCTCGTCAACCCTTTCCGTGCAGGCAGACGAACTTGCAGGACATCCCGTCCGACCTGGCGCAGCTGACTGCCTTACGGATACTGGATGTCAGCCAGAATCGGCTCACCGTCGTGCCAGAGGTACGTGATGCTTCCTGTACCCAATCGGCAGGCCGTGAAGTAGCAGGGTTTTTGGGACCTTGATACATGATGAGGCCGGCTTCATGTTTGCGTCCATTTCAAAGCAGGGCACGCTCTTCAAGTGACGAGTTGCCTGGGTTTTGTCTCAGGATCGCTTGAAGCAGTTGGATCTGCATAGATTGAACTGTTCAGAAGAGTTGCGTGGCCGCGGAATAGCAGGATGATGGTTCTGAACAGACTCCTCTAAGGCACGGATAACATATCACTGAGCCGGACCGTAAGTTGAGCCTGATCCGTTGAGCTGTCTCCAGTTCCTCGGTGGCATGACGTCCCTTGAGGAGCTGGACCTGAGCAACAACAACATCTCTGCGCTCCCCCCGCAACTGGTAAGTGATTGTACTCTTGTCTACTCCTTCAGCGACTGTTTGCGTTCCCTTTTCGATCTTGAAAGTAAATCGTCGAAGCCTTTGCTCATGTCGCCTATCATGAGCCGCTGCAAGTTTTGTCCAACATTTGGTTCCCTGTCGTTTGCAGGGCCTTCTAGAGTCATCATTGCGGTCGCTTAAAGTGGAGGGCAATCCCCTACGAACGTAAGCGAACGTCCATGAAATTTCGAATATGAACGGAGGCTTACTTACGTCACTGCTTTCTACACCTCAGCCAACGGAAGAAGAGTTTGTTCGTCACTTGCAGAGCATTACTGCGCTCCGTACCCTGGTTGGTCGAGGCACCATTTCAGGCCATGTACTCTTGTTGCTCTCCGTTCTTGATGTTGTCAATTGCTGCCGTGACTCAATTGCTTCGCCTCCAACTATGCGCACTGTTTGACGAGCATCGACTTTTGTGGCCCAGAATCCAGTAATTACTGTCTCTTGAACCTCTGCTCCTTCTCAAACTGTTGCAGAATCCGGCGTGCCGTGCTGGATCGCGGAACAAAGGCCCTATTAGAGTATTTGAAGGATAAGATTCCTTGTTAGCGCTGAAGCGCAAGCTGCATCGTGTGGAATGCTAAGGAGTTGAGTAGGCCTTGATCCATACCCAACAGTGCCCAGTCGCAGTGATCTAGATTGCTGCCTTTGAGTAACGAACAAAGGGGCAGCTACGAGTTCCAAGCTGTAATGTACACAAGGTGAAATGCAATCGAGCTGCTATATCCTTGTGTCTATTCGCCAGCTCAGGCTCGACCCTATGTCAGCATGTCGAACCGACGTCGGCTCCAAAGAACTGCCTTGTACATGTACCTTTTTTGTTGTGCCTCATCTGAAGCGATAGACGGGTTCCTAATATTATGAAGTTCTTCTCACGTCAAGTTCAGTTGTTGATTGTTGCACATGCATGCGCAGACCTTTTATGGTGAACATGGCCAAATGAAAGTCTTGCTAGCCCGCTTGTTCAAGCTACGTGCATGTACTGCATAGCTAGAGACTAGTTGATAGAGCAGCCAGCTTTCGAATGGAAGCTGCTCATACCTACAACGCTACCAAGTCTTGAACATCTGTCCGATGTTGTTTTGCCGTTCGCGACTTGAGTCCGACTTGACTCGGGCTAGACTGTGTGGCAGTGTGGGGCAAAAGTTTGGTACCTACCTACTCAGGATTGCGAGTCGCAAGTTGGACATGATGAGCCATCCTCACCGTTCCTTAAGATTCGTCTTGCTGTGCTTGGCAAATCGACGGTACAGTGAGCAGCAAAAGGCTGATCAGATCTTGCGAAATCAGCGTACAAGGAAAAACAAGTTCCGAGTCCAGACTCCAGACTCCAGAGTCCAGTCTCCTGTGCTTTTACATCTAGGACATCCTAGCTGACACTGCCCTGGCACACAGGATGTAGGTGGGAGCTGTGGAAGGGCTTGTTTCAAAATTACAGATCTCGAGCCTGAGGTAAGGTAGTAGTTTTCGAGCGCCATCATGGCGCGGGAGCAGGGCTTTGTTCTCCTCTCCTCTCTGGTCCTGGCCATTGCCTTCGCCACGTCAGGGGTGTCTGCCATCACCAGTCCTGCCGATGTCACTGCCATCAGGAATCTTTACACCGCCCTTGGGAGGCCCGCTAAGCTGGCGCTTTGGGCAGATCCACTTTTGGCGCTTGACCCGTGTAACGGCACCGGCCCCGCTGTTCCCTCAATCAACTGCACGCTCGCGGCGCCACCAGCGACATATGTGATCACAACTGTGGATTTGAGGAACACAGGTGTGGCGCCCGCTCCTGCCCGAAACCAGGGCAGTGCCAGCATTGTTGACAGACTGAGCCCCTTCCATGTGCTAATGGACAATGCTGGTGTCAGAACTTGAAAAAGGCACCAGGGAAAGTGTTCAATTGCTGAGCCACGTTCTGTCGTTTGCAGGTCCTTACAGTGGGGTCGCTCCCCCAGAGATCGGAGCCTTCCCCAGCCTGCAAAACCTCTATCTCACGGGCCTCAACTTTTCTGGCATTCCCACCGCCGTTGGGGGGCTGCAACAACTTCAAACTCTGGCCATCGACAACAATGTCATCACCACGCTACCCAATGAACTTGCCAACATTAAGAACCTTACGTCTCTCACCCTGGGCGGAAACCAGTTTTCTATTCTGCCACCCGTTGTCCCGCTGCTGACCAGCCTCATCCGCCTAGATCTGAGCTATAACTACTGGGCGCAGCCCTTCCCAGAGACCATGGGCAACTTGAGAAGTCTCCAGGCCTTCATCGCAATGAGCTCCAACCTCCAGACTGCGTTTGGCGGACCTTACTTCCCAGCTTGGATGCTCAACCTCAAAGTCCTTGGAGAGATCATTCTGGATTTCAACCCTACTTTTGGAGCAACCCTGAATGCCACTCTTGGCACTTTGCCCCTGCTTGGATACCTCAGCTGTGTACAATGTGGACTCAAAGGTACGAAATATTGAAACGCACTATTTACTCCCTTCCGTTTCAATAATTGTGGGTGGCAACGGCCGCTTCCTGTTGCATTTGAGGATAGGGGCTCTGGTTGCAACTGGCCTTCTGACCGTCAAAGAGAGGTTTTGACCATTTTCTGAAAAAGTAGGATCGCGAGTACAGCACGTGCTTGCTATCGCGGGCCAAGCTGTGCTAGCAACCAAGGTTACTGGCACTTTGGACATAGGAGTACCCGGCAGGATACTCACCAAGTGGAATGATACAGCTTGACAGGCTTACCTTGCGTCGCGGAATTTGAACATAATAAGCATGAGGCACTGTCTGGTGACTGGCATGGGACGGTAGACAAGGGCACCTTGCAAAACGGGTTGTGCTTCTTGGGACAGTGGATTGAGTACCGAGGGTTTTCTGTGTCTGACTATATTGCCTGCCAGCTTCAAAGCTGTTTGCTTTGTAAACGGCGATGATATGGAATGTGCTTGACGTTAAGAAATCTCTTTTCTGGGACCTGGTTTTGTTTCTTTTCTGGCAAACACCTGTTCCGTTGTTTGGAAATGTTTTCGCATCAAATTGACCGCAATGGTTTTCTGCAGGCCCCATCCCCGCAACATTTGGACAGTCCCAGTACCTTGGGGCACTCCACCTGTCCAACAACTTTTTGAACGGCACCATCCCCCCTCCTTTGGGAAATCTGTCCCTCTATCTCCACGATCTGAAGTTGGACCAGAACAACTTGACTGGCCCAATCCCTCCGGAGGTGAGTGCTGGCGGCCACTCTCAGTGCCCTTCGTGTGCACTTTCAGCAAGCTGCGTGCCTCTCTTGCAAGCCCGTAGCCAATGATCCACCACAAAACGCTCATAGAGCTTGTCAGTAACCAAACAGCCAAGTACTCCCTGTTCACGAAATACTTCCGAGCAAGCCCCGGGAGGGCAGTGGCAGTGCAGACAAGTGGCAATCGGCAAGTACAGCCTCCATGAGGAATTGGGCCAAGGTCAGACGCCGGCAGTACTGCTCCCAAAGCTGTACCAGCGGTGTTGTCAGTCTTGGTTTGTTGCTTGGTGCGCAGCTGGCCAAGCTCCAGACGGTGTACCTGGACCTGAGCTCCAACCAACTGAATGGCACCCTGCCCCTCGAGTTTTACAACGCCACGGGCGTCATCTATCTGCAAAACAATCAGCTCACGGGGCCACTGCCCTACTTCCTGAACAAAACGGCGGCCCAGTTCATCGTCACCAACAACAAGTTCTGCTCGAACGTCATTGGTCAGCTCTGCGGCAACGTGACGGACTCCTATATCTTGAGAGCTCTCCGGGTAAGGACAACTCCACTTTCGGTTGAGAGGCTGGCCCGTACATTATGCCTGGACGGTGACATGTTCTGAGGACAAGGACACCGCGACGAGTCTTTGTTGCATGTCCAAAACTGTTTTGTAACGTTCTTGCTAAGTCTATTATAGATGAAGAGGGAATCCTGCCTCGTTCGAAATCAAGTCTTAAGGGGTATCCACGTCGACGAAAAGCGGCTCAATCACTCTTTAAAAGAGTCTGCAGGTCTGAAGCGAACCCAGGCTCTGTTGTTTGTGCAAACTTCAATGCTCCTTCGTTTGCCGCTGCCTGAGTGGAGCATTGGCCAACGCAGCTGCTTGCTGGACTTATTATCTCCATTGGATCCCTTTGCTATAGTCGACGTCCAGGCGCATGTTGTTCTCTTCGCCACACCAGACATAGAACTTTTTCCAGAGGAAGCAAACTGGGCAGAGATGTTAGTCATTTCCATATGTTCAGACCCATACGCCCATCCTACATTACAGCCCTCGCTTGGTTCATCAGGCCCGAGGTTGGATACACGTTTTTACCTAGGAATATCCAGGTCAACTTTTCGTTTGCCTCACCCGTCCTGCTTGTTGTTTGTTGTCCAGTACTCGCTAGGCAACCCGCCGCTGCTCCGCAACTGGACGGGCGATGCTCCCTGCAACTCGTCCTGGGCCGGGGTGACCTGCAACTCTACGACAGGGGAGTCGGCAGTGGCGGTGAATGCATCACGGGTTCAGGCGTTTGGGACCATCCCCGACGTCATCGGCGGCCTCACCGGCCTGCAGAGCCTGGACCTGAGCTACAACAGCATCATCGGTGAGGCATAACACCCAGGAGCGCCTCCTTTACCCTGCTGCGCTGACGAATGCCGGGTGTTTGAAGTGCGCGAACGCTTTTGTCTGCGTCGCTGTCGGGCGATCTTGAAGAAGCCGTTGGTGTCTCCAAAGCGATTAGAAAGGGGTCTTTCGAACCTGCAATCAGGCTCGTGATGTGAGGAGGAATAGCGAAGCAGTCGGATAGCGGAGCAAATGAAGTTGGGAAGTTTGGCCGAAACCTTTGACAGGCACACCCAGTACGCAGCCATGTTGAGAAAACCGGGCTTCCTGCCACGAACGAGTGCTCGTTTCCACAGGCAGGCCACGAGCGGCGCCCTTGGCAGCCATAGGCGTGCCGGCAGTTCTCGTTTCTTGTCCTCGCTCACTGGTATTCCTTCCCTCAGGCTCTCTCCCCTCGTCGCTGGGCAATTTGACGAACCTGGTGACGCTGCTGCTGAACAACAACGCCCTGAACGGGAGCATCCCCGCGTCCCTGGCCGCGCTGCCCAGCCTGCAGACGGTCGACCTGTCGTACAACCGGTATCCCGCGGGGGCGCTGCCAGCCGGCCTCACCAACGTGACCAACATCAACAACCAGACGGCAGCGGTCAGCAGCAGCCCTGCTCCTGGAGTCCTTTCATACGTTTGCAAGCGTGTTTCTTTTAGAATGAACTGCATATCTCGTCGACGCTTTTCTGCTCCGGTATCCAGCAAGTTTCCGTAGTGCTCTTCTTCAGTAGTTGCTCGACGTTCAGTAACGGTACATCTGCTTTCTGTTGGACCTCTCGTTTCTCGTCAAGGTAACCCAAGCCAAAGCTCCGAGAAAGATTTAAGTTGACGTCAAGAGTGGAGGCGTCCGGAGAAGGGTTGCTGGTGCCGGCTTTGATCCGGATGCCCCTCGCAAGCTGGCCGCGTCCGTGTCATGCCGCTGTGGCGGCCCTGCTCTTGCTTTGCCCTGCTCTTGTCCACGTCCGAGTTCGTGGATATTCCTCCTGTACTTGCCATCTGTATCAATAGACGGTGACTTGGTGCAGTAAGTTCCTGACACAGTCACCTCGGCTTTTGTAGGTAGCTCGTTAGCTTGACTCAAGTGAAGACAAGGTGGCTATGAGGCTCATCTCGGGCAGTTACCCGGGTCTAGGTGGAATGATACCAGATTAGCAAGGGGCTGCCTGCCAAGGCAAAGGACATCCGGTCTTGGCAAGTGTCCAATAGGCTTTTACTGCGGATCTTAACTTATTGAGGACTGCACCTAAAATTCTAGATTAGTTGGAGAAAAGAGTGTCGAGTCTTTGTTTTACCGTTGCTGTTGTTGCCAACTCTTATCTTATATCAACTGTCATACGTTTTATCGCGCTAAGCCAAAGCTGGATTGCTACGATCGCTTTTTTGAGCCTTTCTAACTATTGGCCCGGGCGGCTGTCTCGATGTCTTGAAAAGTCGAAGGTTGGGCCGGACATGGGCTCCTCGTCGTCCAGTTGTCTTCCGCCCTCTTCCCTCACGCAATGGTTGTAGTCTAGGTGTCGGCACTTACCTCTAGGTTCGTACACATGGTACAAACGTAATGGCCAAGTTGCCCGACAACTTGGGCTGTCGGAGTTTACGACTCGGAGTTGGCAACGCATACGTGACCATGTCATGTATTGTTTTTTATAATAGCACATGCAATCATGTCGGTTCTAGTAGCTGACAGTCCCCTGCGCATGCGCACAAGGCTGACGGAAGTCGGAGCCGCGCTACAGTAGTAGCATGTGGGATCGGACATGTGCAGACAATGATGCATGGGTACTGGCCAAAAGCGTTCAGCGCATGATCACGTGCCTTTGATTCAATTGCGGTCTAGCTACATCCCTTTCAAGATCGGTGCTCGCTAGATAGCATGCCAATCCTATAGCTCTAATAAGTTGTTAGCTCGTAGTCCCAGTAAGAACATGCATAAGCTGCAGCAGGGCAAATTGTTCACCCTAGTGTAGCATGCAACTGAGATACGGTAGGGTAGCTAGGCGTTCGCACCTCGAACATTGATCTCCATGTATGCCATGGAAGCCTATGGCCCATGGGCTACGGCGCTTTGATAAGAGAACATCATTATCATCAGAAAGTACGTGTACACATGGTCTTCAATCAAGATGAGAGGCGAACGCTTGCTTACCGATCGGCGCCCTACTCATCTTTAAACGGCTGCTTGCCAGTCTGACGAGAAGAAGTACGGTACGGTGAGCACAGACCTGATATGTTGGTTGGTCGAATATTCGACTCGCCTCGCTGCAAATTGGTGACTGCTCATTTATAGAGAATGTGGGGTGGCGACCATGGATACATGTTCCATGTATAAGCACGCAGGATAGTGGCGACGATGCATTGTGCCCTGTGTGCACCCATGCAAAGGCTGCCTGGACGAGATACGCAAACACATCACAAATGTACGTCTTTAGATCCATTCGCAGACCCTCCGTTTGGAAAGGATTCTGAACGTCCTCGAAGCTCCCATATCTTGACGCACATGTCATCACTTGCGGATGCAAGCAATCTCGGGTCCTGCATACAAAGTGTCGAGCAGCTTGATATCTTGCGCTCCGAGCAGACAGCACGTGAAGCTTAACCCGACTCAGTCTGCCCCAGCACATGCCAGGTGAACGACCAGACAAACATGTATCGTCACACTGCCTGAGTAAAGTGTGGATGTTTTGACAAGCGGACGAACATACAACACAAAAACGGAGCAAAGCAGCATCGAAAGGCCAAAAGACTGGGCAACGCAAGCATCGAATCAGTGGTGAGAAAGTCACGAATTCTTACCGTAGGATGCCATCGTACGCAGTTCACGTCTGTACTGTGTGCCTTTTCCTTCTTGGCCACTTGACTGAATGTAGGTTGCCCAGTCTGCGAAGTAAGGACGTCCGAAGCATCGATCAGGAGGCTTCACGAACATAGACCAAAAGAAATCGGCTGCAGCAGCGAGCTTTTGTATTCATGGTCCTTGCGCCAAAAGGAAGGCCCGCCCAAGACCTGCCGTTAAAATGGCTATTTCCACGACAGGCAACCGCCATGCAGCCGCCATTTGGTGAACATACAACTTTTCGCATCAAATCTGCCATCGGCTCTCAAATGCTCCGAGCATGATTTCCAATCGTAGAGCGTCCGAAGAAAGGCATCGAACGGCTTAAGATCAGGAACCATGCTCGAAGAACTTGCAATCCTTTGGCAAGTTTGACGCTATTAGTTGCTTGGTTCGAAGCCACCATGAGGCCAGGGCGGAACGCGACGATACTCCATGATATGCCCAAGGGATCCTTCTGAAACAAGACTGTCGTTTTAGCATGACCTTCTCCTGTGCTATCACTTCTCCCGCCCTCGACTGAAGCTTGATCAGCCCCGATTGACTTTCTAGTATAGCCGGAGAACCAACTCAAGTTCGTGCTATAAGACCAGGTAGACCAATTGGTATCCTTAGTTGGCCAACCTTGGAGATCATTTCACCACCTTCGCGAGACTTTACTCAAGACGGGAGCACACAGACACTTCTCGAAATACGCGTCTTCCTTGGACAAGGTGTTAGCCGCCTGGTTAGGTCGGACGAACTTTATCTGTCTGGCATGCGTTTGAAGAGCCAATTGGCTGGCGCAGGAGAAGACTTACCGTGGAGGGTGGCTCCTCATCGTCGGCAAAAATGCGGATGGCGTCGTCCCCAGATGCTGACGCGATCAGGCCGTTCATCCTGCAGGAACGAAGCACTAGAGCCAAGTCGTGCCAGGAAGCAGCGTGATGTGTCGCCGAGAAGCTTCAATGTGCTGAGAAATCGAGCATGCCACGGCTTTAAACAGAGTGGCTCGCCGAGCAACAGTCAGACGCCTGCAAGCTCGAAACTCAAGGTAGACCAGGCGAAGAAAGTGAGCCAAGATGAGGAGAGAAGACCGAACACTAGTACTGCCAAGCATCCTCGTTCGATCTTTGGGATGTCGCGATGGCCTTGCCTTGCAACGACGGAGCTCCACACTCACACTGAAACCTGGCATCCTAAGCCAACCTGCCAAATCTGGAATCTCTGTAGCGCAACCAGCAGCGCCACCGCCCAGCAGAGGGCAGACCCCGTGTCTCGTGCTGCTGACCGTCGATGTGGCGGCTCACCTGGACCAGTCGACGCTGAAGATGGTCCGCTCGTGGTACCCCGAAATGGTGCTCACGTGCTTCCTGCAAGGGGGGGGGGCACCGGCTGTCAATCGGTGCAGGCTGGGGTGAGGAAGAGCTGGCGGTGATCGACTCATTAGTGCAGCAATCCTGCCCGCCACAGTCGCCCGTCATCACGGTGCACTGAAGTCCTTGGCGAGACCACACTTGGAGCGGGCTTCCTACCATCGGGTAATATTAATATCAACCCGAATGAACTCATTTCATCCTGTTCGAAGTTCCATTTAAATTTCACCCATTCCTTCAGAGAGAGCACAGGGAGACTCGATGGTGGAACTGACTGGGAAAATGTTGGTGCTATCAGCTCGAGCCGCCTTACCAGGCGCCCGCACCTGCGCCCATGCTGGTGGTCGGGTCGGTGTGCGTGTCCCACACCTTCAGGGTCAGGTCGTCGCTGCAAAAACAAAAGCGGATTACACGTCGGACGGATTGAAGGGACTGTCGGCCGGAGTTACCTTGCTGCCTCGAGAACGTTGAAAGGTCATCATTTTCTACGATCGGACAGGAACCGCCAACTGATTGATCTTCGCTCGTCGAAGACCTCACCGACCAAATCGATCTTAACAGAACCTTGCAAACCGAGGAAGACGACCCTTCTGTCTTGGCGGGCATCCGACGACCTTACCTGCAGGACACCATCCGATCTCCTGTGCTGTCGAAAGCGACCCCCCACACTGTGGACGTGTGCCCCTGCGCTGCGGACGAGAGCGTCTGAACACACCGCCAGTCGTCCTCGTCCCCATCCTCGGCCCAGACCTGGCAGAGTGTGCGCTTGAGCAAAGTGAGAGGCGCATCAAGAAAGTGCCGGACGAGATGCATTAAAAGACGTCTTAAAAAGGTTTACATTTGTTGATGCAAGAAGTTTCAGACGGCTTCAGACTTTGGCGGACCTTCGGAGACGACCTGAGGACTGAGCCGTTCGGTACTGCCCTGTCAAAAGACTTCGTTCACAAACTAAGCTTTCTACAATTGCAGAAAGATTCTAGAGAGCCACAAGAAAGCTTCTACAGAGAGCAGCAGGCAAAGAAGAGGTGTAACCAAGTCACCAGATCCATTTAAAATGAAATACGTCTTTCCTTTAAATGCTATCTAATTGCAAGTTCCGACTCCTCTTTAAGCCCCTACGCCTTCTTGCGGCTCACCTTGATGGTGTCGTCATAGCTGGCGGACACGAGCAAGTCGCGCGTGGGGTGCCAGCGCACCATCTTGACGTCCTGGCTGTGGCCCTGCAGCACCGATACACACTCGTACTCGTTGCCCGGCTGCGCCTCCCAGATCCACACGCTCTTGTCCCGGCTGCACGTCGCTAGCAAGTTGCCCCCAGCGTTCCAAGCGACGCTCTTCACCTCGTTCTCATGGCCCTGGGCACAAGGGGGCAGAACAATCAGGCAAGGAGAGAGGAACTTGCATCTGTTTTCACACATACATGCGATCAGTGCATTCAAGAGGTTCAACTCTTGCTGAAACAGATTGAATCAAGTTGCTCCGGCTTGGATTGATTTGTCTGATTCTCTCAGAGTCAGTCATTTTTCGTTCTGGGGTGAAGAGCCCACCTCAAGCGAAGCCACGCATTCGAACTCTCCACCAGTCTGCTCCCAGATGGCTGCGGTGGCATCAAAGCTTGCGGTGGCCAGAAACTTGCCGTCTGGGGACCACTCACAGGAGCGCACAGTCCGGTGGTGCGACTCCTCCAGGATGGCCTGCGCCCCAAAACGTGCTGCCGTCAGAGAGAAAGAATTGAAGGTTTCAAAGACACCCATCTGGAAAACAATCGAGAGTTGCCAGTCTAGCGGCGGTACTGAAAACAACAATTTCAGTGATGCTAGGAGGCCATGCAAATACTCATCACGTCACCATCATTAATGGTTTCATTGCAAAGGCCTACCTTGCAGACCCATCTGGTGCCTGGCCCTGCTTCTCTGGCCCACACTCTCACGGTCTTGTCTCCGCTGCAGGAGGCCAGGGCATCCCCCGAAGGTGCCCATGCCGCGCTCCATACCCGGTCGCTGTGCCCCTCCAAGCACTGCACCTCGTGCAGGCTTAAGCCCGGGGCTGCTTCCACCATCGCTTGCCCGTGTCCTCAAAGTCAACGTGACACCAGAGTGCAGCTGTGAAAGAACAAGAGTGTGGACAGCTGTAGGATTCAATAGCAGAAGCGAATATCGACTGGGAGGGGCAGTGTTGCTGCAATGACGATCTTTTTGCATACTTTTTACTTGAAGCTTTTCGGTAAGAAGCCCAGATGCAGCGATGAATTGAGAGGCGTTTGTGTGTGAAACCAGATGAAGTTCAAGCACATGACTGACCTTACCAGACATACGAACTGAGGATCTCATGATCAATTGCACACTCAAAGACAATGCTGCAACACTTTCTAGTTGATTACAGGGTGGTGCAAGCTTAGCACATCTGATTCACCTTTTTGAGCGTCGTTGCACCCTCGGAGTACAGGTTCAGCTTCTTGCACCTAGGGGATACATAAGCTGGTTCCTTCTCAGAGTGGATGACTTCAAGTACCGTAAGGTAACTGCTGATTTTGTAGAAAGCTTTCTCTTTCCAAAGTCCGGGTCCTCAACAGTCAACTTCCCTTGTCGTGTAGTAGAGATTGTGTCAGAGACAGAGGGAAAGGTCGCCGCCACCACTGCACTGGCCGTGAACTTTGAAGAGTGGCGGAAGCTCAGAACATTTGAAGTTCTGAATCTAGAACTTGAACCTGAACTTGAACTTGAAGTTGAAGACACAGATTTTCGAGTTCGTTGTCAGCACGAAGCGCAAGAGCGGGCTTTCAGCGCCAGCTCGAAATACCTGGTATCAGGTAGGGATAGAATCGAGCCCTTGGCCTTGGCTTTGTGAGTTTTTTTGGCATTCGTCAAGGACGGGGAGAAGAGGTTCGTGCCTCTAACTTACTGGAAAGGAGACTGCCTACCACAAGGATGGAGGGTTTATCGCGAGAGGACCTCGATAGGCTGCAGTTTTTCCAACAAACCAGGGAGGATGCGGAAGAGGTCCACAAGCACAACCCAGAGGATGCAGATGTAAGGGACGATGCTATCGAGACTGTCTCGGCATTGCGTCCTCTTTGGATTTTACATTGGAAGGATTATTTGCCTGTGCCTTACAGACTTTGTCGGCATTGCTTGGGTGGCTTGGGTGGACAGGGGGTTTCAACATTGGCCCTTTCTGAATGTGCGGATTATGGTCTCGATAAAGGGGTTTTGTGCAGGTGCATTTGTGATTCTTATCATGGTGTGTTCCTGCATGCAGAACCTCACGCGATGGGGTGGTGCACTCATGGAGCTCGCTCAGGTTCCTGGAGTGGACTCCTCAAATTTGATGGACGGTAAGTTGTCAGAAGCTGTTGAACGCGCAACGGTGCTCATGATAGAGCTCAGTGAAAGAGCGCTTACGCTCTGAATGCTGGAGCCGCATGGGAACTTTGATCATAGCATTAAGATCGCAGTGGGCAGGTTGGATTGGCGGCAGTGACGATGGATTGGTCTGATGGTTCTTCTGCGGATTTGGCAATCTTCTCAGCTGTTGAAATCATCGCGTCAGTTGTGATAGAGTGGTTGCCCCATATGTGATCAGTCTTGCTGTGAATCTCTGCAGAGGCCGCAGCCAAGCTTCAGATGGCGCTCAAAGTGAACCCTAAGAAGCATGATGCCCTCTGGTGTCTGGGCAACGTACATACCCAGCAGGGCTTCATGGTGCGGGAGGCTTCGGAAGCGAACAAGTTCTTTGACAAGGCGAATGCGCTCTTCCAACGAGCTCTGGATGAGGTACGGCAGTTCTCGCAGGCTTCCAGGCGCATCCTTTGCTACATTGGCAGTGACGCTGAGGTTGGCGATTGTGTTGCCAGAGGTGGCGGTAAAATGGCAGTGTTGTTTGCCTGTAGCGTGTGGGCGTTTGAAGGTGGTCATTGTTGTAGACAATATAACCAGTCTTGTCAAATCACAGTTTAAGGGCCAAGGTATGAAGGGCCAGAGCAGTTTCCGCCGCCAAGCATGATGATGAAGCCTTCAAATCTATTGTTTGTGGCCGCCTTCCGCCAAAGCAGGGGCCTGTCGTGTACGTGGCTGTGCAACAGGATGTTCTGGTCTGTGGTGATCAATGCTGGTCGTTGGGCAGTTCCTTTGTCAGCCCTGAGCTCGTCCCTGTGTTTGCAGGAGCCCCACAACCCCATGTACAAGCATGGCCTCGAGATGTCCACAAAGGTAGGCCCAGCGAAAATTTCGTCAGGGATTGCTAGGTCTCCTTCACGTTGCCTGTTTCTGCAACACCTTCCCTGTCATGCTGGCAATGAAGGTGGTGTCCCCGTATGAGCCCGGTAGATTGCTTTTCGACTATTTTACTTCGTTTCATTGTCGACACCCTTGTTTTCCCAGGCCCCGGGCCTCTTTCAAGAGCTGCATGAGGAGCTCCGGGCGCGAGAAGCCGAGATTACCCCCGTCAGCAGCGGGACGGGAGCGGGGCCAACGGTGAGAGGACTAGACTGACAGACGCTTGGTGGGGTGGAGTATATCGGTCCGAAAAACGGCAGTGTTGCTCCTCAGTTTTCGTCGAAGTTCAGACCCATGTTGGAGCATGCGCAAAGCGCGAACTTCCTTGATTAATCTGGGTGCTCTTTGTTGGTCAAGTTGGGCTGACGATGTGATTATAGCATCTAGCAACTTGGCAATGAACTCGAAGCCACTGAAATCTTGTTCGAATCGGCAGACAAAGGTGCCAGTTTGGTCTTCATACAGGCTTCTGCAAGGCAGAAAAAGAAGCAGACCGATAGTGACTTCAAGTATGATGTCATCGGATGGGTAGTGATGATTGGAATCGCCGTGGCCTGGCTTGGAGTCGCAGCATCGAAGGCAGCACCGACGCCATCGTCAACGCCCGCACTGAGGTGAATGTAGGTGGGCAGACTGGGTTCTTGTCAGACTGTTAGGTGGTTGGCTCTCAGCTGTAAGCAGGTTTGAGGTGAGGTTTTGTAGTTCGAGAGAATAATGATTGGAAATAGGTCACAAATGCAAGGCTTGGGGACTTTTGTACATCTGGTCGAACATCTAAAAGCTAGTGGCAGGGAAGATCAGTGAGACTGCAGTATTGCTGGGTGCCTCTAATGTGGTGCTTGTTTTGGTCCTAATCATTGATGCTGTTACTCGATAGAGATGAGTCTCGAGGTCCAAGCCCCTCTCTTCTAGTGTATTTACTCCGATGCATCCCGTTATGACTACACGAGACTTCTTTGTGGAAAATGGTTCGATGACAAGGCAAGTATGGACTTCCGCTGAGCTTCATCAAAGATCGCCTTTTTCTCATCACCTCGGCCATTGCTTTTTATATATCAGTTTAGTTTACTTCGTCCGTGCGAGTTGGTAAAGGCTTGGAAACCCTCTTGATATACCGCGAGCATTGTGGATGTATTTGTCACATAGGTCAGAGGTGGGCTTGCGCAGTTCGGGATGTCCACCCCATCCTTTTTCCGGATCATGAGGCGTCTTATGTAACTCAAAGGAGACCATGTCGAGAAGGTTTTTCCATCATAAGATGGTTCGTCGGTGACAACGAAGACATCTTGGCCATATTAGTACTCTCGTATATGTCTCTTTCAGAAGCTCCGTTTATTGGAGCCGTCGATGCACAACACTCTGGACCGATGCTCCCAAAAATTTTGTTGTTTGTCGCTTTTGGGTTTTAATTCATTTGCAACAATGGCCGACAGTATTGCTATAGCCGAGCTTCTTCTCCTCATTCAACTTAGTGTTGCAAGCATGCAAGACCTCCATGCATGCTTGGGTTTGGCCTAGATCCCAGCGAGGAGGATGTCAAACCTTCACGGGCCCTGATATGACCCAGATACAGTACCTATCACGTTGAAGTTGACCCTGCATGGGCTCGGGTTTAGGTATACTATTAGCTAAACATTTGCTACAACTTTAATAGCGAGCAAAATTTAGCTAAGCTAAACCAAAAATCGAATCGGATGCCCCATGCAAAATTCTGTAGGATATAGCAGACGGGGCCAATTTCGGTACCACTGAATGCAGTGGCAGTGAACTCTACGTTGTTACCGGTATACGCACATCTACCGTACAATCTTTGGGTCGAGTTATTCGGACGGGATCGTAGCCCTTATTTGAGAGCCACAGCATAAGAGAGTCGTCGATTTGCCATAAAAGATTCTACGCGAGCGTTATAACTTGATATTTCGGGTGGGATTTGCATTGCCTGTTACGTAAAGATATTCTGGTTTCATGGTTCGGGCCAGCGCTAGAATAAATGCAGCTGGCCTGCCGCAGTACAGTACCTAGAGGCTATATCTAGTGCCGTAAGTGTACGGTATTACCGTAGGTACTTGTAACCTAGACAACGTTACAGTATGTACACTGTACACGAGATACTCAAGTCCATCAAGATCATGCTGCATTGGGAAGGAAGCTGCTTCTACCGTAGCAGAGTTGGATTCTTTATGGACTGCTGTGGCGCGCTTGGGGCAGTGCAAATTTTACAACACTGCACGAGGGCCGGATGATTAGAGTACCAGCACTGATCTCTCTCGATAAATGTGTTGGTCCTTTTGCAACTCCTTCTGCTCAAAGCTGTAGAGTGTCATTGCCGGGGCCCTGTAGGCCATTGAAGAAAGTCCCTCGCGCGCCTTCCTTCAAGCTGTCTGCAGGAGCTCGTATATTGTAACCATCCGCTCCATCAAATGAAGCCGGCAGCTGAAAGTTGACCACATTGAGCGTACCATGGGCAGCTTGGGTGTCCCTGCCGGTGGCCCATCCGTGAGTGGGCGGGATGCGTTGACCGAATTGCTCAAGTCCAAAACATGTGTCGGGCTAGGGCTGGACGAGGCCCTGTTCGCCCAGCTAGCTAGCTCCGCCGATGGTCAGGCTGCCATCACAGCCTTTCTGGAGGATGAACGAGCTGCTGACACCCCACTGCTGGTGTACGAGGTCAGGACCGAAGTCATCAGGAAGAAAGAAGCGTCTGGCGTTGCTCCAAAGGGGGAGGATGTCACAGAGGAAGACGGGGAGTCACCCACAAAGTCCACAGAAGAGGAGGGAAGCAGAGAAACAGCTGGGGAGGCGAGCCAGCCTGCAGACGGGGCGAGCGGAAGCAATGCGGGCACCAGCGATGGCTCGGCGCTCGCAGCGCGGATAAGCGGCATTGTCCCACGGGAGTCGAGCAGCGGCCGGCTCTCTGTGGCTGCATTGGCGGGGCCCTCGAGGCGGGCGTCCACGCTGGCGGCCAGCTCACGCAGAGAGTCGGCGCTAGTACACCCGGAGCCCCTCGCTGAGGCAACGGAGTCTGATGGGAAAGTGGCGGAAGCGGAGGAGGCCGGCCCACCACCGCAGGAGGCAGTGGAGGTGGAAACAGTGGTGGAGCTGCGGGCATGCACGGGCACCCTACCAGAGGGCACTGCAGGGCGGGCGGTGTACTTTACCAAGAAAGAGGCGGGGAAGCTTCGTTCAAAGGACGGGATTGAGTGTGGGGTGCTGGCCGAGGGGCCGTCGCTGCGTGCGCTGGAAGTGGTAAGGCGTGACGCGCTGGCCTAAGAAGTGGCTGGTGTCTTCTGGAGGGTTCTTTGATAGTGCCCCTCTGCCGGTCTTTTCAAATGCTATCGCCAATGCACCATCCTTGGAATGCTTGTGAAAGCTATCAACACTTCTGTATCAAGCCATCCCCATTAAGGGGTAAGAAAGCCACAACCAGTGGCTCTCTTCGACCCATTGCTTGTACACCTGGGCTGTTGGCACTGAGGTTGGCCTGATGCCTGATCCCCATCGGCCCCGTTCTCCCAAGTTTGGCCGCCTGTAAGAGCATCATCGATCCTCTGTGGGTGTCTGCGTGTGCATGTGCAGCTGCTATCTCAGATCTACCTGCCCATGCTGTCCTCTGCGGGGGCCCGGCAGAAGCAGGGTGGTGAGGCTGGGGCTGCCGGCAAGCAGGGTGACACATCCAGGAATGAACTCCTGAGCAGCATGCACAAGTTCGCAGCGCAGGTACAAACCATTTTGAAGCAGCTTTGTGACCTAGCATTCGGGTGCTCTTGACACCGCATGACATCGGACATCAATGCCATTAGTTTGAAAGTGGTCATATCTCATGCACATTTGAGGTCATGTATCCTTTCGTTGTTCTGTCTGCCCAATGTTGTTTTACTGGCTGGCGGTGGGCTTCTTGGCACCGCAGCGTTTGCTATTGATTTCTTTCGAAGTGCAATGGTGCACCAGCCCTCTGACTGGGCGTGTTCTGTTGTGGGCCCCCAGGTGGCCCACGTGAGCCAGCAGTTGACAGGGGACGTCCAGCTGGTTATGACGCGCGTCACCATTGACAATGTCGCTGAAGCAGCCGCCGACTCGGACCTCCTCCTCAAGGTGCGCTCCTCCACTGCAATCAATCGGCCCCTCCGGGCTGGTCTAAATGGGTTGTCGTTCACATCAGACGAGAGAGGACTGGTTCTAATCGGCTCTAGTGACAACAGAAGCGCACGCAAATTGGGTGACAACAGAAGCGCACGCAACTAGCAGGCCGGGAGAACTTGTTTGGCCTTTCTGAAAGCATCGGTTGAAAAGCTGCAACGGGAAGACGCAATAATGGGACTATTTTCGCAGCCCTCATTGGACTCAACATGGAGCCGTCCATGCTGATCTCGGTGATCATCACGCCCGTCTCTTTGTGCCCCGCAGCTGGAGGAGGCGACGGCGGAGTGGACAGTGCTGCTGGGGGCGGCGCTGCAGAAGGAGGCGGGCAAGGTGCCCCAGGGGAAGGGGCCCCTGGCGGAGATTGAGTTTTGGCGCGAGCGCAACGCGTCGCTGGGCAGCCTGTACGAGCAGCTGAACACGCCGCAGGCCAAGAAGGTGGTGGCCACGCTGGAGGCCGGCAGCGGGGACGCCAACCTGCTCATGCGCTTCAAGGCGCAGGTCAGTGGCGGAAGCGCAGCGGCGCTCATGCCAGGCGCACAATTGTTGTGGCTGGGACGGCTGAAGAATGAGGCTAAGCGCCGGTTGGAAGCAGCCATTTGCGAAGGGGAAGGCACACCTGTCCACACCGGTAGCTTCTGGAGGGCCTGAGTGCCACAACAGCCGGCTTGCTTTTGGGCCCGGTTAGGAAGAACACGAGGGATCCGGGCATCGAGGAGTGACATCTAAGGTTGGATGAATCGAACCCACTGCTTGCAAAACCAACTTCTAATAGCTATTCCAGATTCAGCTTAATCACAAATGGGCGGATCGCTGGACAAAATTCTTTTTCTGACGGGCGGCGGTGGTCTCGCGTGTGTGCAGTCCAATGAGCTGACCCAACTGTACATAGAAGCGCAAGACAACGTCAAGTTCTTGAGCACCCTGGAACGGCACTTCAAGGTACGCTTCTGCAATACGCCCGGCCTCGCGTCTCTTATCTTCCGGCTTCTGCCCGTGGCCGTTTCTCGGCTTTAGGCCAACAAGAATCTACTCGCCTATGGAGCTTTTCAGGTCCACAGATCTGCTAAACGTTCTGGCCGTGACGCTATTTCTCCCACATGTGTTGCCCTGCGCCTGAAGCAGAGAGCAGGTCCGGCTTTTGACTTCGCTTTGGGATTGAGGGGACGGGGCGTTGCTGACGTATGCCTGCGCTGGGCCGCAGAACCTGGCCCACGGGTCGCTGTCGAGCATTTTGGACACGCTGCCGCCGCTGATGAACGCGCTGCGCATGGTGTGGATCATCAGCCGCCACTACAGCGACGACGTGCGCATGGGCAACCTCTTCGAGCGCATCGCCAACGAGGTGCGCCCCCGGCCGCGGCCGCCGGCAGCTCTTTGTGCCATGGGAAGAGAGCCAAAAGAACTCAGGGCCTCAACACATGTCACCTTATTTTAACGGCAAACGCTCGCGTCCTGGGTGTGCTCCGCAAAGTGCCAACTGCTCAATCTCGTCAAGAGCTGATGCATCCTGGAGGACACCGTGTTTCCAAAAGCAGTGGCTGTGCAACTCCAAAGAGCGTTTCAAATACCGCTTCCCAGAGATGCGTCTTGCCGTGCTGACGTGGGGAATCCTGTGCGTGAGCAGATTGGCGACAAGGTGGCGGAGCAGGTGGACCTGAAGACGCTCTTCCAGCTGCCTCCCACCGAGACGCAGCACCTCATCGACACGGGCAAGGCCGTGCTCGACACCTGGAGCGAGGTCTACCTGCAGGTGCGGGCTACCTCACCCACAATGCGCATCAAGCGGTTGCTCGTGTAATGGCAGACACTAGTCTGGCATTTCAGCCACTTTACTACAAGCAGTCGGATCTTCTCACTGTGGCGCCATTTCGGTCAATGCCTCTTGCTGACGTGTCCGCCAGCTGCTCTGATACGGGCGTCCCCCCTGGCTTCCCGCAGGTGCGCGAGCGCATCGAGGCGTCGGGGCGCGACGCGCGGTGGGAGTTCGACCGGAAGCGGCTGTTCGAGAGGAGCGCGTACATGGCGAGCGTGCTGGCGGACGTGCGGCGCGTGGTGGGCGTCGTGGACGACTTCCGCCGCTTCCTGGGGCCGGAGCTCAAGGCCGTCACGGGGGATCCCCAGGGCATCGATGACGTCATCCAGCGCGTGGACGCCATGGTGGAGCCCATTCAGACGCTGCCGTTCCACGCGTTCGACAAGAAGTTCGCCAGCCACTGGGCCGCGGTGATCGCCAAGTTCACGTTGGACAAGGAGGCCATCGAGCGCGCGACGCGGTCGTTCATCGACACGTCGTTCAAGAAGCTGCGCAGCGCGGAAGGCGCCTTCGAGCTGCTGCAGAACTTCAAGAGCATCAAGAGCGAGGGCGCCATCAACCGCCAGATGATGGACAAGTTCAACGACATCCTCGCGCAGTTCTCGCGCGAGATCGACGCCACGCGCGAGCTGTTCGAGCTGCGCGCGGCGTCCCCGCCCGCGACGCGCAACCAGCCGCCGGTGGCGGGCGCGATCTCGTGGGCGCGCAGCCTGTTTGGGCGCGTGCGCAAGACGATGCAGAAGCTGGACGACGGGCAGCTGCTGAGCGAGGAGGCGGGGCACGAGGTGCACAAGAACTACGTCGGCCTCGCCAAGCAGATGCTGGCCTTCGAGAAAACGTGGTTCGCCGGCTGGGCCGCCTCCGTGGACGCGCTCGCGCTCGCGCACCTGAAGCAGCCCATCCTGCGCCGCGAGGGCGACGGCCACGTGGTGGTCAACTTCCACCCGGACCTCACGCGCATCATGCGCGAGGCGCGCTACCTGGACCGCATGGGCTTCAAGATCCCGGAAATGGCGCTCAACATCACGCTCCAGGTAAGGCCCACCTGAGTTGCCGTACCTCTCGAACACTCGGAATGTAGTCCTTCAATGTGGTAATTGTGTATAGACCAGGATGTCGGTAGACTTAAGTCTGTAGCTCGGTTGTCCTTGTTACTCTGAGCATAAAGTAGCTTCCAGTTTTAACGTTACTGGGAAAGAGGTGCACGACATTGATGCAATTGCTGCGTAAGTATATCTCTGGCCTCTTTATCATCATTCAGGACAGAACTCCTGACCTAGCGCCTGCGCTTGAGTCAAAAGTAGCCTCGAGGTTTTTCTGCTGCGTGCCCGCTGACGGCGGGTATGCGCGGCGCGTGCGCAGGAGGAGAAGTACGTGGGGTACGTGGCGGCGCTGGGCGGCATGCTGGGCCACTACTGGGCGGTGGTGGGCGTGCTGACGCCGACGGAGGGGCGGCTGCTGGCGGGCAAGCTGGAGCAGCTGGAGCGGTGCCTGGACCCCGGCTTCTCGCCGCTCAACTGGAACGCGCTCGGCATCCCGGACTTCGTCGCCGCCGCCAACAAGGCCATCAACGAGTTCCAGGCGCTCGTCAACCAGGTCAGCGCGCACAACCCGCGCGGGAACCGTAGGATGCAAGCCCTTCTATGATGGGGTCGAGTTTCAAAATCAAAGTTTCAGGCTTCAGTTGAAGGACAAGGTCCTCGGACAAGAAACGTTTCATTTCTTGAAAAGCTTCTGTATCAAAAACGGCCGTGACTTAGCTGCCACGGAGCGGCTCTGTGCTTCCGATCTGCAAATGAACGGGATGCTCCGCACTCCAGGCTGAGTCGGATCTCTTCCGTTTGTGCAGATCCAGAAGAACAGCGCCATCATCGAGAAGGCCATCAGCTCGCTGGCCCGGTCGAAGCTGGTGCAGGCGCCGCCCCCCGGCGAGGGCGACGTGGCGGACCTGCAGGAGCTCTTCGAGCACGTCGAGCGGCAGCGCACCGAGGCTGTCGAGGGCATGCTCAAAAAGTGAGCGGGCGCCGCGCAAGGATTAGCGATTTGCGATTTGACTGCTGGAAGGGATCTTCCGAGGAGTTTTAGAAGTCCGTCTTACAGAGAGTGGCTGATTCAATCTCTCTTGTGTTCAAGTAAGGAGAGCTTGCGGTAGAAGACCCAAGTGCAGTGAGGGACCAAAGTGGCGAAGTTGATTGTTCAGAGCGTGCGAAGTTCGCACTGCATCCCCTCCAGTCACACTCTGGGTTCCGCTCGCGGCTGAGCGTGTTGCGGGGGTGTGGGTGCAGGTACCGCAGCATCGCGCCGCTGTTGGGCAAGGTGGAGGAGCTGGTGGCGGCCAGCAACAGCGGGCGCAGCCCTGCGCTGGCGGACTACTACGCCTTCTGGGAGCGGCGCATCTTCGCCGCGCTCAACCAGGCCGTCGCCGCCGGCATGGCCAAGCTGCAGCACCTCTTCACCGGCCAGCCCAGAAAGGTGCGCCGCCTTTTCAGCGCGAGCCGAGCGCTTGTCTAGTAAAGCAGGACCTCGGTTTAAAGAACTGAAACCTTGTGCTCAACCGCGGCAAGTCTTCCCAATCAGGGGCTGCTTTTGAAGAAGATGGTTGACCTTTTTGTCAGAGATTGACACAAACGCTGCATCTGGAAACTAGTCAAAATCCTGAATCTACTTTAATGCTGCTCTGGTTGTTGCTGACGTGCCGTGCCGTGTCGTGTGGCGTGCAGTCGTCCGGCGGGCGGTCGTCCCCGCCCGTAATGCTGTTCCGGCTGACCACCTCGCTGAGCCCGCCCGAGATCCTGGTCCAGCCCGCCGTCAGCGAGGTCACTAAGCTCCTCTCCAGGATGGTGAGCCGCCGTGCCAGGCTCCACCCGCCCCGGCATCAAAGTCTTGCATTCGGAGCGAACAGCCAATCTGAAGTGCAAAATTGGTGGCATGTGCATAGCTTGCGCTGAGATCGAAATGCTGACGAGTGTCTAATGCGGTGCAGGTGCGCAACGTGGTGGAAAGCACCAAGCCGTTTGTGCGGTGGATGGACGGCTCCTGTTTAGAAACGCCGCCGCAGGTGAGGGCTTTTGAGCCTCCCTCCATGCAGGCTCCGCTACGTACTGCGGTGTTAGATTTTACCGGGCTGATCCTCAAGCTTTGCCTTCCATCAAAATAGATTGGCTCACACGTTCAGAGTTTCAAAAACTGCTGCACTCTTGGCGGGCAAACTGAGAGGTGTATACGTTGCTGGATAACACTGTCAATCTACGCAATTGAGTAGTCCGTTCTTACTTCGCCGCGTGCAGAAGACGGGCGCAGACGACGAGGAGCCGTACATCTTTTCCTTCTACAACGACGTTTCCGCCAACAGTCAGGTCAGCACAGCCCTCCAAACACGCCCTGCCAACATTCAAGCCTTTAGATTGGGGCACATGCTGTAGGCTTTCAAGGACGTCTTCGCAAACATAATTGAAAGGTCTAGACTGTCTGTACTACTGGGGTTTGCGTCAAACCTGATCCCGGTCGACGCTGCCTGTGGCGCACTATCTCGCAATAAGCGCTTAGCACGGCATGGTCAATAAGCCGGCGTACCGGAAGCATATGGCCTCCGTCACGAATGCCGAGTTCCCGCCCGACATCTCAACACTAGCCTCTCGATCGGATAGAAACCGCAGCAAGGGTTTGTCGATATCCAATATAAGTATACGGCTTGAAAGCAGGCGAATCCTGCGAGATAGCGTGCGACTTGCAGGGAAAACCGCTATCAGTTTTGACGCAATCCCAAGTACTATGATAGCCTGTGTCTAGAAGTGGGTTTGGAACACTCATTTCTTCAGGCAGCACGATGCACACAACCCGACGCTGTCTTCTTACTGCAACTGCTCCGTCAGTCTCAGCGACGGCCTCTGACGTGCTTTCCCCGGCGGCGTTGCCCCGCAGGTGATCAAGGCGATGCTGACGCTGACGGGGCTGGTGCACAAGGCGACGGCGGGCGTGAGCAAGCACGTGGACGGCTGGCGGCGCTACCAGCACCTGTGGAAGCAGGACAAGGCCGCCACGCTCGACAAGTTCGCCGCCAAGCAGCCGACGTGCGTCGAGTTCGAGGAGAAGCTCGCCAAGTACTCCCGGGTGAGGGCCATAGCATGCAGAATGGCGCTGGGATGGCGGCAGGTGCCTTCGTTATACTTCGAACAGCTCTGCTTGGACGATGGTGCACCGCGGGCTCGGCTGTTAGGCCATCGAAATACTTTTTGCTTCCCCCCCTCCTCTGACTGACCCCGCTCCGACCTTCCTGCGCAGATCGCGGTGGACATCGCCGAGTTGCCCAAGGAGAAGGACGTGGAGTTCGTGCGCGTGGCGAGCCACCAGCTGGCGGACGCGCTGTGCGCTGAGGCGCGCGCGTGGGTGGCGGCGATCGGGCAGGCCATGGCGGAGAGCGACCGCAAGCGCATCGCGGGCATGCACGCGGCCATCGCGCAGTTGGAGGCGGACGTGACGCGGCCGCCCACCAGCCTGGACGACCTGAAAGCCGTGCTCAACGTCGTGGCCGACATCCGCGCGCGCGCCATGGACATGGAACAAGAGTGAGCGCGCGTGCGAGCGGCCGGTCTTGTGGGCAACACTGTCAGCATCTTGGAGTGGTGAATTTGAGTGTCAAGATATATTCAACTGGAGGTCTGTATACCTTGTGGGCACCGTTGATTGGGTTTCTGAAAGCGTGCTCGTTCCTTTTGGTAGAACAATCAATGCTGATGCGCTTGCGCTCTCGCTGCAGGTACGTGGAAATTGAAGAGCGTTGCCGCACGCGCATGCTGTACGGTCTTGGGGGCGACGACGAGGAGACGGCCCAGGCATACGCTATCAGAACCAAGTGAGTGTTGGGCACAGTATGGCAGACCGTATTACCGAGACTGGGGCAGACACAACTCGTTTGTAGCACGACTTCTCTACAAAGGAAGAGAGCGATAGAGCATCATAACTGTTTCAGCCGTTGTGTCTTTGGACAGGCTGTGCGAATAGCATCTAATCAGTCATTTGCGGTGCTAACCCTGTATACGTGAAGGCATGTTGCTGCACATGTTTGGGGGCCTTGACGGGTTGCGGCTTTGCGCGCAGGTGGGTGGAGCTGCAGGGCGTGGCTGTGCGCGTGGACGAGGACTTGGAGGAGGTGAAGAAGAAGTTCACGGCCACCACGCAGGTGCAGGTCGCGGAGTACCACGCGTCCGTGCTGGACCTGCGGGAGAGACTCCGGGACAGCGGCCCGGGGAAGACCGACAACCTGGACCAGGGCCTGGAGCTGCTCAAAACATTCCAGGTCAGCCCCCCTGCTGAATACGAACGCACGGTGGAATGGTGGAACGATTATCGCCCGATACTCTTTTTCGAAAAGGGCGACTTGTGAGGTACGATTCGATGGCCATCATGATTGTTGCAGTTGCCATTGCCATGGCAACAAACTGCCTTCTGAGCTGACACTCTTGCCACCCCTTCGCTAATGAAGTGACGGCGCTGAGGCTGATCAAAGATAATGGCCCTTCGAGAAAAGGCTGGTGTTGGGCTGCCGTCTGAGCCCCGCCCGGGTGTGGCCCTGCGCAGGCGGAGGTGGCGGCCAAGGGCGGCGCGCGCGAGGCGCTGGTGCTGGCGCAGAAGCTGTTCGACCTGCCCATCACGTCGTACCCGGAGCTGCTGGAGGTGGACGCGGAGCTGCGCAGCCTGGCGCAGATCTTCGAGCTGTACACCGACTTCAGCGCCGCCGTCAAGGCCGCGTCGTCCATGCTGTGGGCGGAGCTGGACATCGGGCGCCTGGTGGGCGCGCAGGAGGAGTTCGGGGGGCGGCTCAAGCGGATGAAGCACCTCAAGGCGCTGCCCACCTACGGCCTGCTGGAGGCCAAGCTCAAGGAGTTCCAGGACTCGCTCCCGCTCATCCAGGTGCACCCGCGGACAGGCTCTGCCTACCTTCTCGGCTTCACCGATCACAACGGGTCTGATATGGAAGCCAATGAAGCGTTACAGACTGACGCTCCCCCCGAAACTTCTGGATGGTGAATGAATTGAAGAGTTTGTATTTGAAGCTCAACCTGCATCGGCAAATGGATGCAAGTCAGGTCTGTATCGTGCCACTCAAGTGCATTTACATCTTCAATTCTAGGGGCAAAAGCTGACTCGTCGAGCTTTACCTGTATGCTGCAGGACCTGAAGAGCGAGGCGCTGCGGCCGCGGCACTGGGAGCGGCTGATGGAGCTGACGGGCAAGCGCTTCGACATGGACCCCAAGAGCTTCACGCTCGGCGCGCTCTTCGCCATGCAGCTCCACAACTACGCCCAGGTGACCGCCCCACTGCTCGCCGCTTGCCCCAAAATAATATGGCTGCATTGAAAAAGATGAGCGGTGCAAATCAGGCCAAAAAGCATAAGAGAGCCGTGATTGGAGACGGGAATTTTGTGCATCATCACTCGTAGGATAAAAGACACATGCGAGAATGAGTTACTAAAGACGGAAGCCGTTCACAGCAAAACAGGGTGTTTGTGTCCATTTTATGGAAGCTGCCGTCAGTAGCAACGGGGGCGAACTTGAAGTTCTTTATTTTTCCAAGGAAAGCAGATTCGTCTTCAAAGCTTCTACTGACCTTTTCCCGCCGCTTTTACCCCTTTTGCCGCAGGTGATCAGCGAGATGGTGGGCGCCGCCAGCAAGGAGCTGAGCATCGAGGCGGAGCTGCGCGGGCTGGCGGAGGTGTGGCGCGAGCAGGCCTTCACGGTGGCCAAGTACACCAAGAACGGCGCCGACCGCGGGTGGGTGCTGCGCGGGGTGGACGAGCTGGCCGTGCTGCTGGAGGACCAGGGGCTCAACCTGCAGTCCATGATGGCCTCGCGCTTCGTGAAGCCGTTCCTGGAGCAGGTGCGCGCGTGGGAGGGCCGCCTGAGCCTGATCGGCGAGGTGTCCGGCGTGTGGGTGGGCGTGCAGCGGCGGTGGCAGTACCTGGAGAGCATCTTCGTGGGCAGCGACGACATCCGGCACCAGCTGCCCGACGAGGCCAAGCGCTTCGACGGCATCGACAAGGCCTGGAAGAAAATCATGGCCGACACCGCCAAGAACCCCAACGTCCTCGACGCCTGCGCCGTCGAGGGCCGCCTCGAGCAGCTGCAGCAACTCTCCGCGCAGCTGGAGACCTGCCAGAAGAGCCTCTCCGAGTGAGCACGCCGGCCGCCCTGGCTCGTCACAGAGCGAGGAGCAACTGCTCTACTGTTTTGCAGTATGGGGATCGTTATGCTCTGGGTCTCTAGCCCTTTGTCTGATCTGTTTGAGCAGCCCGCTCTTCGCTTATCTTTCTAGGGCCTTTTTTCAGGGCCACGAATAAAGTAAGCATCAGACAGAAGTAAGCATCAAGAACTCTCTCAAGGTGGTCAAAAGTGTCCGAGAGCACGTTAATTGTTGAGGCAGCACAGAGCATATTTTGGAAAGAGCTATTTTACGACTCTTAGACATCTGCCTTTTGCTGACGCCGTGCAGGTACTTGGACACGAAGCGGTGTTCGTTCCCGCGCTTCTTCTTCATCAGCGACGACGAGCTGCTGAGCATCCTGGGCACGTCCGACCCGACGAGCGTGCAGGAGCACATGCTCAAGCTCTTCGACAACTGCGCCGCGCTGCGCTTCGGCCGCGGCAACAAGGTCGTCACCGGCATGACGTCCTCCGAGGGCGAGGGCTTCGACTTCCGCGCGCCCGTGTCCACGGAGGGCGCCGTCGAGGTGTGGATGACGGCCGTCGAGGCGGAGATGCGCGCCAGCCTGGCGGCCATTACCAAGGAGGGCGTGTTTTTCTACGCCAAGAAGCCGCGCGCGCGCTGGATCCTGGACAATCTGGGCATGACGACGCTGGTGGGCAGCCAGATCTGGTGGACTTGGGAGGTGGAGGACGGCTTCCGCCGCGTGCGCGCCGGCGGCAAGGGCGCCATGAAGGAGCTGGCCGGCAAGCTGACGGGGCAGCTGGGCGAGCTGGTGGGCATGGTGCGCGGCGAGCTGGGGCCGCTGGACCGCAAAAAAGTGAACGCGCTCATCATCATCGACGTGCACGCGCGCGACATCATCGACGCGTTCGTGCGCGACTCCGTGCTGGACCACCGCGAGTTCGCCTGGGAGTCCCAGCTGCGCTTTTACTGGGACCGCGCCAACGACGACCTCTTCATCAGGTGACCAGCCCCAGCCACGCACGCTCGGCCAGCTCGCAACCGTCTTGAAAACCGTTGGACTGACGCCTTTTCTGAGAAGGGCTGGGTAAGAAGGTCGAGGAACGGCTAACTTGATTGCTGCAGGCCGGAGATGGACGCTGAGGCCCTAGATTGGGGGAGAAAAAGGATCTCAATTTTGAACCCCTGAAGCATTTCGGATTCAAAGACGCCCCCATGGTATCCACATCGGTTTCTGTGCAATATCCTTAATACCTTGCATAATTCATTTGTAAAGCTGAAATTGAGTATGATCTTAAGCCTCTTCACTGATCTGGATGTAGCCTCAAAACGCTCTCAGACCGACTTTCTTTCCCTTGTCTGGGAGGACAGAGTATAGTACACGATGTCGTCTATGAATCTTAAATATAGAAAGTGCTCTTGTGAGCTACTACTTTGTCGAGTTGGTCAAGCCTCCTCTGCATGAGGGTTACCCCCCCCGCTGCCTGGCCTGACCCCTTGGCGCGCGCACGCGCCGACATGGCAAGTGCAGGCAGTGCAGCGGCGAGTTCCGGTACGGCTACGAATACATGGGCCTGAACGGGCGGCTGGTGATCACGGCGCTGACGGACCGGTGCTACATGACGCTGACGACGGCGCTGACGTTCAAGCTGGGCGGCGCGCCGGCGGGCCCCGCGGGGACGGGCAAGACGGAGACGACCAAGGACCTGGCCAAGAGCATGGCGCTGCTGTGCGTGGTGTTCAACTGCGGCGACGGCCTGGACTTCAAGGCCATGGGCAGCATCTTCAGCGGGCTGGTGCAGTGCGGCGCGTGGGGCTGCTTCGACGAGTTCAACCGCATCGACGCCGAGGTGCTCTCCGTCGTGTCCAGCCAGATCAAGCAGATCCAGGAGGCGCTGAAAGCCGACGCGCGGCGGTTCCAGTTCGAGGGCAAGGAGATCCGGCTGGACGGCCGGACGGGCATCTTCATCACGATGAACCCGGGGTACGCGGGGCGGACGGAGCTGCCGGACAACCTGAAGGCGCTCTTCCGGCCGGTGACCATGATCGTGCCGGACCTGCAGCAGATCTGCGAGATCATGCTCTTCTCCGAGGGCTTCGACACCGCCAAGGTCCTCGCCAAGAAGATGACCGTGCTCTACAAGCTCTCGCGCGAGCAGCTGAGCAAGCAGTACCACTACGACTTCGGCCTGCGCGCGCTCAAGTCCGTGCTTGTCATGGCGGGCGCGCTCAAGCGCGGCTCGCCCGACATGGACGAGGCGCTGGTGCTCATGCGCGCGCTGCGCGACATGAACCTGCCCAAGTTCGTGTTCGACGACGTGCCGCTCTTCCTGGGCCTCATCAACGACCTGTTCCCGGGGATGGACTGCCCGCGCGTGCGCTACCCGCAGCTGAACGACGTGATCGAGGCGGACCTGGCGGAGCAGGGGTACCTGGTGGTGACGGAGGCGAGCGGGCAGGTGGACAAGGTCATCCAGCTGTACGAGACCATGATGACGCGCCACACCACCATGGTCGTCGGCCAGACCGGCGGCGGCAAGTCCGTCATCCTCAAGACGCTCGCGCGCGCGCAGACCAAGCTGGGCGTGCCCACCAAGATGACCGTCATCAACCCCAAGGCGCAGCCCACCAGCGAGCTCTACGGCGTGCTCGGTGAGCCGGCCGCGGATGCTCTTGCGAAACGAGGCAGCTCTTCCTGTTGCGGATGTTAACAACCTGTGACTTGGACACCCTACTCCGTGCATACCCAAAGAGCACCTAATCTGCTGTTGACTTGGTTAAGGCCGGTATTGATCTTCCTGTTAGAGCAGTGCGCAAGGATTAGTCTAGATTGAAAGCGATCACTAAAAAGTGTTTCTTAGCTCCGGCCGTTTCTAGAGTCCAATGCTCTCGTCACCACTTGCAACTCGCGGAGGGCAACGAAATCTGTTTTGTGATAAAAGCAGGGATGGCGGCTGACAGCTGTCTGCTGCGCGTGCAGACCCCGACACACGTGACTGGACGGACGGCTTGCTGAGCAGCCTGTTCCGCGAGATGGCGCGGCCGCTGGTGGGCGACAAGGAGGAGCGGCGGTACCTCGTGTTCGACGGCGACGTGGACGCGCTGTGGGTGGAGGACATGAACAGCCTCATGGACGACAACAAGCTGCTCACCCTGCCCAACGGCGAGCGCATCCGCCTGCCCAACCACTGCAAGCTGCTCTTCGAGGTAAAGCCCCGCAGCGTCTTGCCCAGCCCTGGTGCACCCGTTGTAAATTGTCGGGATCTGGAGCAATAGGCTCTGCTTCGAAGAGCTAGATTCCAAATGGCCAGCATTCGAGGTGCAGCAGTAGACGGCTCTCTGCAGTTACAGTCCAGCCGTTTTAGGTTTCATGATCGCCTTCAACAACTTTTGCAGAAAGCTGTCGCTACAAAGAGGCTTCGAAGCTTTGAATCAATGGGTTGAAGTAAGCTGACTCCATGCTTGCTATAACTTGCATATGACTTTAATAGAGAGCAGCTCGCTCATAATGGCGTGTGCACGCAGGTGTTCGACCTGCAGTACGCGTCTCCCGCGACGGTCAGCCGGTGCGGCATGGTCTACGTCGACTCGCGCAACTTGGGCTACAAGCCTTTCATCTGGAAGTGGTGCAACGGCAGGCAGAGGTGAATGCCCGCCCCCAAACGCCTAGCAGGCAGCTGCAGACTCTCAGGAAAGGGAGTTGGCGAAACCAGAAGAGCTGGGTTTTAATCAATTCCGTCCAATGTTTTCCAGTGCGTGGCTCCAAAAGATATACCTATTCACTTCTTTCTTGATCTGCAGAAACAATTGTTAAGAGCGAGCTGCCAGGCCATGGCCTTCAATTTACGCAAGTGTTGGACCAGCTGTGTCATGTAAGGCATCAGAAAAAGAAGAAAAGGCTGTGGCTTTAGCAAGTGTGTCGCTCGCCAACATCTTGATGCAGTTTTAGCAACACTGACTGTCAGGAATCTGTTCATGTGCGTGGCAGCGCTGACGAGGCGGAGGCGCTGCGCGGGCTGATGGCCAAGTACGTGGGGCAGTGCGTGGACTTCGTGCTGGAGGGCGTGGAGGACGACGTCATCACGCGGCGGCTGCGGCAGGCCATCCCCGTGACGGCCCTCAACACCGTCACGCAGCTCTGCACGCTGCTGGACGCCATGCTCACCGACGACAAGGGCATCACCGACCCGCAGGTGAGACAAGCAGGAAAAGCCTCGCCTACAGCGCTGCAGCCGTCCAGCAAGCGGCGTGGCAAAGGCTGCAGCAGGTTCAATACAGGCGTCGACTAAGTCAAGTCGAACATTCCCACAGTCGACGACTCTGATGGCTGAAAAATTTGAAGCACTTAGAGCAGAACGCACCTTCTTGCTTCAGGCCGAGTAAAGTAAGTTTCTTTTGGTATGCGAAAGCGGTCAATTCTTGTTGAATCTGCAGTATGCTTATGTACTCACTAACAAACGCAAGTGATCAAAATCAGCCGCTCTGATACAACCGGCTGACAGGCTACGACTTGCCCTGCTGTTCCGCAGACGTTGGAGGCGGTGTTTTTGTTTTGCGTGGTGTGGTCGGTGGGCGCGGCGGTGGTCCAGAACGGCGCGGTGGCGGACCGCGACCGGTTCGACAAGTTCGTCAAGGGGCTGGCCGGCCTCAGCCTGGCGGACGGCGACACGGTCCCCGCCACGCAGCTGCCCGCCAAGAGCCTCTACGAGTACTGCTTCGACACCAACGACCTGCGCTGGCGCTCCTGGAAGAGCCTCGTCCAAGACTACCAGGTGAGGAGCCAAGCGGGGGAGCAGGGGGCCGGATTTCCTGATTAGCCGTTCCTTGGAAGCTCGCTCTCACTGGGCCTGTGCGAAGGTGAAGGTCAGCAGCTAGCATTCCGACCGGAGCTTTGCACAACGCGGGAATTTTAGAGTTGTTTTTTGAGTGACAAGACCATGCACCGGGAAGGTTTTGCTGAGAGAAGGTACCCATAAACGTTGTTACTAAGCGCTTATCAAGTCCGACAGATTCTGCCGGATTTGGCTGCAAGGTACCCGCTTTTATATCTCCTCTTTAGATTTTGTTCTGAGATTAAAGTCTAAAGGGTCTCTTTGCTCTCTGCTGTGTAGCCCCCCCCCGATGGCAAGTTCTCCAAGATCCTGGTGCCCACGGTGGACACCGTCCGCTCCACGTGGCTCCTCGACATCATGGTGCAGGTCAGCAGGCGGCCGCCACAGGCAGGGGCCGCCCACACCGGGCGGCTTGGCCGTCTCCCGAAGATTTTGAAAGCACTGATATGATGCAAGCTTGGCAGCTCTCATTTCTCCTTGACCATTGCCGCTGGCTGGAGCCGAGCTCAGCTGATAGTAGTCGTTAGAAACTCGGTTCTCAAATTTGCAGTATCGAAGCAGTCCGTCTTTGTTGCGGAGGTTCCATTGTTTCCTTTGCCCTGACGTGCGCCGTTTCCCTCAGGTGGGTCGGCCGGTGCTGTTCGTGGGCGACAGCGGGACGGCCAAGAGCGTGACGGTGGGGCAGTACCTGGGCGGGCTGTCGCCGGAGCACTTTTTGGTGCTCAACATGAACTTCAGCAGCAGGACCTCCAGCCTCGACGTGCAGCGCGCCGTCGAGGACGCCGTCGAAAAGAGGACCAAGGTGCGCGCCCGGCTGCAGCTGGACATGCAAGAGAATCTCAAGGACGCTGGGCATGACCGTCGACGTCACCGATCGATAGCTGCGAGATGAAGAGCACTCAAAACGCTTGCTGAGCAAGGTCTTCTCGCTGCTCGAGAAGCCGATTCTGAGTAGTCTCTTCGAGCCAAGGCATCATACCAAATGCTGATGAGCCTCATAATGGCATGAAGGTCGTGTTTCCTGGCTGCGCTTGACGCGCGGCCGCGGTGTGTGTGCAGGACACGTACGGCCCGCCGGTGGGCAAGAAGATGGTGGTGTTCATCGACGACCTGAACATGCCCAAGGTCGACAAGTACGGCACGCAGCAGCCCATCGCCGCGCTCAAGCTGCTCATCGAGCGGAGCGGCCTCTACGACCGCGGGTAAGAGCCACACCGCACCAACCAAACTGTCTGCCCCTGCGTTGCCGGCGGCTTGTCTCGCCTCTATAAGTGACTTACAAGGCTTACCAAATCGGCGCACCCTCTAATATGAGACTCTTTGTTCAAGCACAGGTGATAGGAGGGTTAGTCAGAGTTCAGCAACACCTGTTGAGAGAGACCCGCGCCGTATGATTCTGCTCAAATAAGCACCCGCAAATTGTGACGACAGAGCGTATTGAATGGCTCTCGCATCGAAGTGAGCCGCTCTGCCTTTTGCGTGCTTGCAGCAAGGAGCTCAACTGGAAGAACATGAAGGACGTGCAGTTCGTGGGCGCGATGGGCCCGCCCGGCGGCGCGCGCAACGCGGTGGACCCGCGCTTCATCAGCCTCTTCTCCGTGTTCGAGATCCAGTTCCCCGCCACCGAGTCGCTCACGCGCATCTTCGACACCATCCTCAACGCGCACGTCCAGAGCCTCGCGCCCGACATCAAGGTCAGCGCGCCACGCCGGCGACCTTGAATCCTGCTACATGAGTTAACTCTCAAGAAGACGTGTCCAACTTTTCAGCAATTTGAAGAGCGAAAGAAAACGCTGAGCGGGATCTGCCTTTATCCATGGTCAATGAGACCGCTGCCAAACGACCCTTTGTTGTCTTCTGTTCTTTTTCCCTCTGCCTTTCGATTTTTTCTGCATTCGAACACAAGTCTGATTCTGCCTCTCCCGTGGCACAGGCGGCGTGCGCGGGGCTGACGGAGGTGACGCTGCGGCTGTACGGGTTCATTTTGGAGAAGCTGCCTCCGACGCCGAGCCGGTTCCACTACATCTTCAACCTGCGCGACCTGAGCCGCGTCTTCGAGGGCCTCTGCCTGTCCACGCCCGACAAGTTCGCGTCGCCGGCCCAGTTCCTGCGGCTGTGGCGCAACGAGTGCCTGCGCATCTTCCACGACCGCCTCATCTCCGAGGACGACAAGGCCGCCGTGCAAGCCAAGCTCGCGGAGCTGGTGCAAGACAAGTACGGGCAGCACGCGGACGCCGTGCTGGCCAACCCCATCCTCTTCGGGGACTACCGCCTCGCGCTCAAGGTCAGGCGCCGCCGCAGTCGCAAGATGCTGAGTCTGGCTGCTTGAGAGCAGGCTCTTGAAAGGGCGCCCATGTCTCGGCGGTTTCGATTACCTTTTTGGTTACCTTCTACCAGAACGGCCTTTTAAATTACATGTTCCAAAATCAGCTTCTCTGGTGTCGTAGTCAGATGACCAAGTTGCCTTGGCCCGGAAGATAAACTGTCCGCATTCTCTCCCCGGCAAAGATTCACTACTACAGTAGCCAGAATCCGTTGTCCTTGAATCTAGTTCTGATAAGCCAGATCGCATCCTTTTGACATTTCTGAAGTATGAGCTCCGTTGTCTTTCTCAGTAGCCGCGATTTGTTTCACTTCTTTGCTTCCTCTCTGATGCCCCGCCCCTGCGGCTTTGCGCTTGCTGACTTGCTCGCTTCGCGTGGGTGCAGGAGGGCGAGGCGCGGCTGTATGAGGACCTGGGTGACTACTCTACCGTGAAGGGCGTGCTGGAGGGCGTGCTGGAGGAGTACAACGCGGGGCGCAGCAAGGCCATGACGCTCGTGCTCTTCAAGGACGCGCTCGAGCACGCCACGCGCATCCACCGCCTGCTGCGCCTGGAGCAGGGCAACGCGCTGCTGGTCGGCGTCGGCGGCAGCGGCAAGCAGTCGCTGGCGCGCCTCGCGGCCTTCGCGGCCGGGTGCGCGGTGTTCGAGATCACGCTGACGCGCGGGTACGACGAGGCGGCGTTCCGCGAGGACCTGAAGAAGCTGTACGCCATGCTGGGCGCGGAGAACAAGCGCGTCATGTTCCTCTTCACGGACGCGCACGTCGCGGACGAGGGCTTCCTGGAGCTCATCAACAACATGCTCACCGCGGGGATGGTGCCCGCGCTCTACGCCGACGACGAAAAGGACGCGCTCGTCAACCAGGTGACGCAACCGCTCCGCCTCAGCTTATGCTGTTTGCATCGGCACTAAGCAGTGACGCTAGCACACAACAAAAAGTTAGGGTAGCCGCCCGCCAATATCGGTTGCAAGATCTCTCCCTGATTCGCACGCAGCGCTTAATCTGCTCTCTCATCTCATCGTTTGTGCTCTGAAAAAAAAAGAGATAATCTAGCTCGTTCGGCACGCTGAAGGATTGACAACTCGGACGGAAAGTACAAAAGACGTGACTCTTCTGCCCCCTGAAGAATAGCTCGATATCGAGGCTGTGCCTACATTTGCCCAGGTGCGTGACGAGGTTGCGGCGAAGGGGTTGCTGGACACGAAGGAGGCGTGCTGGCGGTACTTCGTAGGCAAGTGCCGCAACAACCTGCACGTGGTGCTGTGCATGTCGCCCATCGGGGACACGCTGCGCACGCGCTGCCGCAACTTCCCGGGCATGGTCAACAACTGCGTCATCGACTGGTTCACGCCCTGGCCCGAGGAGGCGCTCCACAGGCAAGGGCCCCATGCGCCGCAGCACTCGGGCCTTGGAACCACTTGGCATGTTGCTCACACGAAGGACAACAGATCAGGGGATATTTCGCTTTCTTTTGACGGGAATTTGGGCCAGAAATCGAACTCAAGTGGATCCGTCTGTGTTTGGCAAGACTTCTTTCCAAAAGTGGAAAGAGATGTCAAAAGTCAGCTTAATCTTCGATTGAATATTCAAGCTTTCAATTGCGTCAATTGGAGATACCCCGCTTATTGGTTCGTCTTTGCATAGCACAGTCCACCGTTGTCATCAGCGTGGTGCCGCGGGCTGCTTCTCAGCTTTGGCTAATTGTTATGCGCAGCGTGGCGAGCGTGTTTTTGGCTGACGTGGACCTGCCGGAGCCGCACCGGGCGGGCATCGTGGAGCACATGGTGGTGGTGCACCAGAGCGTGCGCCAGTTCAGCGCCGAGTTCGAGGCGGCGCTGCGGAGGCACAACTACGTGACGCCCAAGAACTACCTGGACTTCGTGGGCACGTACAAGGCCGGCTTGGCGGGGCACCGCGTGCGGCTGGGCGAGCTGAGCGGGCGGCTGGACGCGGGGCTGGCCAAGCTGATCCAGGCCGCGGACGAGGTGGCCACCATGCAGGCCAGCCTGGCGGACGCCAAGACCGTGGTGGACGCCAAGAGCGCGCAGTGCGCGGAGCTGCTGACCGTCATCGCGGCCAACACGACGACGGTGGAGAGCAAGCAGGCGGTGGCGCAGCAGAAGGAGGCGGACCTGAGCGTGGAGAGCGCGCAGATCGCGATCGAGAAGGCGGACGCGGAGGCCGCGCTGGAGGCGGCCATCCCCGCGCTGGAGGCGGCCGCGGAGGCGCTGAACAACCTGAAGAAGGACGAGATCACGGAGATCCGCTCGTTCGCCAAGCCGCACGTGCTGGTGCAGAAGGTGTGCGAGTGCGTGGTGCTGCTGCGCGGGCTCAAGGACGTGAGCTGGAAGGGCGCCAAGGCCATGATGGCGGACGCGCGCTTCCTGGCCAGCCTGATCGAGTTCGACAAGGACGGCATCACGGAGAAGCAGATGCGCGCGCTCAAGGACTACTTCAAGGACCCCAAGCTGACCATCGAGGAGCTGATGAGCATCAGTACCGCGGGCGCGGGCCTGCTGCGCTGGGTGTGCGCCATGATGAACTACAACAACATCGCCAAGACCGTCAACCCCAAGCGCCAGGCCGTGGCCGCCGCCGAGAAGAACCTGCGCGCCGCGCAAAAGGAGCTGGAGCGCATCAAGGCCGAGGTGGCCGCGCTGAGCGGGCAGCTGGCGGGCCTGAGCGCGCAGTTCGCCGCGAGCACCGCGGAGCAGCAGGAGCTGAAGGCCAAGGCGGACCTGATGGAGAAGCGGCTGGACGCCGCGCGGCGCCTCATCGCGGGCCTGGACAGCGAGCGCACGCGCTGGACCGCGGAGATGGCGGAGCTGGCCGCCACGCGCGAGCGGCTGGTCGGGGACTGCCTGCTCTCCGCGTCCTTCCTCAGCTACACCGGGGCCTTCACCTACGACTTCCGCAAGAAAATGGTCCAGGTCAGGCCCCGACATAAGCGTGGTAAAGGGCAAGCGTTATCGGCAGGACCAACCGGCGATGCCTGTCGTCTGCTTCGACATGTGATATCTGAAGTTAGAATCTAGACTTTCTTAGACTCGATTGTGCAAGTTCCTGAGAGCAGAAGTGGAGGTCGGACTTCTTGCTTTGAACAGGGCCCGCACGGTGTTGGCTCTGTGCGAGTCCTGCTTTCTTCTCCGAGTGCACAACGCTAAGAAACGGGTGTCGGCTCAAATGTTCTCCTTTGCCTCTCCTGCTGACCTCCCCCTCCTCCTGCGGCGCAGGAGCTGTGGTACGGCGACCTGGTGACGCGCGGCGTGCCGGTGAGCGCGCCGTTCGCGCTGGAGACGCTGCTGACGAGCGAGGTGGAGGTGGCGGCGTGGGCCAGCGAGGGCCTGCCCGGCGACGAGCTGAGCATCCAGAACGGCATCCTCACCACGCGCGCGTCCCGCTTCCCGCTCTGCATCGACCCGCAGATGCAGGCGCTGGCGTGGATCAAGCGGCGCGAGGGCAAGAACCTGGACGGCCGCATCCGCTCCTTCTCCGACCCCGACTTTTTGAAGCAGCTGGAGATGGCCATCCAGTACGGCTTCCCCTTTCTGCTCGAAAACGTGGACGAGTACATCGACCCCGTCATCGACCCCGTCCTCGAGAAAAACATCACGCACGTCGGCGCGCGCAAGGTGGTCAAGCTCGGCGACAAGGAGGTCGAATGGGTGAGGCCGCGCGCCCAGCAGCCACCCGAGGACATATCCGTGCGGAGTTTGAAACGCGGCTATCATCGTTGACGAGAATCGTCAGATATTTTTAATTCTAGGGTGCGTTAAGCAGAAGGCTATATTCTGACAACAACGTTTAAGCGATATCACAGTGCTTCTGTTGCTTATATCGAGTTCCATTATCGACCAGGTCCAATCCAGTGTTGAATTCTGTCCGTTTGAGTGTTTCTTTTCGGTAAACCGAGCGCTTCAAGGAGTGCCAGAAAGTCTCCTTCGCCAATGATTCTGACACGTTTCTTCAAAATCTGCTTGCTTCAAGGACCGTACTTACATTCTGAACCCGAAGAGAATGTAGCCAGTAGACCATCGCGAGGTGACTGGGATGGTGGATAGGCTCGAAACTGATCTTGCTTGTGCTCAGCAACAGCAGGTTGAATCTGTAAAGAGCATCTTATGTCCGTCGCTTGCGACATCTTTGGAGTCCTCTTCTCTCGTCGGCGATTCGTTTCCTCTCCGGTATCAAGCCCGCTGCCTGGTTGCCTGGCGTGTGCAGGACGACAACTTCCGGCTGTACTTGGTGAGCAAGCTGCCCAACCCGCACTACGGGCCGGAGGTGTCGGGCAAGACGCAGATCATCAACTACGCGGTGACGCCGGCGGGGCTGCAGGCGCAGCTGCTGAACGTGACGGTGCGCCACGAGCGGCCCGCGCTGGAGGAGCAGCGCGAGGGCCTGGTGCGCGAGATGAGCGAGAACAAGGCGCTGCTGAAGCAGCTGGAGGACACGCTGCTGCGCGAGCTGAGCAACGCGCAGGGCAACATCCTGGACAACACGGACCTCATCGCCACGCTCGAAAACACCAAGGCCAAGGCCGTCGAGATCGCGGAGAAGCTCGCGCTCGCGCGCGACACCGCGGCCGAGATCGAGGCGGTGCGCGCGCGGTACAGCCCGGCGGCGAAGCGGGGCGCGATTTTGTTCTTCGTGATGAGCAGCCTGAGCGGCATCAGCAGCATGTACGAGTACAGCCTGGGCAGCTTCCTGGAGGTCTTCCGCACCACGCTGGCCACCAGCCGCAAGGACGCGGCGCTCGAGGCGCGGCTGCGCCACATCATCGACGGCCTCACCTACGACGTGTACGCCTACTGCTGCACCGGGCTGTTCGAGAAGCACAAGCTGATGCTCAGCTTCCAGATGGCCATCAAGATCGCGGACGGCGACGGCCAGCTCAACCATGCCTACCTCGACTTCTTCCTCAAGGGGAACCTCGCGCTCGAGAAGGCCGCGCGGCGCAAGCCCGCGGACTGGTGGCCCGACGCGGGGTGGGAGGACCTGATGCGCCTCACCGGCCTGGACGCGCAGTTCGCGGGGCTGGCGGACCACGTGGAGGCGCACGTGGGCGAGTGGCGCGCGTGGTACGAGCTGGAGAAGCCGGAGGAGGCGCCGCTGCCGGGGCCCTTTGCTGACGCGCTCTCGCCCTTCGAGCAGCTGCTGGTGCTGCGGTGCGCGCGCGTGGACCGCGTGACGGTGGCGCTGACGCGTTACGTGATCGCAGCGATGGGCGACAAGTACGTGAGCCCGCCCGTGCTGGACTACGGCAACATTTACCGGCAGAGCAGCCCCGTGACGCCCATCGTGTTCATCCTGAGCCCCGGCGCGGACCCGGCGTTCGACGTGTTCAAGCTGGGCGAGGAGATGGGGTTCAAGCCGGGCGGCAAGCTCAAGTACATGGCGCTCGGGCAGGGCATGGGGCCCAAGGCCGCCGAGTTCCTGGAGCAGGGCGCCGCGCGCGGGCTCTGGGTCATGCTGCAAAACTGCCACCTCCTGCCCAGCTGGCTCAAAACGCTCGAAAAGGTGAGCGCTGCATCAGGGGGCGGGAGGCTGTAACGGCCAGAAAGGGGCGAGAGCGGATTGTACGCTTGTTCCGCTCCGTGCGCTCACAGAATGTTTGCTACTGTTCGGCTCTCCTAAAAACTCCCGCTTTCTGAAGTGTGCCTACAGGCTGGGGATACGACAGCGGAAAGACCACAATTTGCTTAGTACCTGGAGGTACTGTTTTGCAATCTGACGCCCATTTTCGGTGGTGCAGATCTTGGAGAAGTTGGAGAAGCCGCACAAGGACTTCCGGCTGTGGCTCACGACGGACCCGACCCCGCGCTTCCCGCTGGGCGTGCTGCAGCGCAGCCTCAAGGTGGTGACGGAGCCGCCCAACGGGCTGAAGCTGAACATGCGCGCGAGCTACTCCAAGATCACGGACGACATGCTGGCCGACTGCGCGCACCCCGCGTTCAAGCCGCAGGTGTACGTGCTGGCCTTCTTCCACGCCGTGGTGCAGGAGCGGCGCAAGTACGGCAAGCTGGGCTGGAACGTGCCGTACGACTTCAACGAGACCGACTTCCGCATCTCCATGGCGCTCATCGGCACGTACCTCAGCAAGGCGGCCGCGGCGGGCGACGAGCTGATCCCATGGGGCACGCTGCGCTACCTCATCGGGGAGGCCATGTACGGCGGCCGCGTCTCCGACGGCTTCGACCGCCGCATTTTGACCACCTACCTGGACGAGTACCTCGGCGACTTCCTCTTCGACACCTTCCAGCCCTTCCGCTTCTACGCCGGCAAGGACGCGCTCTACAAGATCCCCGCGCCGGGCGGCCGCGACGCGTACTGTGCCGAGATCGACGGGCTGCCGCTGGTGCAGACGCCGGAGGTGTTCGGGCTGCACCCCAACGCGGACATCAGCTACTACACCGCCGCCACGCGCAGCCTCTGGCGCAACCTGGTCGACCTGCAGCCGCGCATCGGGGCCGCGCCGGGGGGCGCCTCCCGCGAGGACGTCATCGCGGGCGTCGCGCGCGACATCCAGTCTAAGATCCCCAACCCTTTCGACATCGCCATCATCAAAAAGGAAATCGGGGTGCCCTCCCCCGTGCAGGTGCGCGCGTGCGAGGCCACGACCCTAAGTGCCTGCTGTTGTTAAGGACAGATATCGAACGCTTCAGGTGGACGTCGTCTGAGTTGTGCTTCGATTACACGTTTCGTGAAACATCCTTTCACGGCGTCTCATGTGTAAGAGTAGCAAGAGTAAGTAGCAGGAACCATAGTAACGCTGCATTCTAGACGTCGAGGCGCACTAAGTGGGCCCGTCCTGCCCGAGGAAATTGAACAAGTCCTCTTGATGGACTAGACAGGCATGTACCACCTTAAAGCGTCCGTTGCTCCCTGTCCGCGGCCCCCGTGTTGGCGTGCTTGTTGAGCGGCGTGCGGCGGTGCGTGCGTGCAGGTGGTGCTGCTGCAGGAGCTGGACCGCTGGAACGCCCTTCTGGCGCGCATGCAGGCCTCCCTCAAGGACCTGCAAAAGGCGCTCGCGGGCGAGATCGGCATGAGCAGGTGCGCCGCACATGATACCATCCTTTGGGGGCAGCCCGACAGTACATGCCCTTCGTTAGGCACACCCTGCACGTTCCGTTGTGGGCACAGATCTTCAGTGCGCGCTGCCTCCTCGACCTACGCACCATTCTGCAGTGTGCTCGCGCTCGGCTCTCGCGTGGTGCCGTGCGGTCCCTGACGCCGCTGTTTTGCCCCGCGTGTGCTCCCGCAGTGACCTGGACGAGGTGGCGACGGCGCTGTTCAACGGGCAGCTGCCGGAGGCGTGGCGGCGCATGAACCCGCAGACGGAGAAGATGCTGGGCGCGTGGATGCTGTGGTTCGGCCGGCGCTACGCGCAGTACGCGGCGTGGGTGGAGCACGGCGAGCCGGCCGTCATGTGGCTGGCGGGGCTGCACATCCCGGAGACATACATCGCCGCGCTCGTGCAGACCGCGTGCCGCGACCGCGGGTGGCCGCTCGACAAGTCGACGCTGTATACGGCCGTGACGCAATTCACGGACGCGGGCCAGGTGCACGAGAAGCCCAAGCACGGCTGCTACGTGAGCGGGCTGTACCTGGAGGGCGCGCAGTGGAACCTCAAGAAGAGCCGCCTGGAGCGCCAGGTGAGCCGCGCCGCACAGCCACTCAGCACGCCACCCGGAAACCGGGCGGGGCCGCGCGAAACTGGTGCTCCCGAATGTTAGACGGACAAGGACTGTTTTTACGAAGATTTCGGATTGCTCAAAGATACCCCGAGGCTTTTGAGAGTATGCTTGTCGAACACATTACAAGCACAAACGAGAAGAAGTGCTTTGTTAAAAGCTGTCGGGATTGTGGACCTGCCTTGGTTGAGTTGCGCGTGCGTGCGGCGGGCTGAGGCGCGGATGTTGCGGTGGTGCGCAGGAGCCGAAGCAGCTGGTGGTGGAGCTGCCCATTTTGCAGATCGTGCCCATCGAGGCCAGCAAGCTGAAGCTGCAAAACACGTTCAAGACGCCCGTGTACGTCACTCAGGCGCGCCGCAACGCCATGGGCGTGGGGCTCGTCTTTGAGGCGGACCTCGCCACTGACGAGCACCCCAGCCACTGGGTGCTGCAAGGCGTCTCGCTGTCGCTCAACATCGATCAATAGGCCCGGCGAGCAGCCCATGTCGGACGCAAGAGGAAGCAGTAGTGTTCAATAAGTGTCCAGAGCCCACAAGCTGGGTTGTAATCTAGCCATGCTGTTCAATATCTACAAGGCTATTGAAAATCTGCACCCATTCAATAAACGTCACTAGATGTGCCCGGTGTCTAGCTGTTCCCGCACAGTCCTGTATGACCCTTGATAAAGCTAAGCTAGTTAATATTGTTGAAAGTCTAACCGAACCTTACCCAAGCACATATTGAGATCGGATTGTAGTCGGATTAAATGCGGTGTGTCTGTTTCTGCCGCGTATGCTTTTGACTCTCAGTCTTGCTCTCGAAAACCTTGCCGGCATAAGCGGAGTATGATAAGCGGCTGATTATACTAGCATCAGCTTGCGAACAGCGGACTTCAGCATCAGGTTACGTGCAAATCGACCCGGTATAAGATTTGTACCGGGTTAGTGTGCTTGAAGCACAATAAGATCGAGATATGGGGAGATGGCTAACTATTCTCGCATACAATCTCGTTCACAAACTCCTGCACAATCGTCCGCAATCACGAGTGATGCAAATCATGGCGCTCAACACATGATAGCTATATACTCATCGGTCCACGATCTTCTATTTCAACAATGACATAACGGCGGCACGCTGAGATAAGGATTGCACAGATTTCTTACGAATCGACGGGCCATAACTGTCTCAGAAGGAGTATTTTGCATATGCGCTCAAACGAACCACTTTTAATGAGCGCTGCGATAAAAGATTGTCAGCAACTAGAATTGCAACGATGAGGTATACACTGTGTATGGTATACCTGGAATGGCAGAAACTTTAATTTTCACCTAAAAATAAGATTGAAGCAAAGTGCATACTAGCTGTATTGTGCATGTGCATCGCGATAAAAGTGGAGTTGCAAGCATGCTACTCAAGCTACAATCTTTGGATTCGAAGTGCAAGATATTGATAATCTATCCATGCAGCCTGAGTACCGATATCATGCATGCCAGCTTGCATTTCGGGTATACTCAGTATTGCGCCCTCATGCAACCAATCATTAATACGCAATGTCTGCTTCGGGTAGATGCACCACACATGCATTTGCCATAAGCAACGCATGACGCAGACAAATGAATCTCTGATGATCTACTGGGTTTTTGCAACCAAACGCCGCCCTACATTCTTCAAAAGGTGTCCACTTTGCCGAGACTTTTTCCAAGTAGAGCATCGTTCCATCAATCAAGTGACATTTTCCCGGGCTTCCTAGAGGGCATCTTTAACCAGAGCCCTTGGAAAAGCTACTTCGAGAAAGTATCCAAATGTTGATTGACATGCTTACTCTGCCGCCGCCCTCATTTGGAATCAGGATTGGTATGAGCAACCCCCCACAACAAATTGCAAACTGTGTAACAAAATTGACTGACTGACAGAACACTTGCCTTGGCTCCTTATTTCTCCTTCTTCACTTCGTTTTTGAACTCGTCTACGCTATTTTGGGCCTCCTCTTTCAACTCCTCCGCATTCTTCTTAATTTCACCTTCGAACTCTTTAGCAGCCTGCAAAGGAACTCAAACAAGTCAGGATCTGGTGTGATCCTTCAATCCATCCAAAGCTGGAATTACGAACGATTTGCAAGAGAAGCACAATCATCCAGGGGAACTGGACACAGGAACAAAAGCAGTGCCACCTCGAAACAAAAGTAAACACAAAGTCAGGATAGTTCAGTCTCCTGCAATTGTTTTGAGTATTCAGTCTTATCGCAGAGAGCCCTCCAAAAGGACATTGAAGCACCTGAAATGGACTAGGCTACACACAGCAAGTTGAGAAGACACACAAGTCAGACGTGCCCATGATGCAAGCTGGCCTCAGACTACCGCAGAAAGGCTTTCATGACCTCCTGACCCAGTTGGTAGCACAGTGCAGAGGAACGCCTCAAAAACCAGTGTTGTCCAACACATTAAAGCACAAGCATGGATCGCTGTGGGGGCAATATGTCATTGCAGGTGCAAGGAGTTGCAGAATGCCTTTGCAAGTGCTTCTCATAGCGCTCTGGCCCCAGGGACTTCAACATGACTGGTAGAGACTCTTGCCCTTTCAGAGCCAGCAACCAGTAGACCTGATGCCCAACCAATCGAAAGAGAATTGACCTGGGTTTGAAATGAATAGCACAACAAAATACTGCATTCTGCCCTCCCGATGCGGATAACCTTAATGCTTGATGTGCGCTGATTGTATAACATCAATCAAAGGAATAGACTGAGTGACAAAGCGCTGCTTGAGAGTGGGTCTGTCAAAGAAACAGGGTGGACAAAGCAAGAGCAGTGGCACAGTACTGGCATTAAAGGATAGACCCAACTTTGCAGGAGCCCAGGCGCTACGACGCCAGTAGGGAGTGGGTTATCTATCCTATCAATGGCTGCTTACTTTTCCCGTTGAGGGCCGGGCTCATGAAATGATAGACTTTGACAACCGTGATGCAGGCGCCATTTAATTGGCCGTAGGAGGTCATGTAACGCGAGCTGTACAGAATAAGCATGTAAAAACGAGAATGCGGGCATGGTGGCATTGCACAATTCAAAAATCCCGGTGAATTCGCATGAAATATGTGTTTTGGAACATGTAAGGACGCGCGTGAAAGACCGCACCTCGGCCACTCTGCCCACGACACAGCCTGCCTCCCCCAGCAGGCAGTACAGCGGCGCTCACCTGCTGGAAGCTCTTGACCGTTTTCCCCAGGCTCTTCCCCAACTCCGGTAATTGCTTGGGCCCAAACAGCACCGCCGCCACGCCCGCTATCACCACAAGCTCCGGGACCCCCAGCCCAAAGATGCCGCACACGGTGGGGCCTCTCCGGGGCCTGTCCTGCATGCCAGAGCCTCTCCTGCCTTCTCTCAGCAGCACGTGGCGGCGCTCGCCCAGCCTGCTGCTACTGCATACTGTCCCAGCACTCGGTCCACGGCCAAAAGTAGCGGGGCGAGAACGGGGCGTTGACTGCCACGGCCTTTCTAAAGCACCGCACTGGCTCAATGCCAAGCTACCAAGGGCGCCACTCGTTAAAAGTGTGCAAGACGCCATTGTTTACAAGAACGCTGTCTTACGCCCTTAAAATTGGTAGACTTGGTTTTCACACTTTGCAGAACAGACCGACACACTTGTCAGTGTCACATGAGCCTTGATTCTCCTCGAAGAAGTTGGTTCGAACTTCGAGGAGGTGCACAGGCTGCCAGCGCCTGCCACGGCAGTATGTTGACACTAGGTACAAGGCCAGGGTAGACAGGTCGCACTGGTCATAGTTGTGTCAAGACACCTTGGAGTGTCTCGTGTGCAGTTGCCAGTCAGTGTCACAGTGCTTTCGTGTGAGGATGTTCAAAACCCCAAACGCTTCCACGCACTGTCAGTGACATCACTGTCATCAGTGTCGCTGGCAGACGGTGGTCATTCTGCACCGCACGGTGGTGGCAGGGGGCTGGGAAGCACTCAATTCCTGTCTGGGTGGGGGACCTTGGAGCTGCTGCTGCTGCCCGGCTGACGCATTGCCAGCTAAAACGAGGTGTGTGGCCGCCATGGAAGACTCTTCGCAAGGTGCTGCTCCCAACAATGGTGCGAGCAGGCTCCATGAAGGGGAACCGCCTGCTGCCCTAGAAGACATGAGCCCAACTTTCAAGAGCCCCCCTGCCGTGTGCAGTAAGCTACTGGTGCAGTGCTACGAGTGCCGCAAGTGGCGGGCCGTGCCCACTGCAGAGCTGTACGAGGAGGTGCGCGAGAAGCTGACCCCAGAGACGCCCTGGCGCTGCGAACAGGCACGCGCCTGGCGAGCAGATGCATCGTGCGACATGCCTCCAGAGTGGGAACCAGGCGGGAATTTGAGATGGGCATACGACAAGCCGGGGCTCCCAAAAACTCCCCAAGGATGGAAAAGAAAAGTGGTGGGTTGAGGATAATGCGGAAATGGTCTTATCATTTCTCAACTTCTATTCCTTGGGACTTCCTAGGAAATGCTAGGCAATGCCATGCTTCTTCTTCTTGCTGCTGATCTACAGGGACGGTCCACTCATGCCTTCTCCTGTATGATTCATATTACATCTTCAAACATGATTCCATTGTCAGCCACAGACATACCCACCTGCGTGTGATTCTTAATCCTGGTTGGAGAAGGACAAGTGCATTCGGATAAATATTTTGATGGAAGCTTTGGTAAAATGCAGGTACTGAGGGGGGAAAAGGAGGATGGCAGCCACAAAGGTTTTGCAGATGTGTAAGTGGGCAGATCCTTCCCTGATTATATCACCATGATTCATGACAAGACGCTTAGAGAGATTGAGGTGACTTCGCTTAGGGTTTTTCTTGTTTGTGCAGCTTTCTAGTTTGTTGCTGCATCTACTATCCTATTAAAAGCAAGCTAGAGTAAGAGATCTGCTATTGATTTGGGAATCTCCTGCTAACACTTTTTCATTTATTTATGTTTCATTTATTTGTGATACAGGTACTACTATACTCCAGAAAACACCTGCATTCGCTCACTTCAGCAGCTGGAAAGGTGAAGAACTGCAAATTCTGGTTAATGCTTGATATAGTAGAAACTGAGGTCCCTTTCATCCCTGTAAATCCAGCTTTCCCTGTGGACTGTAGTCTCTCTTTCTTACTCTGGGGTCTGCCTTTTAAGGCTCAAAGACAGAGAGCTTTTCTTGGCATATTGCTACATCTTATTTGCAAGTACTTTGCCTAGTGCCCCTGCCCATGAACGTTCTTTCAATAATTCTGTACCCAAGTGGCACTCTACTTCGCTCAAGTAAGCTGATCTCAACTTGTACATGGAATCTTGATCAGATTGCGTCACTTCTTTCTCTTCATAGGTACCTGTCGGAGCATCCAGAGCAGAACCTGTCGGTTGCTGCCTTCTCCTTTGCCCGCCCTTCCCCTACCCTGACTTCAGGAGCTGATAAAAAGATGAAACAGACAGCACATGCACCCAAGGCTGCAACAAAGCGACAAAGCCCAACGGCGTCATCCCCTTATACTCAACCGCTACAACCCCCCTTAAAGCAAGCGCACACGGCAACAACTGATGTAGCATCATCTGCGGCCCCAGAAGCTACGCCTTCTTTAGTGGACACGGCCACAGAAGAGAGCACACCAGCAAGCAATGCTGGGGGCTAGATAGCAGATTCCTCTAGCTAGGGCCGGGAGGAAGTGAAGAAAAGTCCTGTCCCTTGCGGGGGCAACCGGAAGCTGTTGAGTGGTGCTCAGACCCCACCTTCCGGGTTGGGCTAGTTGGTGTATGCTGACCTGCTTATGTGCTGACGGCGCCCTGGTTGGGCACTCAAACATAGCAAGATTGCTTTTAAAATCAGACCCGAATCCTACTGTCCCTAACCTTGGCTATACGAACATGCGATTATGGTACATACAGAGTGCAATTTATAAAAGTAGCGGAGCTTTTGAGATTCTGCCCAGCCTGTCATCTTTTTCTGAATGGTTATTGCTGTATTGTTCCAGAAGCTAGAACGCCAGTTTAAGTGAACCGCACATCTACGAGTGCTTGTACTGCTTGTGCATGCTGCCCCAAATGTCCACAAATATTGGATGGTTCCCTTTGGTAAGTTGTGTGTTGAAACTTGAAGCCGCATTTCTGTTTGCCACTTCCTCTCTAGTATCGCTCACAACCTTGCTAACGCATTTCTGACGTGATTCCCAGCGATCGCTTTTGAGAGAAAGTTTGTGCCTGAGCATCTCAAGGCAGATGCGCTGAACACGATCCCTCTATGATTGATTATTGATTCATAGTCCGTTCGGGGCCACGTTAGGCCTAGTGGACTGCATGGTCTCGCCTACTCTATCCAATGTTTCTTTTCTCCGCTGCATACTCAAATGGATAAAATTGGCTATGGCTACCTGCTCTGGTCCATTTAAGAAGCACTTTAACTCCTTCTTGCCATCTAAAGGGAAGATCATACAAAAGTCTAGCCGTATATCGTTGTATGCTGGACACTCAAGGAGGTAAGGATGCGTCACCCGTAACACATGCAACCTACAATCCACATGTCAATAGAGGTACTTGTGCAGCACCATTTTGCGATTCTATCACATCTTAGATGGGCCACGTTATATGTAGACTCATATATGCTATAGCTCAATGAGGGTGAGCGAAGTTTGTACGACTCATAAAATGGATCAGAGAGTTGTCTGGCTGTATCGTCTCTGTGAATAGATTATGTGCCTATGTGCAACAGATGGTGACCGATACAGCCGTGCATTGATGTGTGGTCCTTTCAGATTTTGATGTGCCATAACATGCAAACCTCAAAGCTCCGTTCTGTGAGGCGGGAGGCACCGGCACACCGTCCAATGTCGCATGAGAAGCCAAAACGCGGATGACATGTATTCGACGTGATATGTACCTCAAGCAAGATAATACACGTAGCACAGCTACGGTAGCCTATCTGTCCTATCCCAAGGCGCCGGGGTACGTAAGGAATGTACCTATGCGGCTGGCGCAATGACGCGAGTCTAGCATGAATCATGAGTGACTACCTACCTAGGATAGCTAATACCTATTAGGTTACAAGTGAGCTGAAGCCTGAGCAGTGAGAATGCCGGCCCTTCCCAATGCCCAGTTGCGGCCCGCGGGGCCCGGGCCAAAATTGGTATTTCTCGATCTAGTGAACAGCAAGCCCAGTGAACAGTACTAGCATCTTGGGGTTACTAAAAACCCTAATCTAAAAGATCACCCGCTCCGCACCCGTACCCACCCTAACCCCCTAGCTAACCCTACCCGTCCCCGTTACTGTTCACTGGCTGTTAGCCTGTTACTGTTCACTCCATCGATCGGAATCCAAAATTGGCGCGGGTACAAGATCTCCAACCGTCCGATGGTAGCAAAGTGGCTAATCGAACGGTTGTATGTATAAAAGATCGAAACAAAATCAAGTCTGAAGTCAGTGTACTGTGTGAGTCCTGAGTCCTGACGGAGCGTGCAATAAGCATTAGGTAGTTACTAGTAATTGCTCCTTTACCGTCGCGCTTTGGGAATGAATAAATTGCAGAAAAATATTGTATTATGTCGCACTTTCGATGTATAGCTTAATAGGTATATAAGAGCTCTGCTTAACCCAAGACCCCCAAATACCGTATAGATTACCGTATGAATAAACCGTAAGTTACCATAATACCCAGCTGGCAGCTGCTCCCAGCAGGTAGCTTGATTGTTGGGTTAATCTCCAAGTGTCAGTTGAAACTTGGGAGCTTAAATGCTTGATATGTTTGCTCTTATCGTACCGTATTAAGAAATAAATCGGGCCGTCATTTTACAGCGTCGCCAGATCGAGGTTCAAGTTTGGAACATGTGCAGGTATAGCCACGTTGACTCCGATTAGGTAGATCGAGCCGTCTGAATGTGGCCACGACTGCAACTTGGGCAAATAGGTAGATCGGATCTCAGACTCAGAGTCAAGACTGACTCTCCAGACCAGCCAGGGACCAGAGCATCATCATGTGGAATTGTCCCATTACCTGGAGCAGCTGTCTTCGCTGGTCCTTGTTACAATCCTAGAGTTTGGGTTTTCTTAGGTCCCAAGGCGCATCCTTGACTTGTCAAAAGGTTATGTCCCTTACCAGCAGTATTGAAACACTGCATCAAGAGAGCGCTGGGTGGGCATTGGTGCTTAGTGTTAGGTAGCAGCAGATTTGCTTGGAGTCGTTTGTGGGATTGCCACGGATGTTTTTAGGAACCGGCCCTCAGATTGAAAAGCTGGTGGCAACGGAAACGTGCGAACAGCAGGGCCTCTTGGTTGCAGCCCAGGGTCTTTAGAAGGGTCAACAGAGTTTGAGCATCTAAGTAAACCTTCGTCAATCCAGTGTCGATCAACATAGCGACCTTGTAGAACTGGCGACCGCATCGAGCCTAGCGCACCATGGGCTTGGGGCGTGGGATTTTGAGGCAGCTGATAAAGGTCAGACACTTGGGATAGACACAGCAGGCAGCCTCATGGAGATAACGGAAGGTTCTTTGGGGTGCAATGTGCCCACCATCTCTGGGCTCGGTTCAGCGCACCGGGGAGCTCTAGTGAAGATTGAGAATGATGGGACAGAGTTGGAGCATGCGTTTGAGGCTCGCCACCCTCTTGCTCTGTCTGTCGGGCAGGGGGCGACCACAACGGGGGGAGGGCACTTTTCTGGGGAGCTAGAGAAAGACTTCTTGTGCCCCATATGTATGCAGACCATCCGCGATGCTTTTCTCACCGCCTGCGGGCACAGTTTCTGCTACAGCTGCATCAACACACACCTGCAGAACAGGCAGAACTGCCCGTGCTGCTCGCAGTACCTCACTGTGGAACAGCTCTTCCCCAACTTCCTTCTCAACAAGGTAAGAGCGCCATCCCCGGTGGTCTGCCCACACGTTTTTTCTTACTAAGGTCAAACAGCGGCCATTATTGGACTGTCCCTTCCTTAGAGTGGGTCCGTGCGATCGACTTACCTAAGACTTGCTCGATCAACTTTTGCATTTCAAGCTCGTCCTGCGTCAGGGGCTGCGCAGGGGCTACCATTCTGGGGATATGCCGCGCGATCGGCAGACGCGTGGCAGTGACTGCCACAGAGTTGTTGCCAAGTCCTTGCTGCACGGTCAAACCTTAGTCGGATGGTCAGCATTTTAAATTGTGCCTCTAAAGGTTCATGCTTCTTACAAGGGTGCTTTGTGCAGCTGAATGAGAGTTTTTGTCTTGTCACTCTGTGTAACACCATGTTCTCTCTGCTTGCGTGCAGTTGTTGCAGAAGGCGAGCACGCAGCACTTTGTGACCAAGTCCTCCCCCACTGAGCATCTCCGGCTAGCCCTGCAACAGGTAAGGCTGTGATGGAGGAGCGGCCCAGGGGTTTACCAGGCGGACTCGTGGGTTACCTGGATGACCCCCAAGGTTGGCAAGGGAGGCTCTCGCCAGATCTGCGGCGAAGTAGGAAAGGCAGAAAGAGCTGGCAATTGTGGCACAGGTTCCGCGGATGGTCCTCGGAAGCATGTCTGACCCTTTTGTTATGTTGCGCTTGGTTGACAGGGCACGGAGGTCTCGCTCAAGGAGCTGGACAGCCTGATCAAGATGCTGGCGGAGAAGAAGCAGCACGTGCAGCAGGAGGAGGCGGAGGTGAACATGGAGATCCTAATGGACTTTCTGGAGAAGTCGCGCCGCCAGAAGCAGGAGCAGCTAGATGAGGTGCGCCACGGAGGCCTCAGTCAGCATGCGATTATGGCCAAAGTGCCTGCTTGGAGCCTAGCCTGGCCCCTTGTGGCCTCTCTTGCGAAGCTTGGAGCTCAAACTGAACGGATTCAGTTTTGCCAGTCAATTACACGTGGGCAGGCTATTAATTTGACATCTCGGTGGATTCGTTGTGCAGCTACAAGCTGATTTGGACCTTCTTCAAGAGGACCTCTCGGTCATTGAATTGCGGAAGGAGTCTCTTGCTGGTACAAGGGAAAGGATCGGTTTGAGGAAGGATGCCTCGACCTGGGATGGCCAGAGCAAGGGTGGGGAAGTGGGTTTGCCAGTGACGGGGATGATAGCCGCCACGGCTGCAAAGAAGCGGAGAGTGTTCATGCAGGTGAGAAGTGTGCACCCATACCCCTTTGTCCTTCTTGCTCGTCGCCTGCCGCCACAGAAGGACACAGGACTTGAGAATAGAAAGGGTCACAACTCCTGCTTTCTCAGGGCAAGCCAGCAGTCCCAGTGGCGTCAAGATCTGGTGGACAGAGCAGATAATATCTCTGTTGGCATTGGGCCTCAACTTACTTGGAATCTGCCAATGGTTAGGACTGGGCGATTTCCTTGGCAGAGAGCCGTACTTTTTTCGAAGTGTGGGGCGCAGTAACGGGCAACAGCAAAAGATAGACCTGAAAAGGTGGGTATTGTGCAGGAAAAGTAAGGATGTTCCATCCTGAGGTGCTTTTGCCATGGCTGGCTTGATGTGTGCAAATCTGCACATTACGGCGGTGTATGTACGAGCAAGGCTGCCCTGTCCGCGCCCCACTCATCTGCCTTGCTTGTTTGCAGTTTGACGACCTTCAGGCGGTCTACTTGAACCAGCGGCGCAAGAGCGCACGCGTGCAAGAGGCTGAGAAGGAGGCGGTGCCTGGCCCTGGGGAGCCTGCCGCTGCGCCAGCAGGGCGGGCCAGGGACAAGCACGGGCGGGCCACCGGCTTGGACCAGTTCTCGCACATCCTGTCTGCCTACACCAAATACAGGTCAGTACCACACCCACAGCGAACCTTTGTCTCTGGCTCAACTCCTGCGAGGGCACTTCTTGGATCGTCCTTCCTGTATACTGTCTGGTGCATATGTGATCGTTCCGTTCCTGTTGGTATTCACCTGGCGAGTAGCCTGACTGCCGGGTTTCTTCCCTGCAGTCAACTCCGGGTCGTGGCTGAGTTGCGGCACGGCGACTTGTTCCACTCATCCAACATCGTCTCCAGGTGGGAAGTGCTCCTGTTGCTTCCATCAGCTGCCTATATTTGTCGCGCTCTGCCTTCATCGCCTTTTGATCTCTGCCTTCATCTGCCTTTTGATCTCTGCCTTCATCTGCCTTTTAATCGTGCCTGCACAATGTAGAGGTCAGCTGTTGATACACGCGGCTGTGTGTTGAGAGGCAACCTTCTGCTCTATGCCGTTAAAGATTGAGCGTACAGTTCTCCGTGGTTCAAGAACCCATGATTTCGTTTTGTGGGCTCTGGCGAGCAAGAGTTTGATGTGCTGCTTGCTGATTGGTTGACCGTGTGCCGCAGCATCGAGTTTGACCGGGACAACGAGTTGTTTGCGACGGCTGGCGTGTCGCGGCGCATCAAGGTTTTTGAGTTCACGACGGTGGTGAACGAGATGGCGGACGTGCACTGCCCCGTGGTGGAGATGTCGACGCGCTCCAAGCTGAGCTGCCTGAGCTGGAACAAGTACATCAAGGCGCACATCGCCAGCAGCGACTACGAGGGCATCGTCACCGTGTGGGACATCAACACGTGCCAGTCCGTGATGGAGTACGAGGAGCACGAGAAGCGCGCCTGGAGCGTGGACTTCAGCCGCACGGAGCCGACGCAGCTGGTGTCGGGAAGCGACGACGGGAAGGTCAAGGTGTGGAGCACGCGCGAGGAGAACAGCGTGCTCAACATCGACATGAAGGCCAATATTTGCTGCGTCAAGTACAACCCGGGGTCCAGCAACTTCGTGGCGGTGAGGCCCAGAACACCCGACATCGGGAAGAGCAAGTGTTTGCTCGTGTGGAACCCAAACACGCTGGACCCGTTTCCGCTAGACTGAGCGTGTCAACCTACCTGAGCAGATTCAGACGGCGTTTCCTGTTCAGAAGCATGAGAGAGGCTTGCACTTCACTTCTGCTTCAGCGCTTCCAGCCTCAGAACGGGGAGTTGGCCTGAGTTGCCAGCTTCAAACTGGAGAGTCGGTTTTTGGGCCGTTGAAATTGTTATATCTTGGGGAACCTGAGTCGTCTCAACTTTGATGCAGGTGGGCTCGGCCGACCACCACATCCACTACTTCGATCTTCGCAAGCCGCAGGAGCCGCTGTTTGTGTTTATGGGTCATAAGAAGGCGGTGTCTTATGTCAAGTTCATCAATGAGACTGAGCTCGCCTCAGCGTCCACCGACAGCACGCTGCGGCTATGGGACGTGAAAGAGAACTGCTTGGTGAGCTAGCCCGGCCGGTCCTAGTAGTCAGAGCGGGAGATTTCAGGGGCAAATCGTTGAGCCGCTTAGTCTGCTGGGTTGGGATTCATCGAAGGTGGATAGGGGGGGTGGTATGGACCAACGGAAGATCGAGATCGTTCATCTTGAACACCGAAAAGCTCTTTTTCGGAGATCTTCTTTGTTTGCGGGACCGCACGTGCGCTCCCCGTAATGAATATTAGCCTTCGTTTAGCTGCTTGCGTTGAAGCCTTGGACGCCTTGAATCGGTTGTGAGGCAATCTCAGTCTCAGAACAGTTTTCCCAATCTCGTGCCCTCTCAGTGCATGACAGAAACGTTCTGCTTCATTTCCAGATGCGAACATTGAGGGGCCACACCAACGAGAAGAACTTTGTGGGTCTATCCGTCAACAAGGATTACGTCACCTGCGGCAGTGAGACAAACGAGATTTATGTGTATTATAAGGTAAGGGCCCTTCTTCTGACCGCTTCAAGGAGACATTGACACCTGACAGCCTTTTTGAGCAAGGCACACATGATCTTCCATCTCTTGCACGCAGTAGCAGATTGTATGTAGTAAGCACAACTTTTTGCAGCAAAACGTGAGCGAAGTCGTCGTTGAGCATGCTGTTCTTGAGCGACATTTTTGGCTTTCCGTGCAGGCTATGTCGAAAGCCGCTGCAGTTCACAAGTTTGGCTGCACAGATCCTGTTACAGGGGAAGAAAGCGAAGATGACGCTGGACACTTTATCAGTGCTGTATGTTGGAAGGAAGACAGCTCTACAATGCTAGCCGCAAATAGTCAGGGAACAATAAAAGCCCTAGTATTGTCCCCTTGAAGGAGAGGGGCTCGTTGTAGGTAAAGTTCTAGGATGCCCAGCCCGCGTTCCCTTGGTTTTCAAACTCTCGAAAGAGGCCCGGTCGCCTTCTTCGATGCAGGGGTAAAATAGAGCTTCAACAACATGTTGAACTGATTGATTAGTGTCAGACTTTCCCTAGGTGCAATTGTTCTAGGTCTTGCAATACACGATACATTGTCATTGACATTGATAAACTAGAAATGAGATATCAACGGTAGTGCTAGATGTATGTTGCGAATCGAGAATGTTGTCAAGCATATGCATGCACCCTTCGAGCAAATAAGACCTCTTTTTACTTCCGAAGTTTGTTATATCTGCACATGAGATTGAAGCATTATCGACTTAGGTCCGATGGTAACTTCCAATTTATTATCGCCCAATTAGCCGCCATGGCTGTGGAGCATGGTCTCCGGCGCGGCCGGGAATTTGTTTTTGACTTTGCAACTTCCTACGGCTACGAGTCATGTCCAGCAACTTGCTAATGCTACGAGTCATGTCCAGCAAGATATGCAAACCCTAATGCTACATGGCGGCTAACAAGCAATTCAACTAGCATGCATGGTGTGCCACTCGATCATGGCGTTGTGCAAAGCAAATAAATGCTTGTATGCAACGGGGCTCGAATGCGACTATGAGACTACCTCCGAGTTGACCCGATACATCTGAGTGCTCCAACTAGGTGACTACTCCTTGTCCTTGCCCTTGCCGAAGCGGTTGTAGATAAGGTCGGTAATGGCGTTAGACTCCTCGCTGCTAAGGCTGACCTCGGTAGCCGCCGCCAACTCCCCCGCCGCGGCTTCCGCAAGTGCCCGGGTGTGCTCCAGTGCATTGTCCACTAGCTCCGTCGCCGAAAGAAGCTAGGTGGCTTGGCAACAAGATTGGACACTTGCTGAAGGTTGAATAATTCCTCGCAATGTACATCAAGTTGGGGCTTATATCAATGTTGGAGCAATGGAGGAGGCCTGGCATTCTGGCATGGAGCAATGGAGGAGGGTGGGAGGAGGCATGGAGACAGTACCTAGGCTAGTATACGTAGAGACAGCGTTAAGGCTACGGTACCTACCGGTAGATACCTTCAGGCTCCCGCTATCATATACCTGGGTACCAGGTGGTACCAGGCTTGCATATGGCATTGCACGGTAGATGATCGATTTGTTCTGCATGAGGTCGAGATCCTGAAGGCTGAATCTGAGCAGCATCCTGTCCAAAGTCCTCAAACTTCTAGATCCCTTTTCGGATCAACATCACCGTTCGCCTGATACCGGTAACTGAGCAGCATGGCGTTCCTGAAGCAGATTCTGCCCGCTTTGCGCCAGGCGGTTCCTCCGCTGCAGCGCTCTATGTCATCTGCGGCTGACCAGAAGAGGAAGGTGGCAATCCTTGGAGCAGGAGGCGGCATTGGGCAACCCTTAGGTAACTTTTCTGTTTCGTTCTGATGGTTATTTTGGATCCAAGGGGGTTGGTGGGAGGGGCTATGCATTGGTGCAGACTTTGTGCGGGCCATAGTGAATTGCCATGTTGGAAGGGATGGAGAGCCAAAGTGTCTTATACGGTGTTGATCATTGGTGTGTGGCTATTGGTTTGGTAAAGGCTGAATGATGCCTCTGCACACCTCTCCTTGTCCAGAGTGACACGCGCAGCATCAGCAGATTCTGATTAAAATTCTACCATTTGACCTTGTGCAGGGCTGCTCATGAAGTTGAATCCTGCTGTTGGCAAATTGGCGCTGTACGATGTTGCGGGGACTGCGGGGGTAGCTGCTGACATCAGCCACATTAACACCACTGCAGAGGTATCCGCTGATTTAAATAGCTTCAATTGTCACTTGACCTTTCTGCACCACCGTTTGCTCTATGCAGTTCAGTCCATGCAGATGATGTTAATCAGACTTCTGCAATCCAATCCCTGCAGCAGCTTCTTCTGGATGCCCTGGCATAGAGGCACTGTCTGCTGGTCACATGTATCTCCTTGCGATGACCACCACCATTGCTTGCGCAGACCACCGGCCACACTGGGCCTGAGGAGCTGGAGGCCGCCCTGACTGGTGCGGATGTGATCATCATCCCGGCGGGCGTGCCGCGCAAGCCCGGCATGACGCGTGACGACCTGTTCAACATCAATGCGGGAATTGTCAAGACCCTGGCCGAGGCAATTGCCAAGTACAGCCCCTCTGCCATGGTGACGGTCATCAGCAACCCGGTCAATTCCACAGTTCCCATTGCTGCGGAGACGTTCAAGAAGGCCGGCACCTTCGATCCCAAGCGACTGTTTGGCGTGACCACTTTGGACGTTGTGCGGGCAAGGACGTTCCTGGCAGCAAAGAAGGGCTTGGATGTGCAATGTGAGTGGAATTGCTACTAGGGATCGCATGTGAGAACGGAGTGCGTGCGCCTCTTGCCCTGCAAGTAGGATCCTGAAGAGAATGCAAAATTGGTCAATGTATTCTGAAGCCTTTCCTTGGGAGCCACAGACTTAATTGTGGCTTTGCTTGTGCAGCGGTTGATGTCCCTGTGGTTGGTGGCCATGCTGGGGTCACCATCTTGCCCCTCTTCTCACAGGTGAGCACCAGCCACAGAGACCAGTCTACCCGCGCCCTGCCTCGGCTCTGAACATTCTGAGGACCTGCTTCTTGACGGCCTCTGCGCCACGCTTGTTTGGTCGTATATGGTGTGCATGTGTGACAGGCTGTTCACCCGGGGGGCTGATGGTTTTGTCTGCCTGTCGTGCAGGCTACCCCGAGCGTCACTCTGACTGATGAGGAGCTGGAGGCCCTGACGAAGCGGACCCAGGATGGTGGCACGGAGGTCGTGCAGGCCAAGGCGGGCAAGGGCTCGGCAACGTTGTCAATGGCGTGAGTGGCGGGAGGGCACACGCACACCGGTTCCTCAAAATGTTGGGCAACCTTGGTGGAGCTGGACTCGTCTTGATTGCTGAATGGGCAGAGCATGGGCAGCTGAGGACGACGAGTGGCTCTGGGCTAAGGGGCCCCTCCTCCTGTGCAGCTATGCTGGCGCCTTGTTCGCTGACGCCGTCCTGAAGGGCCTCAATGGCGCCACCGACCAAGTGCAGTGTGCGTACGTGGAGTCCAGCGTGGTCCCAGGCCTGCAGTACTTCTCTTCAAAGGTGGGCCACTGCCATGTGCTTTGGGGGGGGGTTGCACCGTCAATATGCACCTGGAAAAGCACATTCCCTAGCATGTCAGCAGGAGGCATCGCACTGTCTGCACAAACCTTAGAGTCCGTTGTCCCAGGCTTTCATCGTATGGGCACAATGCATTCCAGCGTCTTTTGCCTTTTCTGCGTGGCGTAAGGGGCTTCCAGTGGGTGTTGGAGGGGGGAATGTATCCAGAACTCCAACAGATCGAGAGCTTGTTCCATCTTTCTTTGACCTTCCGGAATAAGGAGCGGAGTTATCTCCAAGAGCCTGGAAAGTTCAGTGCCAGCATGGGTTTTGAGTCATCTGGACCAACTCCTTTCAGAAGGAGCCGGTCTCTGGTGTAGACGGGAGCCACCAGTCCGTTGTCCCATCCTTGAGTTGTACCTCTGTGGGGTGTCTCTCTGTGCAGGTGCGGCTGGGCCCGTCTGGTGCAGAGGAGGTTATGGGCCTGGGCACGCTCAGTGCATATGAGCAGAAGGGGCTGGAGGCTTTGAAGGCCGAGCTCAAGGCTAGCATCGACAAGGGAGTCAGCTTTGCAAATCAGTAGACGGGTCAAACCAAAGATGGAGGCAATAAGAAGATTATGGTCGGGTCTGATGTGGTCCAGACATCGGAAGCTTTGCAGTGATTTTGCAGGTTCGTAACGCATGCATTGGAAATGGAAGTATTGAAAAGCTCTTGAGTCCTGCTTCTGCATCTGATGATTGGATTGTCCTGAACCTCGGGACTACTTGTTCGACCATCTCGATCAGGAGTGGATTCTCGTTCAAATCAACTGGAGTTCCTCTAACATGTTCACGGCCTTGAGGACACAGACGGTTCTCGTCGTGCACGACTCCAAATCTTTACAATCATGCAACAAGATGCCATGGATTACTTATGTCATACTGGCTTGATAAGAGACGAGTCAACTTTCAGGTTGCAGCCTGGCACTGCAGTCAGTTGGCGGTTGAAATTGGGGGCCAGCGATATTGAATCCTCCAAATCAACTAGACCGCACCGTGAAAGTATGCTAACACTCTGTAAGTTCCTTCGCCCTTGTTAACAGTTTGTCAGTCTTAACGCATGTATGCGGGCTGCGTGGCACACATGATCGCTGGGTATGCAAGAGCTGTTGACATTCTTTTTATACAAGACATGATGTTCTTTCAAATTTGCATGTTGCATAATACCCCACCAACTGCCACATGTTTCAGTGTTTCAACCACCACCCGGCGAGCATATGAACCGGCAAGCTTGCTAGAAAGCCGTGGTAGTACGTTTCCGTTGTGCAAAATGGCCGGTCATTTGTATCAAGAGTAACAATATACTGTGAGCGTTCTGGAGAGCGCATATAACGTTCGTAAGCAACGGACTCAAATGAAAATACGCTACTCGGGCGTAAGCATTGATGCGCCGACCTCGGTAGCCGCCGCTAAGGCTCCCCCGCCGCAGCTTCCGCAATTGCATGACTGTGCTCCAATGCGTTCTCCACTAGATCTGGCCCCGATCCCGCTGGGCGGTTTGTTGTCGCCTTCGGGTCAGGCTTGCAGCGCTCGATGATGATGCCCGTCTCAAGAAGGGTTTTCTTGAGGGGACGGTATTCGGCCCAAGCATTGTCAACATCTGCCCGCGAGCCGAAGCAGGCGCCCCACATGCGCCTCGGCTGGCCCTGTTTGGTGAAGGGGCGACCTTGGAGTTAATGGTGCGGCGCTCGAAGCCCGCACCGAAGTGTGGTTTCTGGACGTCCCAAGTGAAATCAATGAGGCACTTGTCTGGGCTGATCCCTTTGACAATCAGGATATGGTCGCTGGGGAACTCCTTCTTCTTAGGGCCCCCCGTAGTGAGGCCCGCGGACGTGGTTGCATTACCAGGGGCCGGGCATGATTTGTGTTTGTCTCCGGCCGGGGGGCCGCTTTATCCCCGTTAGCGGCGCAGGTGTAGCTACACCTGCGGGGGCTACACCCTTAGGCCCTTGAACCAGCGGGGGCAGGGTCGGGCTGGGCGACGCGCGGAGGTGGGGCGTCAGCCCGGGCGGCCGTTCCACCACTGCAGCAGGCCCGTATGGATGCACTAAACAGTTGGCAAATATATTCCAACTTTTTGGAGTGACTCCCTGATACGTTCGAGATCATTCAGGTGACGGAATGTACAGGTCCCGCACTTATCATGAAGCTGGAGAATGTATATGTTCGTACCACGTATGTCATGTATGTGCATGACATAGGTGCATTGCACATGCGACACTACACCGTACTACGGAACTCTTTAAAGAGAATGGCCACCTTACTCGGGTTTCATGCCAGATTAAGTGCCGGGTCATCTACCTAACCAGCTCCGACTTTTGCCCAGGTACCGTATCACACTGAAGTGGGGTCAAATGCTGTGCTCAAATTCACACTTCTTTCTGGGGTTTTAGATTGAACCTAAGTTTGTGGGTTAGGGGAGACCGGCCGACAAGAGTTAGGTTACTTAGGTATGATTCAATGCATACCGTAGTCGCTCAGTGCGGCGGACTCCACTGACATATATGATATATCTCTTCCGTTGGCTTGGAAGCTGGACGGTGTCGATTTTATTCTATTTCAATTTAGGGTGCGGTGCGATTTACATCAGGTAACTTCGTGGTCAACGAAGTCAATGGTAAAGGATTTCGACCAATCAGAGAACGAATAAAATGTGTCATTACCGGGCGTACTCGAGATGATAATAAGGTGTCAAAACAGCTGGACATGGCGGGTCTGGTATGCTTGTTTTGCGGCATCGCATAATTAATGGCTTTGACATGGCCGGAGCTTTGGGCATGATGGCGCCATCCGATACACACTTCTTCGGCACAATGACATTCCTTCTTTCATAACGATGAATGATTACTATTCTTCGTTCTTCAAACCAAAAAGATGATGCTTAAATTTTGGAGCATTCCGACCGACTGCAAAGCGATGCTCGTAAAGGACAGTCAGGTCACAGCTGCACATGGGCAGAGCCTCCTTGTCATTGGATGCCGCCCTTCACATGACAATGTCTCCTCGTTTTCGTTCACCAGGCAAGCTCCCGGTCTCTGCAAGAAACGAAATAAAAGCCAAGGCTCAAATCAAGTCGAGAACTGAAAGTTTTTAAATCATGACACAATCCTTGAGAATAGGCTACACTCCATCCAACTATAATCTTTTCCTTTCACGTTGTTTCTCAAGATATGAACCTTCCCTAAGGGCCTATAGAATCCGTCGAAGCCCTGGGTATGCAGGCAACGAAGGGGAGGCTGCCCTTGCTGCCACCTCAACGCGTCCGCTCACCTGATGCGGAGGGGCATCGTCGACCACCTCCGCGGGCTGGTCGGCCCCGGCACTAACGGAGCAGCCGCCATCGCATGTGAAGAACTGCTTCAGCCTGACACCAGGAATGAGACCCGCAATCACCAGTGGGACAACTGTGGAATCTTCAAAAACTAGAAGAAAGTTGTCAACTCTCCAAAGAGACTCCAGCCTTATCTACCACGCTCTGAGCCCCTATCGTCTTCTTTAACCATCCAAGTTGCCATCTGAACCCAAACACGATAGGCATCATTCTGCCAGCGGGCTGGATGGTCCCACCAGATCTGGCGAGAGTCCGCACATGACCCGCAGCAACCGTGGCGTGCTTACAACGCTGCGGTGCGCCTCGGTCCCAGCGTACATGTTGTTTGACGGCACACCGGGCGGACATCATCTCGGGGTGGAAAGGCGCGCGGATCAGTTCTCTCACCAGTCGCAGGTATTGATGGTGCGCAGCGCTGCCGCAAGACACTGCATGCTCCGCCCCGCGCACGTCTCCTCGCACGACTGTCCTGGCCTGCCCAACGCATCGACACGAGCAGCGTCAGCAAACTTGCACTGGGCGGGTGGCATCAGGAGGAACCAGGTTGAGAAGAGTTTCAAAAGGGGCAGACGCCAGGAGTTGGGCGTTGCCCATACCCCATCCTGATTGTTTGACAGCACAGAAGGATCTTGGTGTCCAACGCAATGAGGAACTTAAGACCTCCTCTCATTCTTGCCCTGCAAACGATGAGACAATCAGCCAACGTCCTAGAACAAGTTAGCAGGGCAAATGGCCGAACTGTTGAGAGGCTGCAGGGTGAGGAGCGCTCACTCGGAGACCTCCCCTTTGAAGTGCTCCCCGTCCACGCTACTGGCGTTCTCCCCCCCTCCGGCCAGGCTGTAGCAGTGGTGCAGGTCGCTCTTGTACGCATTCTCGTGCACCACGCTGTCAGAGTTGGAGCGGCACCGGCTCTGGCACAGCGCAAACACAGTGTCGAACGGCTCTGCACACCGCAGAAGTGGGGGGGTCAGGGCGGCAGGGCCACGCCGGCAATGGTGGGCCCACCCTGGCGACATAAGCGTGCATCAGGAGGCTGCCGTCCTGCATGTGGCTTTTCTTGTTGTTCTGAAAGCAGCGAGGGGAACAGCTGAGCGCGTACAAGGCCATGCGCGGCCAGGCTGGGAGGCATTACAAGGAGAGAGAGGAGGGGAGGGAGTAGATAGCAGTCCAGCAGCAACATGTGGTACGCCTCCGGGTAATGCCCAGCTTCACATCAAGGTACAGCCCGCCTTACTTGCGCTCGGTTGGTGGGCGATGGGGGCAGACAAGGCGTCCTCTAGTGACGTCTGCACAGGACAGACCAGCCCGCGTTAGAAGGGGGGGCCACCAGCAGCACAGCGGCCCCTCCTGCCTGCCCACTCAGCTGATGCGCTGGTGCGCCCTCACTGGGGTGCCACAGGGATCCAGACCAGCGAGTCGTGTTGGACAGGGCTGACCTTGAGGGGGTCCATGCAGCATGCGACGCAGTACTCGTACTGGCTGCAGCAGTGGCGGTCGGGGTCGCAGCTCCTGCAGCACAGACGGGCGCTCTCAGCACGGATCATCGTGGGGGTGCCACTGCGGCCAGCGGCCGCCACAATTCCTCAGCAATCGCAGGTGATAACTTTTTGATCTCAAGCGTAGCGCTGTCTGTCCTCTGGGGGGTCGTGCTTACGTGCAAGCAAAGCGGTCGCGCACGTTTTGCTCCATGCAGCAGCCAGAGGTGCCATTGAAGGACGCCCGGCTGCAGACAAAGCCTGTGAAAGAAACAAAAAGGTCGCTAAGGTGAGGGATTGACACATCTAACCACAAGGCTAAGTGTATCTCGCACAATGCTGTCCATCCGTGGAATGCATGTGATGTCAATCAGAGTCTTGAAGCCTCCAGCTTCTCCTCTCGAGACACAACATCAAGAGAGCCTGGCATGACCTCCTTTCCTGCAGCAGGGGATGCTGGCAGTGCATTGCGGGCGAGGCAGCTCACCTGTGTCGTCCACCACGAGGTGGCGCCCCTGCCGGCTGTGCTCACACCCAAGGACGCCGCCCGCAGCCACCGGCGGCAGGGGGAGGCGGGGCCTGGCAGGAGCGGAGGACAAGGCACATGAGGCAGATGGCAGAGGCCCATGCAGAAGGGAAAGGAGTACAACCTACAGGAGAATAGTGGCCCTTGACACCTGCATTCGAGGTGGCAGTCCAAACAGAACTTCAATTGCTAAATGTAGATTAGATTTGAAGCACTATCCCAAGTCTGCATTCATGCGAACTTGGGCTAGCATTTCTTCGACAAGCTCTTGTTGTCGTTGACCCTTTTTAAACCCTTCGCTTGGTTTAAGCATGCCACTTATTTACAACTGGCCCCATTCATTTAGCAGACCTAAGAAACTAAGCGAAGGGTTTAAAAAGGGTCAACGAGAACAAGAGCCAATGCCTTGCCATCTAGCTGTCTTGAGGATGCTAATGCAGAAGTCGTTGAGGATGTACCAACCTCCATGCCACTTGGTCCCCCTGCAGGTGTACCTCTGAGTGACCACCATCAACTGATGCAGGAGTCGGGTCTTCAATAAGAACATTCCTCCCCCCAATCGACTCTCGTGAGTATGAGCTATAGTCCACCGATGAAGCGACAAAGACAGGGAGCAGGGTGCACAGAAGCAGGGCCCTGGCAATTGGAAAAGAAGCGTCGCATGGAGGGCCCATTTCTGCCAACACGCCTGGCAGCCCCTCGTCAACTTCACTAGGTATTCACCACTTCGAAAGTTCTCTGATATCAGATATTGCCATTGGTACTATAGTAGTACAGGACCGTATGTCCTAGCTTCAAACCCTAATTTCTCACATGGGCGCCGCCGCGCGCTGTCCTAGCGACAAGCTGCACGACAACGACGGACTCGAAGTTCGACGTAGCGACACACGACTACGACCTAAAAGGCGCCGGTCCGACGGCCGCTCGCCGTCGGGGTAGCTCTCTCTTATTTGAACCGTAGTTGCTCCAGACTGGCACGAGCAGCCGGAGCTCGACGGCCGCAGTGACGGCGGGGAAACCAGAATTCTGTTGAAGCGCTGTGTCGATCAATGTGACAGTGAAGGACAGAGGACGTCAGCCGTATGGAAGTACCCCTACTAGTACTAGGGCCACAGGCCCACAGCCTGCAGTTTCAGTTTCATCTTCAGCCTCAGGTTCCATCGTCACTTGCTTCAGAATCATACAAAGTTTCTGCTTATAAGCGGTGAGCGATTGCACAAAGACGCCCAACGGAAGTCAGCATCTGCGATCCATTGCTCTGCTCAAAAAGTTCAGTCATGGGGAGGGGTCAGATGTCCGGCGGGGGTTCTTCACAATTGAGTTACCTTTTTGGAGACTCCAATTCGGAGCAGGCTCCGGCGACCACAAGTATCAACCCACGGGGAAGAGCCAAAGTTGCCCCGCCAACTCCTCACGACAAGGCTCCTGTGGGCGATGTGCACTCAAAGAGTCTGCCGGTGGACAGTGTGAAGGATGCGGCAAACACATATCCGGCCCCTGATGCGGCTTCCCTGCAAACGCTGGGCGGAGGCAACACCCAAAGCAAAACGAGCGTGAACAACTACCACAGGGCAGGTAGGATGCTGAAGGATCTGGCCATTGTAAGGATTTGTTTTATTACAGAACCCATATTTGGTTTGCAGAGGACGGACATCCTATATTTCCTCATGCTTGCAGATTGCCGCCTCTTAATTGGGTCCCCTATGAGTAAATTGCTTGCGGGTGCTTCTGCGAAGGATGCCCTAGACGACTTTCCCTGGAGTGGTTCAACTATAACATTGCCAGCAATCTGATCTTGAGATGCAAAAACGAAAGGGCACTTTAGGCTTAGCTTGCTTCCGTGCAATTCGAAGGCAGTCCCTGTATAAGCACCCGCAGATGTATACTCTCGATTAAGCTGGACACAGCAACTCATAAACATCAACACTGCTAACCCGCTCCTCTCTTTCCCCATTCAGATGGACAGAATGTGAACAACTTCCTCACCGACAGGCCAAGTAAGCCCCACCGTTTGGTAGACCCAATGCCATGCAAGAGTGTTTGACTTTGTCTCAAACCTTGGTATTGTTTGGTTCAATCTTGCATTTCAGAACTTTTCGCGCCTGGGTCCTTGCTCTATTCATACTTGTCGTGCCAATTCCTGAAATGCATTGTTTGATAATAAGTTGTGTAACTGGAGGTTGTATGCCTTTTCAGGTACAAGGGTCGTCGCCGCACCTGGAGGCAACAGTCAGCTCAATTTCTTGTTTGGTGGTTGAAGATACGATAGCTTCTTATAAAAACACATTGCTTTTCATCTTTGAGATGGTCTTTTTATCCTCCTCAACTTCAGAGTAGACTGCCCAAAGAAATGTTTACTGCCTAACAACTTTCAGAATTCTCCAGTTAGGAACTGTTTATCACCACAGGAGTAAAGGTATAAGGCTACACAAAGTAGTAGACAGACGCACTGTTACTTTTTGTTTCTTACTGCCAACTTGTTGATGGGCGTTGACGAATGGAATTTGCGATAGGATTGAAGGATGACATCATGTGCATGTGATCAAACCGTTCAGATGTATGAGTGACTTGAGCAGTGTAGCTTGCATGTCTCGAATTCCACCACCTCATCAAGCACTTTTTAGCCTCCCATGTCAGGCTGTTGCAAGCCACTTGAGTCATTGATGCTACATGAAGTATGTGATACTCTGATAAGCCTGCGGGCCCGTCGACCGATTGTCGGATCCCGAATTCCGGAAGAAACGACCTACATCCGACCTCCGGCTCATTCCAGCTCGAGCTAGTGCATGCATCACAATGAATGGCCACCCAGCTGCTGCACGGTGAAAATGCTTGCTGAAGCTCTGTCCGACTATGTCAAATAACGTCAAGCACGTCGCCTCTATCTTGATATGCCCAAAGAGAGAAAGTGGTCCTTAGCATGTAGCCATGGCTAGCTCACCTCGTGCACAAGAACCCTTGAGCAACGAACAAAGATGCGTTGACATAAGTACTATCAATTAACCAATGTAGACGAAGTCGGCAAAAGCATACAGACCCAGACTGTGGGCGGCCTACATGTAACCGTACTAAAGAACTCTTTGTCCTCTGGCTGCTATTGATGCTTAAAGGCACCTCCTCATATCCTTGTAAGGACGAATGCGCATCTCTCAAAACAAGGACGCTTCTTGGACACATGAATGATCGACCAAAACCCGTCCCCTAAGGCCCGCTCCAGGTTTCTCCCACTGGCCCCGCAATGGCACTCACAAAGGCGAGGAGGCTGGCCGGATCCCGCCGTTCCGAGGGGTAGGTAACAAAGGCGCGGCTACGGCTGCCTTGCGCTCGCCGCGGGAAGAGCACGATGGTGGGGAAGCTCTTGAGGCCAAACTCCTTCTGCGCAAAGGCGCGCTCGGGCCCATCGGCCCGGAAGGAGGCAACCTGCCAGGACAGCACACAGCAGGCGGGACAGTGAGCGGCCATCGGAGAAGCACAATCGCAGAGGCAGCAGGCACGAGCTGAGGGCCGCCGGCTGTCCGCGGTGCTGCAGCAGAAGGCCCTCAGAGCGGGGCCGCGGCGCTCACCCGCACGTTGGTGCCCCGCAGCTGCTCGCCCAGCTGGACGTAGCTCTCCTCCATGGCCTGCACCAGCGCAGCACAGCACGCCCGTCAGAGCCCTCGCACACGAGCAAGTCGGCACACCGCTGCGCGTGGCTGTCACGGATTGGGCTGGGCCCGCCGTCCTCGAAGGTGACTCCTGGCCCATGCCGAGGCTGCTCTGTCATCCTGCTGAGCTGCCGTTCACTTGTCCTTGGAACAAGACAAGTGCTCAGAAGGCTGCACAGCAAACGACCCCTTGAGCACGCCACTGCAGACAAATGCACGCTGTGATCCTTCCTCTTCCCAGCCGCTGTGTCCCTCGGACAGTGGCGTACCTGGCAGAAGCGGCACCAGGGCGCGTAGAGCACCAGCAGCGTGGCGTCCTGGCCCGTGCTGCGCAGCAGCTGCTCCACGTCCTCTTTGCTCAGCGACGCCACCGCGTCCGTGTCGGCGTACAGGTCCGCGTGCTCCGACGGCGCACTCGTCACGGCAGTGCTCGCCTCCGTGCTGGCATCCCCCTCCGTCCCAGCCGCCACCTCCGCCCCCGGCGCAGCGCCGTTGGCGGCGGCCGCGCCATTGCCGGTGGTGAGGGGAGCAGCCGACTGAGGGGCGGCCACGGCAATGTTGCCCTGCGGGAATGGAACGAGCAGCACGAGGTGGAGGCCCCACAAGGACGAGGCAAGCATGCAGCCCGGCCAAGAACGACAATCCCACACCAAGGTGTCAGAACGGATGGAGGGAGAATGCGGACTGCACTTTGCAGTTCCAAGCCCCGACACCCGTGTGGTACTCTGTGCGCGAGCGAACGTGATCTGTTGACGTCACCGCCGACGGATTGCACATGCCGTGTACTGCGACCTAGCACAGAGCCTTTCGGCTTGACTTTCACTGTCCGCAGCAAAACGGTCCGACCGCCGTCAAGTCAAAGTCGACATTACCGGTCGCGCGCTACCTTGAAAGTTGATTGGGTATCAAAGCGGTGTGGGGGGTTGGGACTGCAAACTGCAGGCCACGTTCTCCTTCCATCGGTTCTGTCAGGAGCCCTGGTGGGGCCCCCAGAGTGCAATAAGAGGAGCCAAAACGCAGCGAGGGAGAGCCTCGAGCTGAAGCAGCGCCGCACTGAGTGTCCTCCGCGCAGCCAGCGCGGGCTGCGGCAGGTGCCGGAGAGGCGCCGGTGTGGGGGCTCACTTTGTGCAGGCCGCACTCCTTCATGGTGGCATCCTCCCACCACCAGCGGCCCTCCCGCTCATGCTGCCCAGGGAGCACCGACCGCGTGCACGGCTCACACCCAATGGACACAAAGCCCTGCACGCACGAACCGCATCAGCCAACCGGCAACGCCAGGTTTGTATGAAGAGCGACATGAGGATCATCACCCCCAAAACATGAAGATGCACGTGAAACAAGAGAAAGGGACCGCAGGTAAGGCAACCGCTGCAGTCGGCGTACCTAGGCTGGCTTTGCACTGACAAGCGGGCGGCGGGCACTGTACGCTCAGTGGGGCCCATCAGTGCCGCAACAAAGCTGCCATGCCCGGCCTTTGTGCTACTGCTGGGGCCCCCCACCTTGGAGTGCAGCTCGTTGACGGGCACATTGAGCAGGCGCAGGAAGCCCCACACATCGGTGCCCTTGACGTTGGCCAGCGGGTTGAACTTGACCAGGCTGCCGGGCCCCCCAGAGAGGCCCTCAAACGCGGGGTCCACCTGCACCACCGGCACAGCGGCTCGCGTCCCGGGGCTCTGGTCCTTGCGCTGCCCCGTGATCCACGCGTCCAGCGTCCGCAGCTGCTTACGCAGCGGCCGCACCTGCACGCGCGCACCGGGGACTTGCTCACGACGGGACCCACGCAGGGTGGCTGCCCGCCTGAGCACAGAGGAGCTGGCAATACACACACCAGCAGCACATGTGACAAAGCTGGGCTCAAGCGCCGGCGGAGAGGCACCTGCTTGGAGCAGCTTCCGTCGGAGGGGCGGGGGGGTGCCTGCCGCGGGGCGTTACCTTGCGGACGGCGCAGCACTCCTGGTGGCCGTCTTCGTAGAAGCTGAACATGCCCTTGGTGCGCACCAGGTCCTCCACCTCCTTGGCCTCCGGGAAGCAGTACTCGATGCGGATGCCGTAGTGCGCCTCCACCTGAGCGCCGCACCGCCAGCACGACTCAGCAGGGCGGGCAGCGACGCACAGAGCACCAGGGGCTGGACACGAGCAGCGGAGAGAGGGGTGCCAGACAGATCTGGTGCAGAAACATGCGCATGGGGGCCCTAAGCACGCTCCTGATGCAGCACCCAGCACTTGCAGCGGCTGGCCAGCGCTGCCCACCTGAGCAAAGTAGCGGTACGTCTCTGCGTTCAAGCGGCCGGTATCCAGGCTGAACACCCGAAAGGGCCGTCCCGTGAGCCGCGCGTACTCAATGAGGGCCACATCCTCAGCCCCACTGCAATCAGACCCAGCAGTAAATGCGCAGGAAGCGGCCTGGCAGAGGCGGACATGTGGTGTACAGTACAGGCGCAGGGCCGCTTGCGGGCCCAGTTGCAGAAGGGCAAGCAGCGAGGACCGGACACGCAGCTAGCGGACACGCCTCCCAGGTTCCAGTCGGCAATGCTGCCTCAAAGCAGGCAGCCACAAGCAGCGGCAGAACGTCCGTGTAAATCTGAGGTGCGTGTAAGTTAGGCCCACCTGAAGGCAATGCCAATGTTTTTGCCAAACAGGTCCAGCGCAGTGTCCATGATCTCCAGCGGGGACGACGCCGCCAGATCCTTGGCCAGAGCAGCGTAGTCCACCACCTCCCCTGCGGACGGGGGAGCCTCCACCACTGCACACCGTTGCCACAATCAACGAGGTGGGGAACAGCGGACCACGGCGCAGGCCTCATCGGAAGTCAGACCAAAATACGAGCTTCAGAGGCAGCGGCAGGCAAGAGGCGAGGTGGCGCCAGGTCGCTAGGATGACCGAAGGGTAAGCATCGCACTAAGGTGGAGGCTCGTCAGTCCAGGCCAGTGCGCACCTGAGACCGCTCTGATCCTTGAGCATGCTGTCCGCTGGCTGCGGATAGCCGCGCCAGGCAGCCGCCGCAGCTGGTGCCCCCAGAAGGCAGAGACCGCAGCAGCAGCGGTGGGGGCCTCTGCAGTGAGCGAGGCAGGCAGGCTGACAGATGAGCCACAGCGGGCAGGCAGGTCGGGACTGGCCAGCACACAGCGTGGCGACAGCATGATCCAGCAGCTCAAGGCTCACCCACCACTGCCTCACAGGAAAACGGCGGTCGTCCACTTACCTGGTGCTCCGTGTAGGGCCAGACGAGTCCCTGCAACACACGCCTCCCTTGAACTGGCCCCGTGTGGACGATGACCAGTGGTCGCCGCCCACGACGCACTCCCCAGTTGAGGGGCAAGGGTGCTCAGAGCCATGACAGGGTTGATGAGAGGCACTGGCCGCTTGAGGCCGCCACCGCGAGCAGGAGCCAGGAACCCAGTTGAAGAGTCTAGGGACTGGCAATCACTTGAATCAGCCTCCCTGGCCAGGTGGGAGCACGATTCGGATCAGCACTGTGCAATTACCTAGTACCGTCTGGCACCAGCTTTAACGGTACCTCAGACCTGTTGGATACCAGGTACCTAGTAGTAGTAGGTACCTAGAGCCGAACCCTAAAAACAATTTGCAGGCAGTTTGGTCTGCGCCCCCTATACCGTAATACTATCTTAGATCTGTACCAACCACACTCCGAGGCTGAGCTGACATGAGGCTTCGGAACACTTTCGGAAGAACACTTCGCCAGCTGCGCTTTGAAGCATTGTAGAGGCGCTTGCAGAAGCTAGATGACCGCAGATTCGACGCAGCAATTGGAAGACATTGTCTAGGTGCAAGTGCAATTTTTTGATTTCGCTCGAAGATGGCGACTCGCAATCGCACAGTGGCTTTTTTGAAGTACCGGGAGGCAGTTCGTCAGAGCAAGCCGGCATTCTCAGCAACAATTGAGATGTCTTCGCTGACTGCAAGTAAGGGCCGCAGTGGCTATGACACGATCAGTACAACGGATGCTGACGGAAGCAGGTGGGGCGCGGAGCATCCTCCAACCAACTTCTGGCTTTGCTTGCGTGTTCTTTCACCCATCCATTGTAGCCCAAACATGTTTTTGGCTGATCTCCCTCTTTTCGTTGGCGGGCAGACCTGATTGTATGTGCTTGTCTGTGCAGGGGCTCTGTAGGGCATGCGCTCCCCCCTGCCTGGGTGGATGTCAGCGAGGAGGTGGCCACGGAGATTGGGAAGCTGAGGCTCAAGATGGCTGAGCTCAGCAAGATACACTCTCGAGCCCTCATGCCCACCTTTGATGACAGCGGAGGCACTGACCAAACTATCGAGATTGTCACCCAGGAGGTCACACGGGGCTTCAAAAAGTGCGAACAGAAGCTGCGAAGGTTGGAGGCTGAGAAGGGCGCCAAGGGCCAAGATGCAAGCATCAGAAAGAACGTTCAGGTCAGCCTTGCACGGCGGCCGCCAACTCTGCGTGTAGGTGGCGGCCCCTGGATCAAGTTCCAAAGTTGCCACAAGGTGGTATGGAGTTTCATGGTGTGCTCTTTTCAGCAGCATTTACCTTATTCACGGGGGCTCTCTTACTCCTTGCAGAGGGCGTTGGCGACAGACCTTCAGGCAATATCCCTGGACTTCCGCAAGCAGCAAAAAGCATACCTTCAAAAGCTGCAAGCGCAGCAAGACGTAAGAAGTGATACACTTCTTCTCGGTGGCAGCCTTGTTACGCTTCCTTAGAAAGGATGCACTTGGAGTGGATACACTTCTCTGACTGAATTGGTCCTGCATAATGTTTGTTTCCATGTTCACTGATTTATGCAGATTGACTATTGCGCACTCATTTCATGCAGGGAGCCTCTTCAAGTTTGGGAACAGCATTAGATCGGCCTCGGGAAGATGAGGACGAGTCATATGATCCGGTAAGGCCTTTCTGCCTGGACAACCTCTTTCTGCAGTTTAGTCGGTTACATGGATTGATCAGATGATCATTGGTGACCTCTGTCCGGCACCAACCTGGCCCTCCCATTGCGTTTGCAGGGCTTCACAGAGGTCCAGCTGCAGAGGATCAAGAACTCGGAAGCGCTAGCTGCTGAGAGGGACAAAGAAGTTCAGCAGGTAAGCAAGCCTTGTGGCGCAGCGGTTCCGAAGATCCAGCTGGGGAGGACCTTGTGAGGAAGCCAGCTTGGGGGTGTAGCAAATTCAGAACAAAGTGCATTATCTTCTGCAATATCAAACGTGTCGCGTGCTCAGATGCTTGCAAGTGAACGTTGACCTCATCTGCGTTGCATGTGGATCCTTCATCTTGAGTCGTTTTATCTAAGCACACGTGGTGGAGCCCGGGTGGATTGTGCTGGCCACGAATGTTAAATCTCTCGTTTGGGTGGCTCGTTTGGGTGGTTGCCTTCTTGTCGAGAAGAAGGCAGCTTCTAGGATTGACCATCAACCATTGATGATAAGATTCGAGGACATGAATTTTAGATGAAATAAAGAGCATTTCATGGAAGCTATCAGTGACTATTGGGTACTGACCTTTGGTCTGCCTGTCCAGATTTTGGAGTCCGTGAATGAGCTTGCCCAGATTATGCGAGACTTATCCACGCTTGTGATCGATCAGGTGAGTCTTTTGGAGCACTATTGAAAGCAGTACGTTTTGCGCATGATGGGTTTGTATTCCGGTTTGGATCGTTGATGGCTTTTCGAATACACGCTTCCACATGCGAATTGGACACGACCACTTCCATCACAATGTCTTCATCGCAACTCTCTCATGATTTTGGGAGATGCGCTTCGAAATCTTTCTGCTTGAATCAGCTTCATTGTGTTCTCGACTGCAGGGAACAATAGTGGACCGTATAGATTACAACATCGAGCAAGTGGCCACATCTATCAACGCTGGAGTCAAGGAGCTCGAAAAGGTACTCTTCGATCATTGTACTTTCCCGGCCTGGACATTCGTCGTTGCTTGACATCCAAGTTTCCGCCGTGCCTGTCAAAAGTTTTTCACAATACGTTGGTAAGCCTTGGGTTCTTGTGGTCTCTTCTCTTCTCGTATCGGTTGTTTGTGCTCACTTGTGCTCAGTCTATATCCTTGCTCTCAGCTGTTTGCAATATGTGCTCATATGGTGAACTTAGACGTGCTAATTCCTTTGCGTATGTGAGTGTGCAGGCTGAGAAGACGCAGAAAGCTGGACGGATGGTGTTATGCGTAATGATCCTCATACTAATGGTTTTGTTCATGCTGGTGGTGCTTGTTTTGAAACATTTATTCTTCTAGAGCAAGCGTTGAAGATTTACGTTGTCTTTCCAATTGTCATGCATTTTGCTGGACGGAGTTCTAAGCAGAAACCGAGCTTGCATGCAATTGCACCAGATTCACAAGATCCCACCAGAATCATTTACGAATTATTAGTAATGAAAGCCAAGATGAAGGCCCTTGAATGTCGAATTTTTCAGCTCGCCCCTGATTCTGTATGGGGCGAGCTTTGCATTTGAATCTCATGTGCGGTGACGTCATCAGCTCCTGGAAACAAAAGCTACGGTACGTTGCCCTGGTCGTTGCAAGTGTCGTGTCGTACATGCAATAGCTTTCAATCTGCAGCTATGGGGATAAGGATATGGTGTACAAAAATATAGTGGGATTGCAGCAAATTCATATCCGGTGTTACTAATGGATTTCAATGCCCCTTTTCTACATAGTCGTTGGGGGGTTGCAAACCATGAATTCTTTTCACTCACCGAATTCAGCCTGGCAAAAACTTTGCCCGAGTATTACTTGAACAAGTCACATCTGCGCGCCGGAGTCCGATCACATTTGGTTGGACGACAAAATTTGCCCAACTAAGCATACAGCTCCTTATTCCGGCTGTTCGGAGATGTCGGCTCAGGGAAGCTTCCCGCCCTCCGGCCAGCGTACGCGTGTATAGGGAAGCCATGATAGAGACCGGGGTTGGGGTGCCCATTCCCCCACCCGTTCATTCCCAAATTGAGCCCAAATCAACCATTTTTTGCAACTTCAATATGTCGACTTTCACCAAATTCAAGCGAGTCTTCGTTCTACTAGTCCTCCACCGGGCATTGCACGGGGAAGTTCATGGGCCGTCCCGCTCGCAATCAAATATACAGTGTCTGAGGCTGCGGTGCCGAGCTGCCCTTCCACCCATCCTCAACGATGGCAATTGGTTATATCCTGCTCACTAGCATGAGGCGAGCTTCAAACGATCCAAATGCGGCTGCAGACGGATTCAAGCAACGTACCTAGTTTCTTTTTGTACCTAGCTATATACAACCCTTCTTCATGTAAGGGTGGTTAGAACCTACCGGGCTTGTGAAAAGCATGATTGATGATTTCAAAGGTTATGGGCCCACACGATGCTACCTCAAGAAAGGAAGGCTGACGCGGTTAGTGTGAGGAGAGAAGAAGAGCGCGGGTGCGATTAGAAGACCATTATCGTGAAGAAAATGGCGGGGTTGGATAAGCTCACGCCGCGCATCTCGATTTTCGGAAGGGGTAATTGGTCGACAGGTTGAAGGAGAAGTTAAGGCCCGTTAGTGTAAAAGAGCCTCCACGTGGCGAGAGGGAGTCCTGATTCCGCGGCCCAGGCCGGAAAACATTGAGCAACTAGATCCTTGATGGTCAGTGCACACGGGAAATGATGCATATGCGAAGTTGTTTGCCGGGGCGCACACGACCGTCAAGGCACGGAACTTGAGTCCTTGAGGAGTGTGAGAAGACGAGCAACGCAACTTGAGTGGTTCAATTTGAGAAGAGGTTGACACCGAGGCTTGACGTTGATGCTGGAAAAGAGCATTCACGAAGTACGTGGGAGAGTTCGGCGAAATCAAGATGGATTTGGGGGCGGCGTGTCAAAATGCATTTCCAAAGTAAAGTTGGCGGTCCATGCCATTGACACGGACAGTGACATTGTTACGACCGATGCGCATGCGAAAGAAGCAAAATCGAAGAGCTTGGAAGTAGAGATAGAATTCCGGGGAGGCTCGAAGATGATTGAGGCTGTGAAAAAGGCGTTTGTTACTCGCCAAGCGGGACTGGTATGGAGTAACCGTTGCCAACCTTAAGGGGGCCAAGCCTAAGCCGTTAATCACCCGAGGGGGCTCAGGGACGTCCCCGACACGAGACGGGCCTACGCTTATGGTAAGAAGGGCCACGTCCAAGCCTATTGCTCGATGCGGAACGTGGCGTGCTCCTTACTGGTGAGAGGGGGCACATTAGCTCGGTGGTGTAGAAAGCCTTGGGTCACAACGCAACCGGAAAAATTGCCGCACGCAGAGTCGTAAAGTCGAATTCGCGCGGTAGTGTGACGTTTGGGCTATGGTTAAGTCTAACCGCTCAAACTCACATAGGTTAAGTCCACTATCTCGCTAAGCGACACGTGGCACAGTATTGATTGGTCGAATTAATGTTCGATAATAGTTATTATTGGATATGTCGACTAGTGTTAGTATGTAGAGCTACGAGATAAGTATGTCTCTTGCATGACCAGGACGCTCTACTCTGCAGTCAGAAGTATGCTTTGCTTTGCTGGAAGGACGTCTGGGAAGTGACTGGATGCAGCTC